TACAGCCGGTATAGCCGCTACCGCCGCTATACCCGCACCGCGGAGGAGGAGAGAAGGGAAGGAGAGTAGGCCTTAAAGGGCCTCTAGACGCTCCTAAGGGCTCTAGTCTAGTAGGCTTCCGTCGGGGGGTTTATATATAAAGAGCCATTTAGCTAGCGTATTATCCGACCCTCTTAGACAGGCCTAGAGGTTGTAAGAAGGTCCGCTATGTATCCCTTAGGTTCTCCGCGCAAAGGCGCTCTTCGTAAAACCGATTATAATAGCAGTATATAGCCTGCTATTGTCCTCTCGGCGCCACTAAATAGTGAAGAATTACTAAAGGTGCCTACCGAAGGGAGAAAACTATTATTCGCAATCTAGTATAGAGAATCGACAACATTTAGAGTTGTCGCACTGTGTTAATATAGATTGAGGCGCTGTTACTATTTCAACCTCTAAACTTACTTGTTTAATAAGATGCATTGTCTAAGTTATTTAAAGCTATCATTTTCCGCCGACTCCTAGTTTAGCGACAAGACTATTAAGCATCTGTCGCTCCTCTATAAGGTATTTCTAAAACTTCTAGGGAAAGCCTTAGATCGTCTCCTAGGCTTCGCTAATCTCCTCTTAGCTACATTCTTGCTAGCTTATCCTAAAGGCAGCCCGAATCAACAGCCTATGTATAGACATAGCCTAAGGAGAGTGTAACCCTATAATATAATCGTTTCCAAGCCGCCCTATAACTTCTAACGCTATAGCTTTAGCTTCTTGGAACTCTCCCTTTATAACGAGAACTTAGGCAAGACTATGTTCGGCTATAAGAAGCTTAGAACCATTTGGGCTATTATTGGTTATGAATCTTAGCAAACTCTCGTATTAAGCTTTATATTCTAGTCTATTACTGTACTAGGTTTTGCAGAATACGTAAGAATGCCAAGACTTTAGCGGAGCCGTATACCGCAATTTAGCTACCTCTTGTTATATCGTATTATCGCTACTTTAATAGTATAGCGCTATTGTAGGTGTTGTTTGTAATACCTAAGAAGTCGAAGAAAGTGCCGCTAAAGAAGCCTAAGAGGCGTAACGGCAATAGTACTAAAATGCCTATAGATACTGTCTCTAAAGCGACCTAGCTCTTTAGAGGCAATTTCACTATAAAAGATATCTACGACAAGACTAGAGTCGCTATTTCGACGTTATATCGGTAGCGCGTAAATATAGACCTGTTTAACGAGTATTATTATCCGATTCGAGGTAGGGCGGGTACGCCGAAGGCTCTAAAGCTTAAGATACGAGAGGTAAGGGATTTTGCTAGTTTTAAACTAAACTAAACTAACTGCTATAGTAGTTAGAAGAATACCTCGGAGACCGACCGGAAGCGTACCTAGAAGAAATGTATCTCGAGTTGTTTAACTAGTTTAGTGTCTAAGTCTACCCCTTAACGGTCTACTATACCCTTACCGGCGTTATAGGCTAGTCTCGAAAGCAGTCGCGCAAAGCAGCCGCTAAAAGGAATACGAGGAATAGGGCGGTATAGAGTAAGAAGATAAAGAGTTAGCCTATCGAGAAGTTAGTATTCTTAGATAAGACAGCCTTAAATAAGAAGATAGCGCACCGGAAATATAGATAGTCGCCGCTTAGTATAGATTGTTGCGATATATAGTATACGCAGCGATAGAAGCGCCTCTCGGTCCTACCGGCTCTTACTATTAATAGATACCTACCCTACACTCTTTGCGTAGAAGGCGGCGTTAATTAGGTCACCTTCGACAACTAGCTCGAGATACAGGTTTTACCGCTTCTTAAAGGCCTTAAGATAATCTTTGTTATAGATAACTGTTTAATCTACTATAGCGATAAAGTCGAGAGTATTATTACGTTAGCAGGCTACTAACTCGAATACTTGCCGCTATATTCGCTAGATTTGAACCCGATAGAACAGACCTTTAATATCCTTAAAATATAGATAAAAAAGAATAAGAGTCGCATAAGTAAGTACGCTAATTTTGCCGACTTCTTATACTAGGCCTTAGACTATGTCGTAGGCGTAGATATAAGGAAACTGTTCAAATATAGCGGATACGACGTTAATAGCTTATAGCTTAATAAGATGGTATACGGCTTTAATACTCTGCTAGTCTAGCACTACAATACGTATATTTTATACTACTAAAATTAGCAAGCTCCTTCTTAATATATATCTAAAGCTCCGTATAAAGTTTTATATATATCTATAGCGATATAGTTGTATAAGAATGTAGGAGAGGCTGCTAATAGTATAGCGGTAACTCCCGCTTTTTTATGTAAAGCGCGTAACGAGGATTCGAAGCAAACAACGACGATTATAGTATAGCTAGCGGAGAGATATTAAGGCTATTCAGTTATTAGTTTGCTAGTCAACTACTAGTTAATCTCGATAAACAAGCACGCCCGGTACTCCGTTATTAATATTATTATTAGCTACTCTTACTAGCTGCTCCTCTTAGCTAACTTCTGCTTCTGAAAGCGCTTTAGGCTATTTCTAATAGACCTATAGTCGCCTTTAAAGAAGCCTAACTCCTTCTAATTCTTTATCGATAGTATATAGATCTAATTATAATTATATCGCTCTTTTATAAAGTAATCTTCTATCTTTATAAGCTGCTTACGATCTTCCTCTTCTAGCTATTCTAGCTGCTTTTCTACCTACTTAAAGAACTATCTAAGAAGGCTTCTTAGCGGTGTTCCGAGTATTATAGTAACCCTTATAGGAGGTAGAGATTCTTACTAAGAACGAGGTACTTCTTCGACAATAGGAGAGGTTAACTTATTAGCTAAGCTAGTAGCTAGAGTCTAGGCTGTCTCGAGAAGCTTTAAGTAATTAATAGCGGCCTATTAGATAGAAGCTAGTATAGAGCGAGAACGATAAGGAGTCTAGTCCGGCGGCTAGAGTATTTAAGGCTCCTTCTTCTGTTTCTTTATATTGTCGTTATAGACCTTTATCTAATTAAGAGCGGCCTTTAATAGTGTCTTAGAGTTAACGCTAGGCTGTCCGCTATTCTAAGCAGAAGACTATAAGCTAAAGGAGGCATTCGAGAGCTATAAGTAATGCCGAGGGATATTTAGAAGATTAGGAGGAAGATAGTACTATTTCCCTTTATTATTATAGCCGCTAAGAGAGTATATATTATCCGCTTTAATCTCGTAGGCTCGATTACCGAAGTTGCGGCGCTTAGTAATAAAGGCTTTACTATCGATAAGTTATTAGTCGTTTAGCTTCAATTTACTAACCTTCGGAGCGGCGGTAGGTACGTCTTTCGCGGTAGTAAGAAACTCTATATTAATACGGACCTTGTCCTTACTTTTACGGTATAATTCTAATCCCTCCGAGAGCGCTTTTATATAGTCTTTACCTTCTTCGAAGTCTTACCTAAACTCGTCCTTTAAAGCGACCTTCGCTACTATAATAACGATAAAGTAACGACCGACGAATAGGCCTTGCTTTCTTATAGTATCGACGGCTTAGCGATAGGCCTTATCGCTATATTTACAACTCTAGCCGGTGCGGTCGAAATTCTTTACTAAGACGATATTCTTACTAGTAAGAAGCTTCTAGGTTTGTTTATACGAGAAGACGTCGCGTAAGTCGCTAGAATTAGTCTTAATATCGTCCTCGTCTATCTAGACTCTATTAATTAGTCGCTACGCTAACTCTTTTATAGGTGCGTTACCGAGTCGCGTTAACTCGCCTTCTTCGACTTATCTACCTATATTCTTACCTTCTATAGCCGTCGAGGCGTCCTTATTCTCCTTCTCCTACTACGTAAACCGACGGTACGCTTTAGTATTATTTGCTTAATAACTTATTAACTCTCGAAGCGCCTACGCCTTCGTCTTCTTCGTCTTCTTCGCATTTCTACCCTTTTTCGCGTTTCTACCGTTCTTCGCGTTTCTAGCCTTCTCCGCCGCGTTACTAGTACTACTAATATTACTACTATCCTTTTTCGGCGACTCGCGCCTTATAATAGCCTCCTTATACGCTAGTAGGTCCTTCGAAACTAGCTTCTACGACCGAGTCTTACGCGCCGGCGGTTAGTAGTCCGGTATAGCGAAATACTACTTTAAGAGGTAGCTAGTAGCGTAGAAGGCGATAACACTCGCTAATTCGGGTAGTAACTAGATAATAAGAGACATACTAGCTTATAGCGGTATAGGGATACTATTTAGATCCTATAAGAGCAAAAGAGGAGCAATCTACCTAGTAAACTATATAGACACGTGCTCCGGTTACGCTTTCCTTGGCATTCTCACGTATTCTGCAAAACCCAGTAAGGTGTTAGTGAATTGTCGAGATGCCGTGCATGCACCTTGCCCATAATTTGTATTCTGGTTCTGACAACGTTGTGGTAGAATTTGAGCGAGGTAGCTTGTCTTGTAGGATCTCAAGGAGAAGCAAGAGCTTTTCATCATGAGGTAAGCCTTGGAATGGCTCGAGTCTTGCTTCTTCGATCGTTGCACGCTCAGAGCCAGGGAAGGCTTGTGCAAATCCACGAGCTATCTTCTTCCATTCGACGTCTGTCCAGAAGGGCGTTGATAGGTGGTTAAAGTCCCACGGAAATTTCTGGTCTGCTAACGTGTTGATTCGATTAGTTGCTTAGGATTATATAGGCTTATTCTGATCCTTTTTTTTCAACGAGCGTGTGAGTTACGAGCGCAGCCCAAATTGTGAGGCAGAGATTTATAGATACTACTAGGCCGCAGATATTTCATTACTAGGCATATACAGGCAAGCTGTAAGCTTTTTATAAACTCTTCATCCTAGCCTTGTCGCCGCGCAATGGATTGGCACCTTCTCGTAGTGCGCGGTGTAATCAGTGACTCCTGAAGTCTGAGATTCGGCCTCGCATGCGCGATGTTGCTGCAATCAAACGTCACAGGCGGCGAATTCAGCTGTCACCATACTCCGAAGGGCTTGTCATCCAAACGTAGGACTGGGAAAACGTCGACTCGGATGCGCGAAAAGAAAATTCACCTCGAGGCCGCAGAGTGCGACATCGTCAGCTCATACAGTACCTAGTCAAAGCTACCCCAAAACGAAGACTGCGTTTTGATTGACATGTGTATAGTGGCCATTCCCAAGCCAGGACCACTTCCTCGAGTCCCTTGAGTGCAGTTGTATACATGTGGTCACGTCCTTCTGTTCTGCGCTAGAACGTGTTGGATTCTGCGGCTTTTCAACCTTATCTGCTTGATCTCTGTGCAGAGTTCTACTCTTCGTCTTCACCCTCATCCTCACCCTTGGAAGCGAGGAACTTCCTCCTGGCTTCCTCCTCATTCTCAGATTCAACTGCCTGCTGCTCACGCAGCTGACGAACCCGGTCGGCTGGGCCTGGAAGACGTCCAACACGGTCAGATACCTGACCACGACCAATCAAGGAAACCACGATAGAGGCGCCAACAATGAAGGTAAGGACGAAGCGGTAGACGCCGTACCAGCCCGGTGCCCAACCCTTCTTCGATGCGCGCGAGTCGGTGTAGTAGAGGAAATTGAAGATGAGGAACTGGGAGATCAGAGCGTACTCGACGGGCAGGAGGATAGTCGGCCAGGCAAGCGCTGTAGAGATGACACCTAGATACCGCTACGATTAGGGAGATAAATATATAGGGGAATATATAGTAGACTTACCAATGGCATAGCGCGGGTAGCCCTGTTCACCACCGTACTTGGCCCATTCGAGACCCCAGTGGATGGCGCCAAGGAAAGATATGATCTGAGAAAAGGGTTAGGAGAGAAGCATGATGGGTGTTGTGCGTATAGCTATGCTCACAGTAGCGCCGTAGCCGACCTGCAGAGGCTCGAGGATCTGGAGAACAAGCTCGGCAGTCTTTTCAGTCATCAAGTAGCCTCCATTGTGGATTTCCCATGCGCTGTAGACGGTAGCAGCCGATGTCGCGGCATATGGAAGTACACCAGCCAAGCCGATGTAGTATGCCTGGCGAGGTACTTCCTCCAGGTTGAAGGTATCACGGATGGTTTGCTGTGATCTCGTCAACGCCCGCTCTCACCATACGCGTCTGTGCTTGTCGTGTCTATGCATACCATATCAGATCTAACGCCGGCCATCATGTCTGCGTCCTTCTCAACTTCCTCGGCGCCAATCTCGCCACGAATCGGGTGCGTCGAAGAGGCGCTACTAACGAGCTCTGGATGCGGCGTGATCGTGTTTCCACGGATGGCAGCTTCATGTTTCCTATCAACTGCATCGTACTGGCCTGGTTTTCGCTCGTCGGCAAACCGCGCGACCAGCATTTGTGATGCCAATGGCTTGGCGAGAGCGGACAACTGCGGTCGACGAGCGACGGTGCATAGTTGTGACTTGCATTGTGCGTGGATGGGCGAATTCACGGCGCGGAAAGCGGGTTGAAAGGAGGCATTGAGGGAGCGCAAAGCGGTGCGCGACGCACCGGAGCGGAACATTGTGGCCAGTGGAGAGCTGGGATGGTGGTGGCGGTGAGATCAACGTGTTCAGTGGGCGGTCGAGACAGGATCAGGTGGGGTGGAGTGGAGAGTGTCAGTGGCAGTGGCAGTGGCAGTGGTGGTGTCTTCACTTTGCTTCGCAGCTCGGAACCATGAAGCAAAACGCCAAGCTTTGACGCCAGAGCTCGAGCTCCGAACCCAGGTCAGAACTCAATTCATTTGCACACAAGTTGACTGCACGACTCTGGTATCATTATCTGTGCATATCTGACTTACATGCTGTAGTAAGCTGGGAGTGCTGTAGACAACTATCCTGGAGTCGCGGACAATCGCTCCTCCGAAAGAAAATCCTTTTTCGAGCCTCGCTCCCATGTCTGGAAATCTCGTGCTGTGCTCCGATTCCACAACTCCATCTAATTCCGCTTGGCCCGTCCTATTACGCCTGATGATTTAGCAAAGCCTCAGTCCATAGCGCTCGTCATAGCAATAGTGCAGCAATACTTGCGCTTTCGTCTGTCGAAGTTACTGGAACGCTGGTCAGCACTCCTGGCTGATGCTGTTTCATGATGACATGCTCGACCGGCCACTCCACCCAATGCTTCCAAACCTCGTCCAGATCGCCAATCACGTCCGTCAACACCCTCGCCGCCCATCCTTGAATCCACCACCTGTCGTCCAGAACGTTGAGGAGAACGCAGTAGTAGGCAAGTATGATCAGTGCTTGAGGCACTTTTCTTTTGATCAGACCAGCAAAAGTGGTGGAGTCCTGCTTCGGAAAGCACAGAATGTTGGCAACACTGCATCCACCCTGCGTCTGAAGGACCGTCTGATAGATCTGCTTCAATTCGGCCAGCACTATGGCACAGCTTCGCCTTTCCTCGTAAATCATGGCCTCTACGCCTAGCATGAAGTCAAGGTGGCCAAGGCCGAAGTCCATGCCATCTGGCAATGGATCGTACCTTGAACGCCTTTTGTCAGCTTCACATTCATATGATTGAGCATTCACAAACTCACCCGCTCATGCTGGCAGTTACCGCCTCCTGGAATCCTCTGCTAAGAATGGGCGCCAACGGGCCTTGTGCAACCCAGTACCAGGTGTCACTGACGATCGCATCGATGCCCTTTACAAGCATGAAGAGCTCGACAATTGCATCCATGGGAGGTATGCTAGGTGGTACAGCATATGCAAATAGTGCGACAAGCCAAGTGAAGGCGAATTTTGCGTTTGCGTTTTCTGCTGTAGCTGGAGCTCCTCGATCCTGCCTGTACAGGACTAGAGCCTTGTCAAGATGATCCACTGCAGCAGCTTGTAAGTATCCTGCATTTGGGGGCTCCAAAGTCGCTTTGTGCAGTGCCGAGAAGCCAAGCAGGCCGTGCATCACATAGTCGTGAGAGAAGGCAACCTTTGGTATCTCGTGCCGCCATACTCGCATGATGTACTCTACGTCGTGGTCCTCGGTCATCACGTACTTAGCGTGCAACATATAGTGATGCATCAGCTGCAAATCCAGTTGCCAGATTGAGTCCTGGTTCATAGGTCGATCGATCTGACCCGTCAGAATTGCGAAGGGATTCGGGGACGCTGGGCTGTGAGCGACAGAGGCTGTCGAGCTTGATCCCGCGGCGTCTATGGTGGTTGCTGCCGGTATAGCATTTGGCGATCTCGATGTCGTCGAATTTCTGCGCGCTTTGGCATCTTCTCGCGGCACAAACGGCCCGCCTGCCAGTGAGCAAGCGACGCCATGTCGGACGCAATTTGAACAGGGAGCTTCTTCGTTGCACTGAGAAAGATGTCAGGACTCATGGTCTCTAATATTTGGAGAGGTGGCGCTGAACGAAGTATCTAGCAATGCAAAGCTCGTTATTTCACGCCTGTGGTTGCAATTCTTGCAAGCAACCGGGAGGATGCATTATATTGCCATGCCGTTCAACACCACGGCGCCTCTCCTTTGGTGGATAAAGCACAACACACGGAACTCTCGGGCCACGTACCTTCACGTGTCTTCGTTTACACTGCGCGCAACCTTTTCTGGACTTCTTATGGCCGACGCGTGGTGCTCTGCTCACAGATGCATCCATCAGTTTCCAAGATGACCAAGATGGAGGTGCCTGAGTTGACAACATCGATGTCCAAGTAACGATGCAGAACACGAGAGTCTCATACTTCCCGACGGCGGACCCATTCAATTCCGAATGTTCAGCAGTAATAACGGCAGGTGTAGGAGACTTGGTGACTGCTGCCTGGGACGCGTTGTTCACGTCGTGCGTAACGGGCATTCCAGGCGAAGCATTCGAGCCTATTGCCGTTGTGGGATGGTTGCTGAAATCATGTCATGAATGGTGGCTATGAGTCGACAGAGAGAAGAAATTAGAACAGGTTGCGTCACACCTGGGACCAGTGCCTGGATTCCCTATGGCCACTGCAGCACGAGGACATGTACAGCTGGAGGTATCGCAGCGCAGGGCAGTGTCAATCGGGCCGCTTGGCTTGTACCAGTGAGGCTCATCTTGAAGCTGAAGCGAAGGGCTGGAGGAGGACGCGAATGCGAGCACGATGCAGTCGGCTAGACTGATCTTTTCTTGGCACACATCCCTGCAGGTCGGACTTCAAATGCTTGAAACACCGATGGGCGGCTTCTTGCTGCCCTGGGTGCCATCGCAACACCGCGCACACTATTCTCTGCGATATAGACGAGTTCCGCTCCCCATCAAAATCGCCCCAGTGCTCGTGAACATCACCAGAACGCTCGTGCCGATCATACCCAGTCGCTGAATCCTTCATTTCGGCCCGGTGCAGCTTGTTCCAATCCTGCTCACACCTCCATCCGACCTGCAGTCCACGGCAATCATATTGCTCCTGAACTTCTTCATTTTTGGCCGCTTGGGGTGTCTATCACCGGGCACGATAGGAATGCGGCCAAAACATCATTGCCGGCGCACATACTGAAAACATCGACCACCCGGACGAATGGCTGTTCCGCCCGAATACGTACAGAACACCGGTGACCGTGGCGAAGCACAGCAATATCGCAAGCTCTTCTGATCATCATCATCTAGGCCACCTGCACCGTGTCTTCGACCTGACAGCTGAAGGGACGAAAAAGTCCTTGACTGAAATGGACACACAGTGAGTGTATCACGAGCAGCCACGTGGTCACAGTGGCTTGTCAGTACCAAAATCGTGCTTGTGACTGGCCTTAGTATGACTTACGGCGAGACCGAAACAACTCGTAGGTGCTGCATGGCTTCTCGACAACATGCCACACCCGAGCAGCATTCCTGCTGAATCGTCACATACTCCGGTTCTCGGCAGCTGCAAGCCACGAGCGCGCAAAGGTGCTGTAGCGAGGCCCTGCAGCGGCCAAGACTTGATTTTGTGACCATAGCTAACAGAACGAGCATCTCTGCTCTGCCTTGACCTAAGGTGGGGTGATGTCTTTGCACGGTAGCACATCTACACCTATTCGTGGACGCTATGCTCTTCTCAGTATGTGCGATGGGACACTTCTAAAACGCTACATCCAGAATTTGCGCACTTTGGCACATCGCAAAGGCTAGTGTTCACCGGAATCGGAATGGCGAACATCTCAAGATTTTTGCTTGGCATTTGTCGCCATTCACCAAGCTCTTCCACAAGCCAGGAGGGAATGAATTGAAACATCTTTCCCCACACTTCATAGGGCTTGATACACATGCCGCACACGGCAGGAGGCCGTTTGCCTTTCCAGGTCGCAGATCATTCAGCAGAGTCTCCGATGATGTCGTGTGATCCTCGAGAATATGCACCAGAAGGTCCCCACGTTGCATATGCTCGCGCCGCCGCAGATACTCAGTCATGGACAGCAGGCACATGGATCCTTTACACTGCGCCTCGTGTCACGAAACCATCCTTGCCGACCTGCCGGAGGCTTAGTACGCGACCAGTCAGCACGCCTTCAGGCAGCTATATGACAGCCAGGATCCGTTCGCATGGTCAGACAACATGCGAGCCCTTCAGCAGCTAGGATCTCACTTCATGCGGGTGACGGACGCTGTGACACTCTCGCCTCGACTGTAACCACCTTGTTCAGCCCTTGCTCTGACTTCGCCATGCGACCTCTCCAATGTACCAGTTTCAACACATATCGTCATACATGCAGCCACATCATTGATGAAGCTGAGCACTACTCCATTGCCTCGGTAGCTGTGAAAGATGCAGAATCGTATGATTTGGGATCTGGCTTAAGTCTCAGGACAGCAACTGCTCTACTGGACCTTCTTCACTCAGGCTCCAATACTTCTCATGTGAGCGCCTGGTGATTCGAATCCCCTGGCTGCGCATTGGCGGTCCGATTGACTCCCTGAATCTTTCAAGCCGGCTAGGGATGACACATGGCGGCGGCGCAGCAAGCCTTGGCTGCCCACGAGTAGCCTAGGACTGGATATCACGCAGTCAGACATTACAGCAGCCGATGTTTCCTTGCGGTTGGCGGGAGTCAATGGCAGGCGTAGCGCAAGAGTGGGCATCTTCAAAGCACCATTCCTCATCAGATAGCCGACACGGCCGATACGAGTAATCATCTACATGCCATCTCCAGTAGTGTGCTGGAGCCTCAACTCATGGTGTAGCGGATGAGGAAGCGTTTCATTTAGTGTTCAAAAGGTTTCAGGGCCGCGAGAGTACAATTCAGCGCTTCCGGGCCAGAATTGGAGAGTAACAGCTGCTGACGTTTCACAGTCGTGATTGAGCGAAGGCTCCTACTCGGAGAAAGAAGTTGTTGGACTTGTTCGTCAGCGAAACCAAACCCCATCTGAGCCCTGGTCAAGAATTGTTATTGAAAGAGGTAGCTTCGCCTATGAGCAAACGACTTACGGGCCTTGGGCCTTGTGCATCAATGTCCTCTCAGCCTTCGCCATTGCCGACAGTCATCCCTGATATATACGCTCCGGTTCGAAATAGGTGACGATGTGGGCACTGTACTAGTGCAGTCCTCTGCATCACTATCATCAATCCAGGCGACTATTCTCTAAACGATGAGTGACACCACGTCAAGGCAACAGCCGAATTACCCAAATACTTAGAACGGCTGTCCATGTTCATTCACGAGAATTGGTGAGATTTATTCGACAGCTCGCTGAATCAATAATTCCCAAGTTCTGCAAGTATCGCACAGAGCGCAAGGAGTCAGCTTCCCACTGGTCTTCCGAGCAATCTCGCGGGTGAAGATGCGCCAAGCAGCAATTATACTCCTCTTCGTCTATCTGACGCAAGTCATGTCACTTTTGATACAGGATAGCCGGCAATACAGCAAAGCTGCCAGAGATGTTGTCACTCTCGAATCACGAACCGAATGCGACTGTTGCAGAGCACGAGGTTATGGTGTTGTGGGTACTGCTGGCACCGTGATGCTGCAGGAAATGGATATGTGCGTCAATCGACGTCGTGCAGCCATCATGGCATCAACGATTGTATTTGATAGTGCTCGGCTTGTGTCGAGAACGGTGCCAAAAGTCGAAGGTGTGCGGCTGTTGGTCGGCAATGCTGGCGAAACAACACATCAACACAAAAGCCTTTTAGGCTAAAGCCAAGCATCGAGCGGTTGTTCGCGATTGAACTCATTGTAGTTCGGCGCGGCATTGCATATCATTCAGCCCAGGTGGTTGGAGATAGATCTGCTGTCATTAACAAATATCGGTATCGGTATGGGTGGCAGCATACAGGATGGAGAGTGAGTGAGCTGCATCCAATCGTGGTGACTGTGATGAGGCATCAGTCGTCGTCGGAAGCGGAAGCGGGATTAGGACTAGCCCCTCTCAGTATGTAGTGCCGACGAGCCTTAATTCTAGGCTTTCTCATTGCTGCCAAGTCAACTCTCAGCCCCTCCCTCTCAACAGTGCCGACGAGCCTTATTAGGCTTCGCTTCGCTTCCTCCCACTGTGTCCACACACCGACTCTCACCCGCCCAACGACACTGTCGCACAGTCTGGCCTGGGTTTTGACAGTCACGGGCTACGACGACGACGAAGACGACGACCATCGCCGCTTCCGCATCCGAAGGCACGCCGCTGGCCTCCTCTCACCGAATCCTCGCGCATCAAAGAACACCGACCAAGCGAGCGCCACGAGGCGACGACGAGACAAAGAAGGATCGTATCAAAGCGACAATCGGATTCCATATCACCACCACATCAAACCGAGCGTCGAATCTGCTCGGTGCCGCTGCCGCTGCCGCTGCCGCTGCCACACGAACGTCCGCCATCCGCCATGTCGAGTTACAACGCCCGTCGCGCGCCCAATGTGTCGCAGTATGTCGCAGGCCTGAACCAGCCTGCGCCTGCCCCGGAAATCCCACAATTCGACGACTTCGACCCTCCCTTTGACACTCTAGCCAACCTCGAATTCTTCGATTTGGACGCCGCTGCTGCCTTCCCCAATCCAGACCCTACTTTCCCACACGATGCACACCTTGATGCCAAGAATGGTATGTTCGCTAGCTTAATAATCGAAGCGTCATGGTCCTGTTCGGTGGAATTTGTGTACTGACAATGCCACTTCGACAGGCCCGCAGCAATTCAATGCCTTCAACGACTTCCAGGCCTTCGCCGCCACTACACAAGCCTCGCCTTCCTCGGCCTTGCCGTCGCCGCCTTCGCTGCAAGGAAACTACCCTCCGCAGCCCCAATACCAGCACAACTCGCCTGTGACCGGCGACAAGCGAAGAGCATCTGCCGCTGCCCTTCCCACCGCCGCTGACCTGGAGGAAGCATCTCGTATGGCTGCCGAAGAGGACAAGCGCCGGAGGAACACTGCCGCCTCTGCTCGATTCCGTGTCAAGAAGAAGCAGCGCGAGCAGGCCCTTGAGAAGCAGACCAAGGAGATGACCGACAAGGTCAACGCCCTCGAGTCCAAGGTTCAACAGCTCGAGATGGAGAACAAGTGGCTGAAGGAGCTAATCACTGAGAAGAGCGATATAAAGATCCTAGAAGCCAAGCTGGAGCAAAGACACACTGAGAACAAGGACGCTGCCTCCCGGAGTACTGAGAGCCACACTGACGGTGTAGGCACAAAGGACGCCAAGACGGAGGAAGCGTAGAGCTGACATCTCGAGCAAAAGTATTTTATGCTTCACGTGATTCTAGATTGGGCGTTTCATCATATGCTACCGCGCTAGTTTGTCTTTGGCACAACACCTTGGCACTTTCCTACATACAAAAATGTTGTGGACGCGGATTCACTCAGGCTGTTGAGGTCTAATTATACCCCAGCCTTCCGACATTAAATTCTGAATACAGATGAATGCAAGCAAGCTTCTGCCAAATGATCTTTCTTCTCATCCCTTGCTGGCTGTCTTGGCCTTGATCTGCCTGCTAACGTGTCACAGGATATGACCTTGACCTGTCATTGCCTAAAAATGCCTTCGTCGCTACCAGCATTATGGCGCATGAAAGCCTACTCGAGTTGTACGGACATACTTGGCCAGGCAGTAACACCAATGGCCTTGATCATTGATGGCGGTGTCATGGAGTTACTGGCCTGTACATTCACTGTGAAATGGAATTCGGCAGTCCTGACTTCTACGAGTGCACCAGTTGGCTCGCCTGCTTGACAACTGTACCTTCCAGCTATGGAAAGCCAGGACATCTTCCCTAACGCGGGATGGAACCTCAAGAGCCCATCCAAGGCGGTGCATGCGGTTGCCATGATTATGTGCCTCCTGGCCAACACAATCCTTTCGAGCATGGCGTCAGACCTCTTCAGGTGGAAGATTTTCAAGGACCTGCACCAGAGAGCTCAGCTGGACGTGCGAGGCGGCAGCATGAGATGGTCATTGCAAAAGAGGTCGAGGCCCGGAATGCTGCAGTCAAAAAAGAGCAGGCAGCTAGAAGTGCTGATGCGGCGAAGCAGACACGACTGTTGGAGGTAGAGGAGAAGGGTGGCAGAGGGCTTCGATTACTGGCAGAGGCACTGGAAGGTGAAAGTCGAAGGTCAATCATGTGCCACAGTCTAAGGAATTTGAATAGGGCTGATGTCTTGCTAATAGCGCTATCTTCACTTGCGGAGGACGGATCCCGATTGTGACAAGCCCGCATACGACTGAGACTGGCAACCTCACACCAAAGACTGATGCCAACGTACAAGCACAGAGAGTTATGACCAGGCCAGTCACCATACGATGGGGTGGCGACGGGCTCGAACGACTTCTCAGACTGCCAGTGCAGAACTTTTCCGACCAACACGCACTTGGAGCTCTACTTGCCGCATGCGCGCCTGTCACATTCGGCCGTGGCGGCGAGGATGCCTTTGACGAGTCCTACCGAAAGGCAGGAGCGCTGCCTACGAGCGATTTCATGGCCGACTTCTGTCCTTACGAGACGGGCATCGTGGACGCTGTCGTTCAGCTCCTTCTTCCAACCATCACCAACAGCTCTTCTCCAGGCAACAAGCACGCGCTGAAACGAGGTCTGCGGGCAGAACACTACCAACTCAATGTTTATAGTGGACCAAGTGGGCTATTCAAGGCGCAAGTCAGTCCATTCGAAAGCCATGAAGATGCCATGCTGGAGCTGACTTTAGCCGCAGGTCGACACGCCTCGAAGCGAAACACAGGTCGGGAGTCTGGTAGTCTGCCTGCCTGTAGCCTTCAGAGGTGGAGAGCTTGCTGTTCGTCATCAAGGGCATGAGATTTTGCACGATTGGTCCTCAAACGCTGCCGACACACAAAACTCAATCCAATGGGCAGCGTTCTACAGCGACTGCGAGCATGAAGTCTTGGAAGTCACGCACGGTCATCGCGTCACACTCACCTACAACCTCTTCCTTGCGTCGGGTACTGGACTTCTTGGCGAGAAACCACTCAATCTAGAGCCAAAGCGGCTGCCACTCTTCCGTCAGCTGCAGAACACCCTGCGAAGCCCAGACTTCATGCCTATTGGCGGCTACATCGGGATTCATCTCACACATAGCTACCCACACACGAACGAGAAGCTCTATGGACTAGTGCCCAAAATGCTCAACGGCGTCGACATGGCAGTATACCAATCATGGATCACCTCCAACCTGTCGTTTGTCCTAGTCCCCGTCTCTACCACACTTAATCAGCACGCCTGTACAGTTTTTCTCCCGATTTCTTACGATAACAAATTCCTCCCTACTGACATTCAATTTCGCCTTCACTCTCCACGCCATCCGGCAAATCTTCGTCCAAATATCTTCGGTTCCACTCTCATTGCCAATCGCAAACTCAGGATCTCGTAGCTGAGCCAACGCCAACTCCCTCGCAATCCCATCAGCATCCAGAACCCTGGTTCTCTCGGTCATTGCAATGGCTCGCAGCACCGAAGCATCACTCAACATGCCCAGAAATGACGACGTAGATGGCAGATCCGGCGAGAGAATACTATCAATCAGCCATTCCCAAACCGAGTCATGCGATGCAGGCGAGCATGAGAGATGAGGTGATGACGGGATATAAGTGTCATTACCCAGCAGCGTTGCGAGGATTGGAGATGAAGGGCTGTATAATTGTGGAGTTCCGAGGAAAGATGAGATTGCGGTAGTAATGGATTTGATATCTTCCAATATTTCCGCTTGAGAGACACAGCCTAATGGAGGTCGATGCGAAGTGATCGGTTGCGGAACTGGAGGTGGACTGAGCGATGGCGTTGGAAGACTACACGGGAATCGTGGATGATTTTGGACATTCTCCATCCTGGGCGATTTGGTTGGTAGTTCGTTGTCCTGGATTGCTTCAAGCGTGTTTCTCGTTTCGATCTGGAGAACAACAATTCTGGATGCTTCATGTTCCCTTTTGATGCGCTTTTCGGAATTTGCGTTCTCGTGATCGTGTAGTGGCCGTTTCTTTGACGCTCGTTCAGGACCTTCAGTTGGCTGAGAGAGATAAGGCCCGAAAGGTCGCGTCTGGACTGCACTGTCACGGGAAGCGATTTGATGCTCAGCCAGAGCCGCCGATGCCAATGTAGAACCGTGCCATGCCTCCTCCTTGCTTACATGGCCATCGGTAGGTTCCATTGCGGATACTGGTACCATCACATTTGCGGCACTGCTCTTACCCGCGGTGGTCGTGGTTGATCCAGATGCACCGTCAGCATTCTTCTGAACAATAGCCCGAAGTTTGACCAAATACGTCTCCTTCAACATATCACTACCGATGGTAAAGAAGTGATTCAAAGCATCCTGGCTCTCCTTCTTGTCACTTCCACCGGGACCGTATTGCGCCTTCTTGTTCCCGCGAAGAGTGTAGCGGACCACTTCCCGAAGCGACTTGAAAGTGTGCAGTCCTCCTTGCCCAGATTTTGATCGATTCTTCAATTGAGTGGCAGCGATGAGCTGTTGGCAGAAATCATCTTGTGCTGCTTGGTCCGGATAGCTTTTGCCCGCTTCCAGGTTTTGGTCGAGTTGTTCGAGAAGGGCGTGCATCGCCAGTGGGTCGGTTGCCATGATTATGACTATGATCGATGTCGATTGTGTGATGCAGGAGGTGGGCATTCTGCAGGATGATGGTAATCTTATGTTCACCAAGTTTGTTGAGATGTCTTGTTCGATGCCATCTGAGACCCATCCTGCTGATTCCATTATCCTCATGAATTGTCTCATACCCTTTGTCTCAACATACGGGATGCACGCGAGTCTCAGCTTGTAAGCAGGTCGACCTGTGGTGCGCTTGTCAACCGCGGACCACGATCATCTTTATGCTTGTCGCTTTGCAGCATGCTATGCAAGAAAACTATCTCAATCTCTGCCATCCCGTTCCAGTCGGCGGTTTCAGCTCGCAGTCGTCGTTCCCACCTCAGCTTTAACCACTGCTTCTTCAGCGTCGGTACGTGGCCTACAGATGCCTGGCATTGTGGTGATGCCGACAAGGTCTCTTTCCTTGCTAAATGCAGTCTTGTAGAGGATTTCTGGGCCTTCGCTGGTTGAAGGCTGAAATGCGCTGGTTGATGGTTCGCCGCTGTCGCCAGGAGCTCTCTCAAAGCGACTCGGATGCTACTGTGAATCAGAATATGCGTTATATCCAATGGGCGGGAGAATAAATCACTTGTTAGAGTGCTGGACAATGTTGGTAGGTCTCAGAGAAAGTCCTTGGGCTTGGCGCGGCCAGCCATCTTCTCCATTCATGCTCGTCGTTCCAGTCTAGATTCTGTCACCTTTTTCTTCCCGATGTGCATCAAGCACTGCTACACGTCTCGACCATACGCCGTCTGAGGCTCAAGCACTTGATACTTCACCTCACCGTCCGTTGTCGATACCGTCCCATGCATTCTACCAGGGCCACGAGCACCCTCGCATCGTTTACAAGAACGTTTACAAGCAGATTCACAATGGAACAGCATAGCATGAAAACGGCTGGCGTGCTTTCGAGACCGACATGCTTAAGGAGAAGGTCGTGGAGAATATCGGATGCTCTTATAACTACTTGCGTCCTTGTCTTCAGCACACGCAATGTCCAATCGACCCCAGTGTTTCAATCGTAACCCCACAAACTCCCTCCCTCCAGGGTCACCAGCGAGGCTGACACATCACAAGAGTATTGGATACCGATTGCAGACAGTAGTACGGAGGATATCACTGATGAGAAATGCTGTGCTTCTTCTTGAGCGTTCCGTCCTGAGATGATCGCCTTTGCTCCAATGCTACCATTAGTAATACTAAGTCTGCTCTTTCTTCACAATTCCGTAGCTCACTCTGGACACAGCCTGAAAGAAGAGCTCGCCCAACGCGGACAATGGCTGAAAACGCGGCCTCGAAAGCATAGACACTTGCGCTGAACAGCTCCAAAAACGTGGACTCCTTGACGATGCTACAACGAGACGGGCAGAGTTACTGCAAAGAGCTCGGCTAAAGCGAGGCATAGCGGAAGGACAACTCGCGCGCAGGGACTTCAAGTAATACGACTTCTCGCATGCCTCGAAGCAAAAGGTATCGCCTAAGACGGATGCCCGCACACTCTTCGCTCAATCCTCGAATTGCGTCCTCACGCCCGAGATCGATGTTCTTGGACACTACATTGCAGATGGCCTGATGCGATCTGTGATCCACGAGAACCAACCCGGCATACCTCTACACATGGATGTTCAAGTCATCAATACCCGCACCTGCAAACCTATGCCAGGTGTCTACCTCGATATCTACCAATGCAACTCTACCGGCGTCTACTCAGGTGTGGTAGCAGAAGGCAATGGCAACGGCCTCACAGATCCATTTAATATCCGCTCCAATCACGGGCGAGGTGTTCAGAGAACAGATGCCAACGGCGTAGCTCAATTCGAGTCAATATTTCCAGGACACTACTACGGCGTTGCAAACCACCTCCATGTGCTTACCTATAAAGGTCTGCCGAAAGGCCCGGCGCCAGACGCTCAAGGAAGGCAGTTCGTGGAGGCTACGCATAATGGAAGAATCTTCTTCGATCAGTCTTTGATCTCAAGAGTTGAAGCTTTGTCTCCGTATAACAGGAATCGACAACCTCTTGCTCTAAATCATGACGATCAGGCTGTGACCCTGGAAGCCTCCAAGACGGATCCTTTTGCGAGGTATGCTATGGTTGGAGATAAACTGGAAGATGGCATTGTCGCTTGGACAAGTGTTGGTGTCGATCCGAATGCTCTACACCCGTTGGCATACTTGAATGAGGGCCATGATGGCAATGGAGGATGAAACAAAGCACATGAGCCTGGCATGATGTAGATATTGCGAATTTATGATTATGATTGTCAATATATGCATCACATGCACTCCGTGCTCAGACACTTCACTTGACAGCAGGATTGCGATAGACCAAAATCAAAAGTTGTATATCAAGTCAACCATATAAACGCTGTACACAAAGCACCACCCTACCTCCTTCCCAGGCTCTTCGTATGCAGACTTCTACCTTCTACCTTCTACCTTCCTTTACCTAACCTACGTATAATTAGCGTCGATCGGTACTTTCGGATATTCTATATACTTGATGTGTGTGTAGTGTCTCTATTACGTGTATAATGCCTAAGGCTAAAACTACACACTTTATCTTCGGCTTTCTATAGAATTAGCCTATTCTAAATATATTATAGTTTTATATCTTAAGTAGCTATAAGCCCCCTACGTTTCTAATACGTAATTTAATACTTCTAATAGTTAATCCGACTACTACGTAGCTAGCGCTCGTTACTAAAAATTACGCTAATACTATTATCGTCGCCGCCGCCGCTCTTAAGTATTCTAGTAGGTACTAGTCTAACTCGAGTTAGTTACTATAATATTAGTATTAGCTATCTACTATACTAGAATAATAGTATCGGCTGTCCGCTATACGAATACAATATAGGCGCGCCTATCGGCGGCCTCTTAAGACAAGTCTATAGTCTCTTTTATCGCTACTACTATCTATAATAGCTCCCCCTATAACTTCTAACGCTTATAAGTTATATAAGTAACATTCCTAAGCTAAAGAATAAGGAGAACTATTTAGTATAGGCCTATACCGCTAAGAGTACTCTTAAAGGTATCTAGGTATATCGCTATATCTAAGGGACCCGTCTAAAGCCTAAAATTAAGATATTATCGTCTAAGACCTAGGAAGAATTCGAAGACCGCTAGGATAAATAGGAGGCAAAGGACTAGTTAGCGCGTACGTAGATATTCGCTAACTATATATTAGAGATCTAGTAGTCGTTACTTAGACTCGATACCTCTAAGATAGTATAGGAGTACCTATATAAGAAATATACTAGTAAAGGTAGGTCTACTAGATCTATACTCTTCTAGGACTATATTGCCCTTTGCTATAATAGTAAGGATATCGAGAAGTTCTATAATAGGTATAAGAAGAAGCTCGGTACCTTAGGGGATAGTAAATTAGCTATTAGCTAGTATTAAGCTATTTATATGTTTATTATATAGATCGCTCTATTCTACGAGGCTTTCGTATAGACACGCCGTAAGTACTATAAACGCGCGCCTTGGAATATACGATTAGCGATAGTATTCCTGATTATATTACTAGCGCGCCGTTACTTAATAAGAATATAGCTTAATTAAATTACTAGTAGGCCTAATATAATAGCTTCTTCGGTCTTTAGCGCTAGCTACTATACTAAGGCAGTAATAGTAATAACAGTAGTAGTTAAGGTAACTCGAACTATAGCGGTCGTAGTAGCTACGGAAATAATAATAGTTAAGGCCGTAGTAGAAACAACTAGAATAGTTAGAATAGTTACTAATCTAACTATAAGAAGTGCGCCTATTACTAATTTATTCGGGAACGTATCCTTCTAACTACTACTATAACAAATACTCTTACCTAAAGGAGGAAGACTAACTACGCTATAAGTAGTAGAAGGCTACTATAAGAAGAAGAGGGAATAGTAATAGTAGTAGCGTAGACTAACTACCTAGCAACAATACTAGCTGCTGTAGTTATATATATAAGGCCTATTTGCTAAGAATATACCGCCCTTACTTTATAATAATCTACGTCTAGATTAAGCACCGCCGCCTAGTTCTAGTAGTAACTATAGCTTTACTATAACGGTTACTATTAGCGACTATACTAGGCATACGGTTACGGTATAGAGGTATCGTAACGATTATATTATACAAAGTTAATACATTCTCTATAGTACTACGAGGTAGGCTATCTGTATAATATACCTACCCTTAGGGGCAATAGCGACCGTAGCGGTCTATAGTAAACGCTACCTACTATCGTATATATAGATAGATAGATATTTCATTTGCCTGTTGTAGTGCCTTTCGGCCTATGTAGGTCTGTTTCTATGTATTGTTTTAGGTAGGAAACCAACTTAGTTGGTAAAAACCTCCCTCCTGTCCTATTTATAAGTGTTAATCTTCCTCGTTTCCTTGTTTTCCTTCCTCTAGGTTATACTAGTATTATAGTTGTTACCCTCTAACTACCTTGCCTACTACCCTACCCTTCTTTCCCCCTCTTCTTCCCTCCTTCTTATCTACTCCTTAGTTTCCCTTACTAGTGCGAATTGTTGTACAAATCCCTATTTAATAATCTACTTTACTATTCTCTTTAGGTCTTCTTTGCTCTAGATTAGTTTATCGTATTCCCTTTCTATTACTTTTAGTCTCTAATCGCTTCTACCTTCTAACTATTAAGGGCAGACTAGCAGTATATACTTAGGGTTCTAAGATTAGTAGCTATATTAGTAAGCTCTGCTTTCAATTCCTAGGACGTTTCTTCTAAATAGGTAAGATCTAAGTCTAATATATTTAGATCTAATTTAGATAGCTAGGCTTGCCTCGGCCCTATTTAGGTCCTTATAGAGCTAGTAGTTGTATTGACCAAATTTGATTAGTGCCTTTAGGGTTCCTAGTCTAACTTGTGTTTTATTCTATTCCTACTCCTATAGGTATCTAGTAATTGATTCTACTAGGCTTTGTTTCTCTCCCTTTAGCTTATCTTCCTTTAGCCTTATATTTAGTCCCTAAAGCTCTTTCTCTAGCATTTCTCTTATTAAGACTCTATATTGCTCTAGGTCTTTGACTTTTTAGGGAGTTATTTATAGTCTGTCTCGCCTCCTAGTCCTAATGCACTAGGCTTTTATCTTGTCTAGTGCCTTTTAGATAGTCTGTTAGGCTAGGTATTCTATTGTCTTTGCTATATATTAGTATCTTAGTCCCTTAAAGTATTGTTTAACTAGTAGGATCCCTAATTCTATTTCTACTACCCTTGTTAGTATAGTTTTGTATGCTCCTAGGATTTTCTTTAGGCTTTAGGTTTAGGACCTGCTAACTAGTTGCTCAATCCTCTTTAGTGTTTTCTCTTAGGCTGTCTATATCTATGCTCTATATAGTATTGCTAGCTTAATAATTGCTTTGTATATAACTTTAGCTCTCTCGAATATAGCCCCCTATATAGAGGCTATAAGCCTATTAATAGATTGTATATTAGTATCTGCCCTCTACTTTGCCTTCTTTACTTATAGTCCCTAATTCAGTTTTAGATCTAGCTAGATCCCTAGTACCCTAAGCTCTACTAATAGTTAGGTTTCAAAGCCTTAGATAGTAATTGATTGCTTTATATTGTAGGTTGATTTAGCCTTACTAAAGTGGATAAGCTAGTACTTTTCTAGGGCGAATTTTGCTCTATGCCTCCTTACCTATTTTTTATACTCCTAGTGCTTCTCTTCTAGGATCTTGTAGTTGGTTTCTGTTGTCTTAGACTAGGCTAGGATGTTTATATCATCTATAAACCCTAATGCTAATATATTCTTTAATTTTAGGAGTAGGAGTAGGTCTACTATAAAGATAAGGAAGAGGATTAGGGAGAGTATTAATCCTTAGGGGATTCCCTTTTTAGTTAGTATTAGGTCTAATTTGAATTTGCCTAGAATGAGCTGTATTAATCTTTCCTATAGGAAGGACTAGATAAATTGGACTATCTAGTTTAGTATAGCTTTCTATTTAAGTATATATAGGAGCCTTTTATAGGAGATATTGTTAAAGGCTCCTAAGATATTAAGGGAGAGGAGGGTTGCTACCTAGTTTTAACTATAGTACTAGATATACTTAATCTGTTCTATAATTAGTTCTATAGCTATTAGTATTGACCTCTTCTTTCTTCCTCCTATCTAGCCTTTAGGAAGGATATTCCTTTCTTTAGCAAAGGTTATTAGCCTTTTAGCGATAATTTTTTCTAGTACCTTGCCTATTATATTAAGTAGGGCTATTAGTCTATAGGCCTTGAGCTATGTATAGTCTTCCTTCTAGGGCTTCCTTAGCACTACTATTAGGGACTTCCTAAATAGTCTTAGGTAGTGTCCTAGTGCTAGGCTTTATAAAAAGATATTGGCTAGTGCTAGGGCTAGCCCCTTCCTATATGCTTTTAGAAGTTTGTTATAGATCTTGTCTTCTCCTAGTGCCTTGTTGCCTAGAATTTTCTTTAGGATTATTTCAATGGTTTCGGGTTTAACCTAGGTGTCTCTTAATGTACCTAGCGGTAGAGTCTCTTATTCTTTCTCCTTTATGTCTAATAGGTCTGCTTGTACTTTTCTATAGAAGAAGTGTTAGCCTAAGGCTCTTGCTTTCCCTTCTATTATAGTCTACATTTATCCTTATTAGTCTATAATGTCCGGGAATTATAGTAGTATATCCTTATCCTATTTAGGTCTCCTTACCTATTTAGCTATCCTCTATATCTCCTCTAGTTTCTTTATAATTATTCCTATTGTAGATCTCTATTCTTATATCTTGTCTTTCTTAATCTAGATCTTCTTTTCTTAGCAGGCTTTATTATAGTTGTCCTATGCTTCCTAGGTATAGGTTTGTGTCTACTGCCTCTTAGCCTTCCTTACTACTTTAACCTTCCTTATATACTTATTAGTCTAGTATAGTTGCTAGTATAGTAAATGTTTCTTTGCTAGGGTATGCTTTCTAGCTACCTGTTTTAGGATTCCTATTAGTTCTTCTACTACCTTATCAATATCCTCTAGCCTTAGTAGGTGCTTTGTTAAGAGTTCCTCTAGTTTTAGGTCCCTTTCTAGTTCCTCCCTAATCCTGCCCTATTAGGCACCTTTCTAGTTAAGCTTCTCCTCTAGTTCCCTTTCCTAATTAGCTTAGACATTTAGCTTAATCTATACCGGGAAGTAGTCTAATAATTCTTCTAGTTCCTAGTTGACCCTGTATCTTATAATCCTGTCCCTAATCTAATGTAATATAAAGTATAGGTCTAGTGTGCTACTGCTTCCTCTTACTTCCTAAGTAATTAGTCCCTTTAGGGTAACAATTTCTATTCCTTCCCTCTCTAATATGTCAATTAGTCTTCCTACTAAGAAGCAGTAAGCTAGGGTAAAGTCTAAGCCCTAGAGGGGGTAGTAGAGGTTGAAATCCCTAAGTAGGATTTAGTAGGTATTCCCCTAGATAACTCTAGGTAGTCTTTCTAGGGTTTTCAGTTAGGTACTGCTTCTTAAGTCTAGTAGTAGGTTGTATATATAGTAGACTTAGAGTATACCTTAGGATGTCTCTACTTAAACTAATATTAGGTCCCTATCCTCCTATAGTATAGCCTACTAGGTTTCTATATCTATCTCTTTACTAATATAGATGTATATCCTTAGGGCTCCCTAGTTATAGATAATTGGGTAGTATCTCAGGTCTTTGACTATTGCTAGTCTCTTTATATATAGGTTGAGCTAGGGCTCTTAGACTGCAACAATATAATATTCTTTTGGGTTTAGTGCTTAAAGGAAGCTCCTCTATACCTTGTCTTTGCTCTTATTAACATTGTACTACATAATATTTAGTAATATTGTAATGTTTATTAGGTTTTATCTATATTATTTCCCTATAAGTTTTCCTTTAGTCTTCCCTTACTTTAGACTAACATTTAACTAAGCTTTATCTGCCCTGCTTCCTTTCCTATAATATTAAGGTATCTTAGTCTCCCTAGTTGCTAGTAACTCTCTTATGCTAGTAAGGCCCTAAATATAAACCTATTATCTTGTCTAGACCTCTTTTATAGCACTTAGCTAGGTTGCTTCTGCACCTAGCTACCTTAGCTTATTGTGTATCTTTTTAGTGTATTAATTCTGGCTTCCTTTGCCTTCCTAGCTACCTATATTTTTACTAGGCATTCCTTCGCCTAAGAGGGGTGTCTTTTAGTATAGTATATACATCTTGCTTCTCCCTTATATACTTTGCATTCTTTAACCTAGTAATCCCCTATATAATAGGAGTAGGTATTAGTTGTCTTTATACACTTAGCTGCTAAGTGTCTATAGTATTGATATTTGAAGCACTGCATTATCCTATAGTTGCTTCTATATATCTCTATTTCTAATCTTTTAAAGTCCTAGAACAACCCCTAGTCTAGTACTATATTAGCTTACTCTATACTCCCTACTTAGATAATTAGGGAAGACTGCTTCTTAGTCTCTTCGATTTTCCTTTTAATCTATGCTACTTTTGTAATCTTTAGGCCTAGGCATATAGCTTAGTTTTGTCTCTATAGGCTCTTAATATCCTGTTCTTCCTTAAAGCTTCTTATTATACTATAGGCTATAATTATAAATTGCTATTAAGAGACCCTCGCTGTTTTCCCTATCTTAGTTGTCTATTCTTTTTATGTTTCTAGCTTCTTTTTGTCCTACTCTTGTACTATAAACAGCTTGATTACCCCTTTACCTTCGTTCCTAGCCCTAATTACCTCTTTAACTGCAATTCTTTCTATAATCTCTTTCTCTATAAGTCTTTAGATTTCCTTTTACTCCTATAGGTCCGTAATATAGACTCTAACTACTGTCCTCGGGGGTTTTAGCGCCTCCTAACTAGCTACTACTGCTTAGATGCGGTAGTTTAGGCTTATCTCCTATTGTTTCTTCGTAATCTTTGCTACGACTGTATTAGCTACCTTTGTAATTACGTAGCTTGCCTAGTTATAGATTGCTTTCAGTCCTCTAAGGAGTTCTAAGATTATTATCCTATATGCCCTCTTAGGGGTTCTTCTATCTTCCGCCTTTAGCACCTCCTCTACCCTAGTATATAGTGCTTTCTATTCGTCCTCCCTTCCTTCTTAACTATCTTCCCTTCGTCTCTAATTGTTCGCTACCATTTTTTCCTATCGTATATATAAGGTATCGTATTATTAGCTAGTAACCGGCCCTATATATACGGGCTAGGGTTTAAGCCTATAAAAGAGGCCTCCTTCTATATAGTAGATAGATTATTAACCTCGTATAGCATAATGTTTATATTACACTTCTATAGTACCTATATTATAGGGCTCTAGTTACTAGCCTAAGCGACTTGTTTGTTATCCTATCTTGCTAAACATAGCTGCCTATATTGTTATAGGTTATATTACCCTCGGTTGCCTATACTACTGCTACTACTAGTAGTAGTAGTAGTAGTAGTAGTAGTAGTAGTAGTATTAGTTTCCGTCCTTTAGTATTATAATAGACTAGGTATCTATAGCCCTTACTACTACTATCTATACTACTAACTAGGTTATAGACTCTAGTACTAGTATATATATAGTTAATAACCCTACCCTACTTCTTAAATATAAGGGATATAATATTCCTATCTAATTTAGAGGTAAACTAATACTAAGCGCGCTACTTTAGTTAGCGTACGAGACGACGTACTAGCTACTTATACTCTAGCTTACTAGGTAACGCGTTTACCTCTTCTAGCGACAAATAGTTAGTATATATAGCGATAGTAAGGTTAAAATAAGCGCGATACGTAAGTTATAACTATAAGAAAGAGGTAGAATAGGTCGATAGGTAGGATATAGAAATAGCCGCTAGATAAGGTCGAGTTTAGCTCTATCGTTTATAGGCCTATACTATACGACTATAAGGCTTTAAACTAGCTCGAAATTGAACCTCTTAGCGGTCTATATATAGCCTACAAACAACTACAGAAGTAGACAAGCCGCCGCTATAAACCTAGCCGCCGTAACAGTTTGCTACCCTCGCATTCTTAGTTAGTATACATAGACCTAGTTTGCCACTTGTCCCGTCTGACAATGCTAAACAACTTTTCGGCAATGAAGATGGAAAGCTTCGATAAGCATTAGCAGAGCCTAAACTGCGATTCGGGTATCTCTATGTATAACAAAGCGTGCATACCAGCGCCAGAAGGTCCGTATCTTACTGAGCCCGCGCGCAAGGCTTGTAGTCCTCATCGTCTGCATCGTCCGTCACAACAACGTCGCCATCGACATCACCATGCTCACGGGAGAACTCCGAGAAGCTACCATTCCAGATCTCGCCCCGAACATCCCATTCATCTTTACCGGCCTTGATTCTCCAGTTGATGGTCATATCCGTCTCGTCCTCGTACCGAATCGTGACATCAGCATCGAAATGATAAAGCATGTTGCCTTCATCATCGGCCACCAGATCGCATTCGGAGTTGGCAAGACGATTTCCATCCAAGACACCCGTCACAGTGACCCACTCATGGACGCCATCTCGAAGGTCATTCTTGCCCCAAGGTAGACCAGCATCATGCGTCTTAACTAGGGCAGATTCGTGATCTCTGAAGCTACCGGCTCTGGGGTCAAGGTAGACGAGCGTGGCCGTGACCTTCAGGTCCGTCGGGCTGGTACGATACAGAAGAGTCTGCGACTTGCTGGTGGGATTCGGGGACAGGAGATCTTGGTTGTCAAGGATGATGACCAATCGATCAATCACCATATCAACGTCCTCGCTGTCGCCATACGGGCATCGCTTGACTCTGGACCGCACGGGAATCATTTTGCCGTGCTTCTTGCGAAAGCAGTCAGGATGATCATCCTGATCAGCCACTTCGTCTCGAATGAGTGCATAGGAGTACACGAACGGCAATCTCTGATTGGCGATCGCATCGTATCGAGATGACAAAGCGCCTTCAGCAACAGCGGTAGCCCTGTCGTGTGGATCAGAAAAATGCAATCGCTGCGCCATGGTGACTGACTTACTCGACATTGTCCGATTCCACCACGACGGTCTCGTTCTCCTTGTTATATCGTTCAAACATTGCCTTTCTCACGAACTCGCTTTTGCCAAAGCCGCCAGCGATCAAGATCAGCTTTGGGGCCGGCTTCCCAGCAATTAGAGAGTCAATTGCGGCCATGATGGCTTTAATTGGTTCAACATGAGCAGCTTCAACGTCCTCTCTAGATTCGAATATGCGTCAGAACTGCTGCACAATCGAGGACAATACCAGTCACATACCTCTTCAGATTGCCGTCGTATAGGCGATCGCATTCCCCGTCCTTGTAGACGCAGATCGGGGTGACTCGAGCGACACCTTGTTTGTTGACCTTGGCGCCCTCTATTTGTCGAAGGAAGTGCCATCGAAAGGCCTCTGGGCTCATTTTGCCTTTGAGATTCTCATCGTACTTGCTGCCGTCCTCACGGACATTAAGTCTCTCATAGACGGCTTCATTGACCCAGTGAGACCCACAGAGAGCTCCATTTGCTTTTCCGACAGCGTCAAGCGGCGTGCCCACCCCCAAGTCATCCTTCAGCTGATACAGAACAAAGTCACCAGTGCCACAGCCCAGGTCAGCGACGAGAATGTAGTCCCCCTTCTTTGGAACTGTCGGGAGGTTTGCGAGAACGGTCTTGTCGAGAAAGTCGGCGATAGCGCACTGTGGCTCTGATGCAGGCACAACGATGTTGGCTCCTGCAGAGTGGACGGCGCGGAGCACTCGGGCACGAGCTTTTGGTGACCATAGCTGAGGCATACTAACGCGCGCGCGCTTAGGCATACGCTTCAGCTCCTCCAATCTGAAGCTTTGACCCAACTCAGTATGAGGGAGCCGCTCAACTGCGAGGTCGAACACCGCTTTGCAGTAGTCGGAGATGGCCTGCATGTTCGTCAGAATGTATAAAACTCAGAACATGCGCATCAAACTACCTCGTCCAGTGTCTTCCCAGCTTCTCTCAACTTTCGCTTGACTGCTTTTACAGCACGACCGTTCTCGTCCCAATACTTCTCGTAATACCCAAGCTTCGCGCACTGAATGATGTGCTCCGCCGGAATGTGCCTGGAATCACTGCTTGGCAATGTTGCTCTCTCCTCGAGGTCGGCGCCGATAACGAACTCGCCGTTGTAGTAGGCGAAGCATGATGGAATGTCGGGGCTTTGTCCAAGATATCTGATTTAGAGTAACGGAGTCAGGGATGCATCGCAGGGCAGAAACGTTGCAAATAGATAGAGTTGTCGGGGTGTATGTGAGAAGCCGAAGAAATGATATGATTGCAAATCTGATACCGGAAGTGATGAAGTTTCAGGCATATCATCGTGTTGTGGAGTTGTTGACGCGTAGGTGAAGCGTGTCTTCGAGAAGCGCGCCTCATGCGGTGATGGCTCGGAGATGGAGGGTACTTACATGACCTTCTTCCTGGAGACGATTTGCTCGGCTCGGTTGTCGACGGAGTACGCAAGCTTGGTCGACGATGTCCCCAAGTCCACGCCGAATAGAAGGCGGAACTTGGGTGGGTCTGCCATGGTGGTGAGGTGGAGGTGCTGAGGTGATCGCAGACGTCGAGGGAGGATTTGCTGCCATCTCAACTAGCCTCTCCCGGAAGGATGTAGCCGAGACCGAGAAATTTCTTGTTGACTGTTGACAAGCGCGTGTAGGCTTGGCGCTCGCGAGAGGTGAAGTCTGCACGCGCCAAGACAAAACAACTTCGTCCTTGACCTCCACATCAAATTTCCAGAACCCTCGATTCCCTTCAGTGACTGCATCTACCAGGTCGAAACCTCACCCAAGAAAGTTCCATCGACCGTCAGTCCAATACCATCAGCGAGAACATCGAAAATGCCAGCAGACGCGCAGACTACCGTGAGCCCACGCGCCACCTCGAGAATGCTGTATCAGGCGATTGATGAGTGCCGTGGAGAGCATCTTACTCGTGAGAGTCAGGAGCATTTCCTGAACGCACTCATCTTCAAGCATCAGCTGCAATTTGATGCAAAACATCTGCGACGTCACATTGCACTCAGGTCCAGGCTGAAGAAGAATCCCAGTCACACCGTCAACGAGTTCTGGCGCCTCGGCTCCGACTTCTTTACAGAGCAGCACCTGCGTGATATTGGATACCGCCGGCAGACCACATCTGGCACAGAGCCATCCACCCACACGACGAACACCGAGATTGACGATTCGCAAGGTTCGCACGTTACGCAATCCAAGAGTCGCTCGCCACCCGTAATTGCCGGCACCAAGCGTGGCGTAGAGGAGGCACTAGAACTCTCATCCGACGAGGAGATGGAGGTCGCTCATCGCCCAACGAAAGCCAAGAAGACAGATGGCGCAGGAAGCAAAATCTTAGCTGCCGCGCCTGCTCCGAAGTCAAAGAAGCGAGCTCTTGACCAGCGCGAGGTACCAAGCAGCAGTGACCAGGAGCTAGACCGGGACTCGAAACGTCGAAAAGTTGATGCAGATATCAACGCAAGTCTGCGACCATCCAAGCCAAATCAGGAGGCTCCAATCATCACAGGTAGCAAGGAGACCGCGACTGCGGCAGCCTCAGCTAGTGGGGACACGCAGCAGAACGCTACGAAGGAAGCGCCCACAGTGGCCGAACTGGCACAAGCGGCAGACGCCATTAGAAATGGTTCGAGAAAGCCGCGCTGGGACGACTGGCGTTTAGATCGTGCTTTCCAGCCAATCCAGGATACCAGAGCGAGCTTCTGCGAGGCTCAGAAACAGAAGCTTGGGGAGTGGGACGCTGTGGACACTGAGAGACCACTTTTCCCTCCTGAGCTGCCACTGCCAGGAGACCTTAACGATAGAGCAAGAATGGAGATATACAACCGCGTTCTCGGGAACATCGACAGCAACATGAAAAGCGCATGGTGGCAAACGATGTGCTTGTTCGTTAATTTCACCGAGAACAATAATCTGGAGAAACGTGGCCCAGCTCAGCTCGTCCAGGATGCTTCGCCAGAGCTGAGCGCATTGTACGAGAGAGTCTTCGCCACTAAAGAGTGGTTTAGCAGCTTCACTAGGCGCGTGAACCAGGACAAAGCGTGGGGCCTCGAAGCGGAAGACGTCTTCACCAGCATGGTGGCTGCCGCGGTATACAAGGATGTCTTCACTGCCAAGCAGCCATGGGAAGTGGGCGACAGTATCAAGGACGCGCTTGGAGACAAGTACAAGTTCCTCGAGGAGACCATCAAGGACGAAGGTCACAGGTTGGACATACTGCTCAAGGTGTGCTCGTACAAGGTCGTCAACGACAAGAAATTTCAAGAGACCGCAATAGCAGAGCACGCAAGATTCCTTGCAGCCAAGCTTCTGACAACTCTGACGCCTCATCTCCTGCTGTTCCGCAACACACAGAAGCCTCCCAAGCCCGATGAAAACCCACATTATCGACCGGATTTACAGCCGCGTCTAGGTTCAGTGTTGCTCGAGATGCTGGAGGAACTCTATCATGAGTGCTTGGTCTCGAAGGGCAAAATGGAGTCGTATTGGGAAGCTCGCTATGAATATTTGTGGCCCGACGCCAACACCGTGATGGACCGAAAGGCGTGTATTTCAATGAACCAATCCAATGACGAGAAAAAGATCATGTTGACCTATTGGCCTGCTGTCCGCTGCAGCAAAACTGGATATGACGGAGTGGAGGAAGTCTGGTTCGCGTCCAGGGCAAGAGTACGAGCATGCCCAAGCTTGGAGTAGCGAACAAGTGTGATGCGAAGAGATATCCGGGCTGTTCACAGACATTATTGCCGCTTGGCAATGCATTCAAGGGAATGGTGCGAAGGCGACCTTGCGAAGCAGCAATGGAGATTTGAGGGTTGAATGCGACGAACGCTTTGAAGGCTGGTCTCTGGCGTTATGGTTATTTGGGTTCTGGATTATTTGGCGTTTGGAAAATATTGGCTTCGCAGGATAGAGCGCAGGCCAGCGGTCATTATGCACACTGCTCTCCACTTTTTACTCGCCGCCTTTGGTGGTTTGAGTCGGTGGATAGAGGGTGAGCAGGTGACTTCTCGCTTGAAGGAAAGAGGGATACCAGCGCCGTAGCACTCTCCAAGCTTTGTACTCGCCGCTTTCGGTCGGTTTGAGTTGGCTAGAAGAGGCCTCGGCCCTTGGCTAGGCCCCTAGCTCATGCTGGGTGAGTTGGCGGTGCAAGGTGAGTGGATCTGTTGGCAATGCCTCGACTCCTGGCTCAGGCTGGTTGAGTTGGCAATTGACGATAGTATGCTTTCTCAGCAATGCTTGGACTCCTGGCTGAGGCTGGTTGAGTTGGCAATGGAAGACGGTATCCCCTCTTATCAACGCTTTGACTCCTGGCTCAGGCTGGTCGCGTTGGCAAAGACTAGCGATCAGCTTGACGGTACAACCGCTTGTATATAATCTGCATTCCTTTTCTTTCTTCGGGCGTGATGGGTGCGTCCACAGGCATTCAATCTCATCGTCTTCTGGGTCTCAGCTCTTCCCTGTAGCAACGCAAGTCCCTCTGTCTTTCTCCCGAGGCTGTGATGCCGACATACAGCCCGCGTCGACAGTCCGCCTTGTCTCACGTCCATAGCACTCTCCGTCCGTGCCAAAGGGATGCATCTCAGCCCTCTCTTTGGGTATGGACCTGCCGAGTCCGATCGAAAGCATTTCTCGTCCTGTATGGGGCCCAATCGAAGCAACGATCAGTCCGGCGATGTGGTAGCGCGTGAATACAGCGGGTTGTGAAAGCTGAGGGGGAGGCGGAGAGGAAATCGCGAGATTGGCCCGTGCGCACGCGTTCTCGACTGCAGGCGCATGCCGATGCAATACATTCCCTTCCCTTCCCGGTCAACGACACCTGGTCCCAGCCTGACACGCTCGTTAGATCAGGCTGTGCTGTCGAGGACGGGAGCTCAAGTGCTGCGGGAGCAATGCTGCGCGACAAGGAACTCGGCGCCCCCCTTCTGACTCCACAGAATGCTGTGATCTGCTTTGGCTGAATCCTGCACCCACCACCGATCATGCCCGGCATACCAGGCAAAAAGCTCGGTCAGAAAGTCGACATTGACTTCACTCTGCGGAAGGTCTTTGGCAGAAACTCGTTCAGGTAGGCACAGACTCGTGCTCCGGTCATGCCTACATCAATCTGACCACGGACAGACCAGTGCAACGAGACGTGGTAACAGCAGCACTCGATGGCCACGATGTCTTCCTTCAAGCGGCCACTGGGTTCGGTAAAAGTCTGTGCTTTCAACTACCCGCAGTCGTGGACTTCGGAATCACCATTGTCATATCGCCGCTACTTGCCCTCATGAACAATCAGATGGCTGGCCTGCGAGCAGCTAACATCAAAGTCGAAACCATCAACAGCACCACCGCTTTCTCCAAAAAGACAGAGATCCTCAATGACCTCAAAAGCGGTCACCCTCATACTCGTCTGCTTTATGTCACTCCCGAATACTGCCAGTTGGACCACTTCCGGAATCACCTCCGCATTGTCTACCAGCAGCAGGAGCTAGCAAGAATCGCAGTCGACGAGGCTCATTGTATCTCGGAATGGGGTCATGACTTTCGACCCAGCTTCAAGGAGCTGAATTGGTTCAAGAAAGAATTCCCAGACATCCCGATGATCTGCTGTACAGCTACTGCCACTCAAGCGGTTCGAGAAGATGTCATTAGCACTCTTGCCCTCAATCCCACCAAGTTGAAGACATTCACCATGACCACAAGTCGCCCGAACCTTCATTACGAGATTCGTTTCACGAGTGATGACCAGGATCGCTACGACAACTTGCTTGCCTGGATTCGCGCCACACATGCGCGTCGAGCTAACAACCCGACTCGCTCGCAAGAGCTTAAAAAACGTGGTGAGCGATCGACAAACGTTCCTGGAATCATATATACCTGGTATCGAAAGGACACCGAGGCATTGGCAACCCGCTTGCAAGCGGACGGAATTGGTGCGAAGCCTTACCACGCCGGCCTTTCAGTGGAGCAGAAAGACGATCATCTTACAGGTTGGGTCAAGAACAGAGAGGGCTACGATATCATCGTCGCCACCACAGCGTTCGGTATGGGCATCGACAAGGACAATGTCCGTTTTGTAGTTCATTGGCAAATCCCGAAATCCTTCGAGGGATACTACCAGGAAGCTGGCCGAGCTGGAAGAGATGGGAAGGCCTCGATGTGTATCTTGTACTACAGTCGCGAGGATCGAGATCGTGCTGCGAACATGATGCAGCGAGAGATTCAGAAACTCAGTAATGCTCGCAACAGCAATGTGAAGGCCAACTATAACCGAGGCAAGAGCTTGCAAGCGCTGATTGGATTCTGCGAAAGTGTAAGCAAATGCAGGCACAAGATGATTGCGAGCTACTTTGGCGAGCAGGAGACGCCTCCTTGCGACTGGGCTTGCGATTGGCATAAGGATTCAAAGGGCCTGGCGAAGAGGAAGGATGAGGACCTGGCAAGCGAAGAGTGGGTAGCCACGCAGAATCAGATGGGAACGTATAGTAACGACTATTATGAATGAAGGCAAAGTGGTGTCGGTCATTGGCTCCGGCTACTTATTTGAAGCTTAAAGTACAAATGGTCGTCCTACTTGTAAGCAGCGACAAGATCCATAGCAAAGTTCAAGGCTCTCGATTCGAAGAGGATAAGGGCTCGACGGGATCTCGACGCGGCAAGCAAGATCCACGGGGTAAGCACCGACCTTTGTGCAGCAGTCCTCACTTACTTTCGGTATTAGGTATGCTTTTGTCCCTCTGCGAAAACCTCGATCTATCTTCTTTTCGACCACGACTCTTCAAGTTCGTCCAGGATAAGGCCCGAATTGCGCGAGCGCATCGCAAAGTGAGTGCTTTTTCACAATACCACCCAAACATCGGACGCGTGCTGAAGTTTCGCTTGTTTTCAAGATACTATTTTCGCAAGTTCGGTCACAAAGAGCTGACCTTCCCAGTCCCGCTTCCATTGCCGCGCTCTTGTCTGCTGCTCGCCCGCGAAGTTCTGCCACTGTTCTATTCAAGATGCAGATTCAGAATTGCCTTTGCGATCCCCGAGTATCTGGCGTATCCCTCACGATATCTCTGACTGCATCAGCACTATTCAGCCGAGCCACGTTGCTTGCATCAGAAGCCCTGCGCTTGCCGAGCGAGACTTGATGAGCGGACGGCTGACAGGTGGATTTCGTGTCGAGATCTCGTTGACAGCTGATGGCCAGCATAGGAGTAGTGTGTCCCGGCGTCTACCGCATGATGACTCCGACAAGGAGCTCTGTAATGCGGGCGTCGATAAGATGACGACCCAGATTAGCAGACGGCCAGGCTCGATCAAGATGCGCGTTGGCGATGTCCAGAGCGTGGCGAATGCTATTCAGAGGTCTGGTCGTTGGCGCAGATAAGGGCCGGCCTGGATATTGATCTCGGTCCACGGAGCCTGTCGACATTCTTTTGAAGGCCTCGGTTCCAGTGATGCGTGCGCGTTGAAGACTTCTGCGGATATAGCATGTTGGCAGTGTAGGCAGGAGCTACTGACCAAGGCTAAGGATCTGAATAAGCTGAACTTGCGCGGGATCTACCTCATCAGAGCAGTCCTGGAGAATAACGGTTACTGTGAGCCATAAAATTTGGGCTGGATTCCATGGCCTCGCTGCCCTCGCTGCCCAGTCTACCATATCAATGCCGCAGAGTGGGCAAGGTCAGCATCCAGAGACACCACTCGCGACTTGCAGGTATCCTCACATGCATCTGAAGCAACCTCACTTCCCCTCAAATATTGTCTCCACTTTTCCACTTCAATGCTTCAACGTTACTTGTGTAACTCAGCTCACATGGCGCTTTGACTTCGCACATATTTCCAGTTCATGCAAAAAGTTCTTATTCAACCTTTAACTCTTAAAAACACCACAAAATTACCAAAGCCGCTTCGCTCAACCTGACTTTCCCCAACCACGCCCTTCAGTCCGCCATGGCCACCCCCGATACAGATGTCGGCGAGTATGATCAGTACTGGCGACTCGCCTCGTACCAGAAGTGGACCAAGGCCACGCTGTTGGGCGCTCTCCAGTCCAGCGGCATCGTCGTCTCGAGGAGCCTTACCAGACACGCGCTCATCGGCATCAAGCATCGACTCGATCGTGCCATGGTCTACTACGGAGACCAGCGGATCTCGACGGACGAGCTCCGGAAGTTCGTGAGAGACCGCGGACTGTCTCTGCCGACACCTGCAACTCGCAAAGCACTTGTCAATGTTCTCGTGGCCGCAGATGAAACCCGAACTTTCGACCGCTTCCAGGACTTGCCACCAGAGCTTCGCGAGGACATCTACAAGCTCTATTTCGATGCGTTCCCGGAGAAGCTCATTTGTCCAACGCAGCCTCCACTGACACGAACCAACAGGCTCATTCGCGAAGAGGCTTTACCCATCTTCTACAAGTCGATTAGATTCCAGCTCGCTTTTTTCTACGGCCAGAGCCAGAGCACGTCTGACGAGACAATCAACAAGGGCACTCTCCGTCCAGACTTTCCGACTACTGCATTTCTGCATCAACTTTCCGCAAGACCAGATCAAATCCTGCGAAAAGTCGTCATCGACATCGGTGTTGCGTCCATCGAAGGCTTCCGTTTCCTCGACTCGAGCGTTCTGATCTCCGCGGAGTTGACTGTCAAGCCCAAGAAAGGCCAGATCGACAAGGATATCTCGCGCATGGGAAGGAAGCCAAAGAAGGGCAAGGAGTTGGTGGCTAATGTTCGCAGCGAGCTGAAGAGAAGCTTGAGAGGCTGCTCAAAGAGGGCCAAGGAGATGCTCAAACTCAAGGATATCTATGCTGCGCGTCGGGCGGCAGAGAATGGCTTCTTGTAGGTTCGATTTTGCCATACGATGCAATCAGCGCTGACAGAGACTAGTGCCACGTACCAGAAAATGGGAGAATGGAAGTAGAGGACGTCGGGCACGACTGCGCGGGGACCTATATTTGCTGCTGTTCTTTGCCTCGATACATGACTGACAGTCAAGATGCCAGATGGAAGCATACCGCAGTTCCGAGGCCTTTCGTTGCTACAAGCGTGCGGGAAAGCTGGATTCGCCAACGGAAGGGAGTCGCACGTCTTCCTGTATACATACTAGGATAATGTTCTAACGGGCAGATACGATAACCCTACCATCCGAGAATAATATCCTTGGCCAACATCTTCCAAGTTCCACCCGTACCGCAATTGCATTCGTCTTACAATTGCCGCATCTGGAACTCCCTCAAACATACATATACTATAAAAGCTTCTGGCGCAGACGAAAATGTGACTTCCATTATACAGTACGAACCACAATGAAGCTCCTCACCTTCGCCGCAACTTTCCTCCTTACGCGGGCGGCACCAACTCAAACCGAATCAAAATTCCCCTTCCACACCACTGACTTCCCACCGCAGCTCCCTTACTACTTTTGCTACACTCATGACGCCACCGGGTCCGAGGAGCAGAGAAGTGTGTCGAATCTATCCTGATACCAAGGACTGGTTGCAGCAAGTTGGAGGCGAGAATATCAAGTACTTACGCAATATCCGCCTCCATGTCCTGCTTGCCAGCATGATATACACGAGATATCAGGACGCGAGCACATGCTTCGCATACGATATCGGGATTGACGCGCTTGCAGTAAGAAGCGGCCGGCGCTCACTTCTGTTGAGTGGGGCGAATGGGGATGGCCAACGTCGTTCTACAGTTGTATGATGAAGCCCGCACAGGTGTTGAAACATCCAGGTTGCCGTTGTCAATGCACCTTTCCAGTGTGCTGCTGTAGGTGAGACGGTAGGCCTGGATCAGAACAATGGCAATTCAGCTGCAAGATCACATGATGTCAGTAAGGGGAGAAAGATGTCGTACCGCGTAGTCTATTTCGACGATCATATCCAAGGATATTCTCTTCACAAGCCCGGGCCGATGCGTGGTGCCCTTCACGAGCAGGCCTAGACCCCCGCCACAGCTCCGCGTGTTCCTCGCGCCAGCAGGGAAGAGCATCAGAGTTTGGTGAAGGCGGCATCTTGCATTACGGTATTCTTGGCGGCAATCTGATGAGAGCAGCAGCGGAGTGACGGAGTCGATGATGAATAGGGATGTTGGAATACACACTTCCGGAAATGCAGCCTTTGTACATAGTGTAATACACCTGAGTATACCCGTATACACAGATGGCCTTATAACTTATTAGGCAAAGCGTGACTGAGTATATACCAAAGAGGAAGGTTAGGGTTACTAAGGCTACAGACTGCTATATAGCACGATTAGCTAAATGTCCGCGATTCCTTCGACCTAAGAGCCTCTCGTTAATTCTCGAATAGCCGATACTTCTACCTGCTAAGTCTATACATTATTATCTAGACCTAGAGTATATAGTAGCTCCTATAAGGCAGTATTAAACCTAGCAGTATTGTTAGCCTCCTATGCCTCCTATATAGCAATAGCTATTATAGAAGTAAATGCCTCTCGTAGTAGGTCTTATAGTGTGTCGTAGTCTCGTAGAAGTCGTCGTTGTCGTTACCGCCGGCATTAAGTCTATACTTAATCCGCAGGTTCTAATAGCAATAGACTAGTATCTCTATATACTCGTAAGATAGGCAGTTATAGCGAAGGTTATAGATAAAGCTATAAGCTAACTAGTTGCGCTTAGCAGTACCGGTTATTAGACAGATTAATAGAGCTAGTATATATAACTCGGCGAGTTTAGGATACTCGCTTTTAATAAGGTTATACTACTATTGTAACGAGCTTATATTCTTTGCCGCCTACTAGACGATATTGTTACTAAACAAGCCGCTACGGTTGTATAGAGTATAGAGATTAGCAAGCAATAAGGCCGCTCTGTCTTTAACCTCGGCGGTAGACTCTAGTACGTGTTTAAAGCTAGGTCGGCGGCTGTTGCGGCCTTGTAGAGTGCACTATTTAGTAAGGTATCTAGTAAGTCTATAGACCTCGTCGTTACTAGCTAGAATAGCCTATTTATCCGGATCTTGTCGCTCTCGAGCATTAGCGAGGTACGCTATAAGCATTAGGGGATAATATAGCTCGTCGTATCGAATACTAATTATTTCGGTAATAGTATTTATTAGAATAAAGTCGTTAATAAAGGACTAGTTCTAAAGCTATCTGTAATTCGAGTATACGTACGAGAGTAATAGTTTGTCGGTTTCGAGGGCAATAGTAACCTTAAGGAAGGGCTCTATTAGTTTAATATATCTACGAGTTATTAGCAATAGCCCGCTTTACTACTTTAGTAGCTATAGAATATATGCTCGTCTAAGCGCTTCTAGAAGCTATTGTTCTTAGTAAGGTAGCAAATATGCTCCTAAGCAGCGCGCTGCTTACTGCTTAAGCCTAACAATAGGAGGTATTCTTGCATACGAAGTTCTTATATCTAGAAGCGGTTCTCGAAGACTGCCCGAGTATAGTATAGCTAACCTTGCTAGCGAGTGTTTCTAGGGCTTTGAAACCGCCGCACTTTGCTATTGCTAAGTTATAGGAGCAGTTCAAATAGAAGATAGGTATTCTTAAAGTAGTTTAAGACCGCTAGAATCTTAGTGTAGAACGAGTCTACGGTAGTGTAATTATAAATGTCGTTTATAAGCAATTTAGTAGTATAGGAACAGCAACCTAAGGTAACGAGGCGGGGCATCTCGGCTTGAACCTAATCTAATAGTTAGCTACTCGATAAGCAACGATAAGACGGCCTATATATAGAAAGTGCCGCCGCTCGTCTACTTCTAATTTTCAAACTTACTAACCTCGAGGCCTTCGCTATAACATTCGTATTATTAGCAACTAACGCAATAACCTTATCCTTCTATAGCGCTATTAATCGCTTTAGGCCTTTAGCGTGATTTTCTACTATACTACGATTAGCACTAGTTAGCTTACAACCGACGAAAAACGCTACCTAAGGCGTAATAGTAAGATAATTAGTATTCGACCTTCTAGCGGTGTCCTTCTAACTATTACTCGCATATGTAATACGAGAGCTCTTCGATATCTCTACATTTATCTCCGCCTACAGCCGCTTATAAATTCGAGGGAGATACTTATATCGAATTTGCTAGCGAAAAGGTAGTATAAAAGCAGGACGAAGAACCTTTAGCTATTCCTTAAATTAGGGGTTATTAGTAATAGATAACTCCTTGCTAGAGGCTAATACCTACTTAGTTAGCTTCTTACAAGCAGTATCGTACTTAGCCGGAGACATATAGTCGATATAGCTATTGCCGCCGATAAGAATAGTTTGCTTTGCCTTAATAACTTAAGCGCTTCGAGGCACTTTATATTCGCTACTCTTAGCTAGGCTAATATCCTCGTCGATAGGTACCTTCTTAGGCTAATACTCCTCCTAGTGTTCCTTAGGGAGAACACGGTATATAGACAGATAATTAACTACCCGCCCTTTAGCACTCGAAACCTATATATTACCGCAAAAGTTGCACTCAACCCTTAGGTAGTTCTTGCTATTAAGCTAGGTACGAGTTACTAATAGCTAGTATGGATCCTCTATCCGTTTCCGCTTATTTAGTATAGAGGTACCTAGTAAGAGGCGTTGTTAACTAGAAGACAAGTTGTCGGACATAGTAGTAGCAGTGTTTAGCTTAGTAAAAGAGATAGAATCTAATAGGTAAGGTAATGTCGATTAATAGGGACAAAGAGCTGAATTCTACTGCAAAATAGTCTATTATATCCCCTACAAACAAGGCCTCTATACCGCTTAAATTCCGCTCGAGATACTGCTAGAAACGCAGTCCTTCCTTAAAAATTTTTTCATACTAGCTATAGTATTCTAGCTGTATATATAGTGTTCCCTTTAATTACAATCTATCGCATTCTATACGCGATTATATATACAAACGCAGACCTAACGCGACAAGACACGAATTCTAGCGATAAGAATGTAATACTTCTAAGGGCGTATATATCTAGTCGACTAATAGGCGGTAATAGCGGCTGAAGCTATCTACTTAGCCTAGCAGCTAGCAGCGGCTCTAACACCTATTAGTACCGATAACTATTAATAATAGGGCCTTTTGCAGGTACATACTAGCTAAATTTCCCACCCCTGCGTATATAGTGTATTATAGAGTGTGTATACTATATACAGATCTGTGCACTCTATCCCTAATAATAAAGTGTAGTAATTGCGACAGACAAGGATTAGCTAGGAGCGGTGCAAGCGATATTGCCGATATTAGACGGATTTCGCTATACTTTTAACTACCGCTCTAAGCACCGCTCCGTAGCTCGATTAGGCCGCTAAGCGCTAATATAGGCTTAGTTATCCGTCTCTTCCGCTGCACTGTATTTTCGTATAGATATCGCGTTTTTAGTAGTCGCGTACGACGCGCTATATAGCAAAATAGCGAGGTCGATAGGGAGGGCGGTAGTAAGGTCGCGGTTGCTAGTAGTTGTCGCTATAATCGTCTTAATAGTATATACGAAGCGTAGAGACCTTAATTTCCGCTCTCGTCTAACTATTCCGTATACTATTAAAACGTAGTATTTAAACGACTATATAAATATAAAGGTCGAAGATAAGTATAGGTACGTCGCTTCTTAGTAGATTAGTATATATAGAGGTTATTATAGATAGTAAAGGGCCTATTAGAAGTGTCGCTGCACCTTACTATCGCTGCTTAGCTAATCGCCGCGGAGACAGGTTTAGCAAGGCAGAGATTCGCTTCCTATCGACTATATTGCGTTTTAATAATATTATATAGTCTAATCGGTATTCCTACGACCTAATACTAGCCTTCTATATTATATGTCGCCGCCTATCGTATCCGTATCGCTAGAAGGACCTATATAACTATTTCGGGCGCCCTAAATGCTTCTTATCTACTATCTTCTTAGATGTAATCTTCTATATAGAGAACGAGTTTAGGGACCTCGTACGCTAGCATCTACGACTAAGACGATACTATAATTTACGGCAATTCGCAAGGAGTGTTAAAAGAGCTAGATACCCTAGCAATTTTTAGGGATTTATTAATAGCACCTTCCGTAGTACTATAAGGCCCCTTCGATCGACTTATAACTAACGAATCTACTATATAGGACATAAGAAGAAGCACGGCTATAAGTTCTAAGGCATTATTATACTAGACGGTATGCTGTCGTCTCTTATTAGCCTATTCGAAGGCAGATACAACGACTAGTCTATCTAGCAAGAATCTCGTGTTCCTAAGCGAATTCGACGGTTAATAGACAATCGTCGAATGCTATATCTATATAGTAATCTAGCGTACTACTGTATATATAGAGTTATCTATCTATAGCCTAGTAAACCTCTTCTACCTCTAAAGCAGGCATTTAATACTCGCATATCTCGAGCAAGAATAGAGATAGAATACGCCTTTAGAAAGACACTACAATTATAGGGATATCTAGGCCTAACTAAGCAACAATATATTAGCAACTAACCTGTCTCGTCTTATTATCTAATAGCGACTTTGCTTACAAACCTCTATACTTGCTTACGAGGCGGCAATTAATACAATGCGCGCTTTAATATAAGACTACCCTCTACTACGGAATACCTCTATTTATATAGCAATGCGCCTATCCTAGACGAGCCTATCTATCTATAGCGAATATATATACGAAAGCGAAGACCTAGACGGGCGGTTAGCATTTAACAATAGACTATATAGTTTAAGACAAGAGATTCTCGGAGGTCCGCGGACCTCCGCGGAGGTAAGCTTTATATTAGCCGAAATGTATATATACGCTAAGCTATATCCTTTACTACTACATTTTACTATAACGCAGTACCGGCACCTATATATAACTATACGAGCGCTTTATCGTCTATATCGTATCTATAATATACTTTTTGCGCGACTTAATATAACTAAATTTAACTATTTTATAGCTATATAGCGAAAGCGACAACTACGCTATTTTATTAACCCTTAAACTACGACAAATCTACGCTCGGATCGAATGGATCTATACCCGCTGCTATATATTCCTGCAGCTCTGCTTTACTATAGTTGTTTCTAATTAAATCCGTATACGGTAAATCGACCTCTATATCCTCGGTTGCCGCCGGAGTGCTTTGCTATACTAAATTTGCCTAGTTAGAGCGCTGTTCTTAGCCGCTAGTAATGCTCTTTAAGAGCGATAGAATAGTGTCGTTTTAGGCCTTTAGCGCGCTAACATTAGTCTTTAGCCTCTTTAGCTTACGGTCGTTCTTCTTGTTTACTTTACTACTACCTAGCGTCCGTACTAATGCTACTATACTAGCCTCTATAGTTAGAGGTTCTTTAGCTAACTCCTTCCTTGTTTTCCGCTTCTTGCTGCTACCTCTAGACGACTAAGTTAGCCGTAGTGTTGCCGAAGAACGAGTAGCGGAAGAACGAGTCTTATTTGGATTATATATCGCCTCTTCGTTAAAGTCGGCTTTAGAGTACACTATCTCTAGTAGATTATACTTATCGCGCTCTATAGACTCGTCGTTAGTCCTATCTTCTTCTTTACCTTTATAAGCATTAGATTCACTACTACTACTAGACTCTAGATTAGGTAACGGCTGCTTCTTCTTGCCCTTAGCTTTACGAGCCTTAGTAAGGTTTAAGCGCACTCGCTAAGCGTCTAGAGCCTCGTCTTCCTTCTTCTTCTTCTTATCTCTTACCTTCTATTTAGCTATCTCCTTCTTATTAAGAAGCGCCGCTTTAATAGCCTTTAAACGGTCGGTGTATTTATTATTAAACTTAGTGCCTAAGTCTATATAGGTCCCTCCTTGCTTAGGGTCGGTCTACTAGTCGTATACCTTAATTATAGCATCTAGAGTACAGTTAAGACTTCCGTACGTATAGCCTGTCTCTCTTGCGAAGGCAATACTAATAGTATCCTATATCTTTAGCTATCTAAGCATTGTTATATACTTATAGACGATCTTGCTAAGCGTTACTTTGTCCGCTATAGTAAGGCCTCGTCGAATTTGGCCTATAGTAACTACCTTATTATCCTTACTAACAACCTCTTTATCCTTTACTAGCTAAGCTTTAACCCTTGCTATTCTACGTACGCCTTTACTTAGATTAGCGCGACTTAGAGGCGCTATTCTACCGCGGAGGTACGACAGGTACTAAGTAATAGGTATAGGCGTTATAGATTTAGTCCTTAGTCGAGGTATTAGCGTACGCTTAGTCGACTAAGCAACGAGTCGTCTATTCTCGTTATATAATAGTAGATTGCCTATTATAGCATTAAATATATAGAAGACTAGACTAGGCGTTGCCTCCGCTTACTAGTAAAGCGACTATGTACGTAAAAGCGGTCTAGGGGTTAGTGTTAGAGTCTATAGATAGTACGTAGTCGTCGTCGTTATAGAAGCGACTAATTAAGCCCTACTAAAGCTATTGTTAAAGGATATCTTTGCTAGCAAAGCTTATATTAACGATTCTATAGGAAATGTACTAGGTACGCGACGCGTAGAGCGTAGTTAGGTCTAGCGGCTCCTTCTACTAAGCTAAGCCGCTTTTATTTACTTAGCTTCTATATTAGGCTATAGAGCGACCGCTCTATAGCTGGAGCGGTCGCTCTAAAGGCCTGTGCTTAAGCATATGCCACCTGTCTATTCTACCAATTAGAAGGCCTCGAGCGGTGTTGGAGCGGTGGTCAAAAGTGTGGCGAAATCCATCTATTGTGAAGTGCTGTGACTCTGTGAGCATAGTGCACCGCGTGGTCGTGGGAGTCGCCGAAATTTCGGCAGAAGCATCCAGCCTGCCCTGCTCTCTCACAGCAGCCAAGACTTCCTCTTTCTGTGAGGCTCTCGCGGTCGATCTTAATAATAAGCCTTCGATAGGGAAGTGGAGCAATATCTGACAACATCCAACACTCGCATCCTACGCCAATACTCGCTCACTCTCATCCAACACCAACACTCGCATCCAACAATACACTCTACTGTCCGACCCTGGCTCGACGGTCCAAGTTTCGCCTTCAAGTATCGATAGCCATACTCGGCCTCTTCTTTCCTCACCGGTTACATGCCTAGAAAATATTTTAAGACGACACGGAATTGGAACTCGAATCTTTACGAAAATCAACTCGGAGACTCTAAACGAATTTGACACGACTTGGGAGAGTCTCGCGACAAATTCTCAAAGACGCATCCCGCAGTTGTCTTTGCGGCCGTTATCCCAACAGCGTATGCCCATTTTGTGTTAAGGTATACAGCGACAATGGATGCCCACACCCAAGTAGGCGTTTCCAACTGTGGAACCGAAAAGCCAGGCTGGTCGAGTACATGTTACAGCGTTTCTCCAAGCGGACAATCGATCGATGTACACTTCGATAGTCAAAGATGCATCCACAAAATCTTCACAATCGACGGACGGTTGTCAGATCCTACTGTGAGCGACTGCACGACAGTAGGGCCCATTAATTCGTACGTAATTATTTGTGGGAAGTGACGAGCAAGGAATCACGTTGTATGTAGTGTCAAGGTCCACAATGCTGCATCCATGTGTCCAAGAACAGTCGAATCTCTTCCGAATTTGATGAGAACGCACAAAGACGGGCGATGCGATACAGAGATACAGAAGCAAGGTATCATAACGGTGGTGCAGAGATAGATGTATGACTATGAGGTCGATATGCACTGAATTTTGGAGCTGCGAAGCCACCCGAGATTAGTTCTAGTGGCGCACAGGGGAGGTGATGCTCACAATTACAGTGTTGTCCCGCCGTTCGGAAACGTCTTAGCATGCTCTGGAGGCAGCGAAAGATACAGTACCAGCGGCGTGGGGCACCGAGGAGCGTCGTCCATTCTGATTCGAGGCCACCGTCAGTTGTCAGTAGAGTACGTGGACTGCAGTGGTGGCAGAATGTGGGTAGTGTTCATCAGCCAATAATGGTCGATGTGGGTAGAGCCGTCGAGCCGTTGCTAGGAGCTTCGTTTCGGGAGGCGCGCTAAAAGGCCTGAGCGTGGGCAGAAAGATTGCGCGGCCAGTGCGTCCGGCCAGCACCAGCACCAGCACCAGCACCTCCTGATCCCACCCGTTCTTACTTCTCTTTCCACACAGAAGCCACTACCACCACCACCACCACCACCTCATCACGCGCCTTCTCTCGCTTCGCCGCCGCTGTTGTCGTGCTCTTCCGCCATCTTCTTGTCACTCGCTCATCAGACGCTCACAGTCACCACCTTTATTGGCTTGGGCGAACTGTTTACATTGACTAATCCGATTCTCAACGCCTTTCACCACCAGCAGATTTAAGGTCCAAGGTGAGTAGAACCGCATCATCAATCTGATCATTGCCCGCCGCAGCATCGCCAGTCCCTCCAGCCTGCGCGCCACGCCAGCACCTCCACCTCACGCACAACCACTACAGCCTTCATCTGGACCCGTGCGCACACCACCAACCCGGCGCTGACCACTCCTCAACAGTTATCCGCTCGCGGGAGAAAAAGAAGATACAATGGCTGGCCTCAGGTACCTTGTGCCGGCTTTGGCCGTCGCAGGACGCGCAGTCGGTGAGTCGACCTCGCGAGACACATGTCAATGGCAGTCAATGGCTAACACAGCTCAGCACAATGCGGCTCCGGCGGTACCACCACCATTCAGAGCAACGCCGACGCGTCCGGCCTCTCTGGCTGCACCACATTCTCCGGCAGCATCGCCATTGCCACCGGCACTACAGACAACATCCAGATCAGCGGAATCCGAAGAATCACTGGCAGCTTGACCGCCAACAACGTGACACAGATGACCTCCTTCTCGGCGACTGACTTGGAAGAGATCGGCGACACTTTCCACTTGGAGAGCTTGACTATCCTCTCCACCCTCAGCTTCCCATCTCTTGTCAAGGTTGATACCATCGACTGGACCGCGCTGCCCGCCCTCCAGGGACTTTCCTTCACCAAGGGTGTCCAGGAGGTTAACGAGCTCACCATCGACAACACTCAGCTCAACTCGTTGAACGGCATCAACCTCCAGGTTGCAGAAACCATCTCCGTGACCAACAACCCATACCTTTCATCTGCTAGCATGCAACTCGGCAACGTCACCCAGGCTCTCACTTTCGGTGCCAACAGCAAGGACCTCCAGCTCGAATTCCCCAACCTCAAGTGGGCTTACAACATGACCTTCCGAAACTGCTCCAAGGTCTTTATCCCGTCCCTCTCCTCGATCAACGGCTCGCTAGGTTTCTACTCCAACAGCTTCGAGAGCCTCTCCGCACCAAACCTCACTAACGTTGGCGGCTCGCTCTCCTTTGTGAGCAACGAGCAGCTCACTAACATCAGCATGCCGGAACTCACAACTGTTGGTGGTGGCTTCCAGGTCGCCAACAACACCAAGCTTTCCGACATTGATGGCTTCCCAGTCCTTGCCACCGTTGGCGGTGCCCTTGACTTCAACGGTGCTTTCTCCAAGTAAGGAATATCGCCATTCTGATTTTGCCGCAGTGTGCTAACGTACGTTATCCAGGGTCTCGCTTCCGAAACTTGGCGACGTCCGTGGTGCCTTCAACCTCCAGTCCACCGAGAACCTCGACAATGTTTGCAACCACTTCCAGGGGCTTGCAGGCTCCAACAACGTCATCAAGGGCCAATACACTTGCAGCGGCGAGCAGTCCCACCCAGGTGGTGCTGGCACTCTCCCAGACGGCACCAACTCTGGATCCGGAAGCGGCAGCTCCTCGAGCGCAGCCGTCCCAATGCTCATTCCAGGTGCTACTGGTGTGCTCGGTGTTGTGGCTGCCATCTTCGGTCTGCTTTAAATTTGGACAACTTGAGAGTAGCATCAAAAGGCTTTCTATTTCAGCTTGGCGGAGGCGTTATAGCGTGGTCTGCTCCCGACTTGGGTGGGCGCTTGAACAGCTCGGCATGCATTGCATAGACTAATCGTAGCACTCCTGCACTCAAAACGAACATCCCGTACACTCCTTTTCTCACGACCCCGATGGCAGTTCTTGAAGCGAGCATATTGTTCCACGGAACACGAGAGGCGAGCAATGCATGTATGGACTGGCACTCCTTTCTGAGCAAGGCGATGGACTTGCTGTGTGGTATTGATGGGGACACGGATGGGTCTTACAAGATCGTAATTGAGGAGGTGTACACGGTGGCCAGCTAGCCACATTACCAGATAGCTTGCAGTTGGTTGGAATGACTGCACACGACGGAGCACCACTAGTTGTGTCTAGACGGCCATGACAAGGATTAGATTAATATTGACGCTTTCTTATACACACTCTTGCCTCCGCCTTCTCTTGGTGGTGTTTCTGATTGACCCCCAATTCGCCCCCGGGCTCTTGGAAACGCCGTCTATCCTCCGTACAGCTGTCGTGCTCCGCCATCATTGAAGGATAGACGCGTCCTTGCACAGCAGTCGGTTCTACGGTGCACCACCGCGGTGATGTTGGTGCCGATTAACGCGACGATTTACACTTTTTGGTCCCTGCGCTCACTGGGCTTGCTTTGACAAGATGCATGCACCTCACCTCACTTCTTGAATCCTGCCTTCACCTGCACCTCGACGACACCAAAATATCATTTTCATCTCAACGCCAGAGTCTGAGGCTCGGGTGTAACGACGGCTCACCGAGCAACGCCGCCGAGTCGAGATTGGATACCCGGTTCGCAAGCAGGTGCGCAAGCTCATCGTGGCCTGATCATCATCAGAGAGCGAACAACGCATGAGCTCTGCCCTGCCCTGCCCTGCCCCGCCCCGCCCCGCCCCTTGCATGTGCCGTGCTGAAGCCGCGCGGGTCGAAGAGTTTTCCGCCGCCGCCGCCGGGAATGGCGCAAGTCTCCACCGTACACCCTTGGCGCTCATGCATTGGTCGACATCTGCAGAACATATGTCACATTCTGGCAGCCTCTTGCATGAGCATCGCTTTACCTGCTGCTTGACATTGCGCTACACTCACCTCCAGTGCACCCGATGATCTTGCGTTGCATATTGACGCGCGGGTCTGCATCGAGAAGCGCTGAGCCGCCCACAGGCCTGTCAATGCGTTACTATGCACTGCCTTTCAAGCGAGCATCCTCACGTCGCACACCATGGTCTCACGACGCGCTCTTGTACCCGGTCTTGCTCCAATTATGCTTGTCTTACGCCGCCAAGACCCTTCGATCGATCCTCGTGTCCGCCTAGCCAGCCAGGGTCGTACTGAGATCGGAGGCCCTTTTCATCTGCATTTCTACCCAACCTCCAGGAGCACAGCGTGGAGACGAGAGTCGACAGGTAACACCAGAAAACCTTCCGCTCTGCCGCGTTCCTGGCAACATCGACGACCCTCGATGCAGTATGCACGCACTCCAAGCACTGCCGCTTCCGGCGCCTGATGTCGCTAGGAACTGAGGGTCCGCTTGTGACTATGCATCGCGCCTTTTGATGCCAGCCTTAACCCGGATCCTGGCGTGAACGAACGGGCAGGTGCAGACTCAAAGAGGGCTGAGGAAGTCGACGGATGGCCATAAGTGGCCTTCCTATTCATGAACTCCTGAGGACTTTGACGTCTCTTTATGCATTGACGTGCAGTCGCACAACTCTGCTCGCCCAGCTTTGCGCAGCAACTAAAACGCCGAACCTCTCCATACGAATTTGCGGTCAGCGTTGTGCACGGACTGAGGTGCCCGGAACTCTCAACGACAATCGGCATTCTGTACTGAGCATGAAGACCCGCAGTTGATCATCCAAGCCAATCGTCACATCACCGACAGCAGATCTACCTAGTCGCGGGCCGTGGCTAGCTTCCGGAACAGCAGAGCTGGCATTGCGTATTAAGCAAGGTATAGCCACTGTGGCCAATCGTACCGCCATCCGGAATCCAGCCTGAGGTCGAGGCCTCACTCTCTTCCATCTGAAAACGTCGACATAGCATGCACGACCTTGCCGCTGTATCCTTGTATCACAGCACCGCGTCTGATACTTAGCGTCCGGGCCGTCAGCAATGATGATCCACTCCAAGGACTCGTCGAGTCGTCGACAGCTGTCTCCCGGGCCGGACATGCTAATAACATGATGGGCGATGAGAGATTTGCATGGGTGCAGAGAAGTTAAATACCATGCTGCTCTCGTCGACTTACTTCTCATTCGCCATCTTTTGATCAGAGTTCGGTCTTGCATCGCTGCTTTTTGGTGGTTGTTTTTGTCTTTGCCTGGCGGTCCTTATTTGCACTCTGTATCTCGACCAGGCGGTGAACCTTTGCCATCCCTTTGCTCGCAGCCTACCGACCCGCACCACCACCACCACCACAATGTTCTCCCAACAGGAACAGAGGTGAGCGGCCTTCGTGCGATCCCCGAAATTGTCATTCTAACTAAGCCACAGGATATCCCTGCCATCCATCAGTCAGCTGTTCCCATGCTCGAACGACAAGTATGGGTGTCCACAGTCGTTCCCGCAGCCTGAGCTCCAACAGCACGAGCAAGTCTGTCGATTTGCCGACTCGAGACATGGCTTCCATGCTCTCAACGGATATAGCGGTCCAGTGCTTCATCGCCTCAATACCCATTTGCCTTCATCGTCTTCGTCGGTAGCCTCGGACTCTAGCTCTGATCGAGACTCTATGTGCTTTTCACCCAATAGCAGCCGAGCATCGTCCGTCAACCGAACACTTTATGAGAGACGAGACTCTAGAGTCTCCAACTCCGCTCGTGTTGTCAAACGCTCGATCCAACGAAGGCCGTCCCCTCCAATTACTAGCGGCATCCAGCAAAAGTCTAAAAACAAGAAGACGGCAAAAGAGCAGAAAAACCGTCATAACCAGGCGACTGTTCTTACCAGGATCGAGGACATTATGCAGTTCTACTTCGGCTTCGACCGCAACGAACAGAGCGGTGGTAACGGCAACGGCGCCGGTCTCAGCGCTAACAAGATCAATGTCCAGCGCGGCTCATGCGCTCTCCTTTACTACTTGCTTCATAAAGACCGCTGCGGAGCTATAAGGAACGGCAGACTAGCTCAGTGGGAAGCGAATATGCACCAGATCGCTCAGAACGCGATCGACGAGACGGCACCTCCTTTCGCAGGCGGCTTCCTAGAGTCTTCCGAGCCACCTTGCACGCACGCCGACACGAAATCAAAGGAGTGCGAGATCCACCGCCACCCCGACTGGATAGTCTGCAGGAAACGTCACGCCGAGGCCACTTTCCAACACAACGAGGCAGCATACCTCAGGGAGATCGGCATTACCAAAGAAATGGCGCTTTTCGGAGCTTCGGCCGGCGGGTCGAGACATGCTTAGACTAATCACTTCATCGCTTTTTCCTTCACGTTTTGCAGGAGGTACAGTGTCCCGGGCGGTTTAGCAAGCGTTGTGTTTTCGATCGATTTTTGGGAGGTGATGCCAAGCACTTGATTAGCATTTCGGTTTTTTGGGATTCGGATATTGAGCAACTACTGTATCATAGAAAAAAGGATGGATGGTTTGGACATGGGAACATATTTGTAACGACCGTGATGAACGATGGACACGAGCTTTGTGTGATATTATCATACTGCTACTACTACTACTACTGGCTACCTACACTTGAGCTTGAAAAAGCTCAAAGAAACAGAAATGAAGAAAAGCGTGAAATCAGAGGCTTGGTATTTGGTACAATGTCGCTCGCTGCTTGCATTTTCTCTGCTTGACGTTTCGCTCATCATGATTTCATCCTGTCATCTCGACCGATCAAGTCCGTTCAGCTCGTTGAGGTCCGTGTCCGATCGTGCACTGAAATTTAGGGCTGGGCTGGGCTGGGCGCGCTTCGGCAAGCTGGGATGTTTACAAGCGTACAGTACAGTATATGCGATAGATGTTTTCGGGAATGAGCATGTTTTGAAGACACTTTCTGCAACGGATGTTATTCCCCGTCCATGCCCATGTGCCCGAGCATGCTTCTGGAAGATGCAGCTCATGCTACCGATGTGATGGATCGGATTTTGGAGGAAAGGGGTGTGAGGATCTGAGGCATGGTTTTCAAGAATGTATGTATGTAGTTTGGGTATTTGCGGCGGATGCAGTTCCCCGATCGTGCGCTCGCGCTCGCGCTCATTGTTTCAGGTCGTTGTCGTTGCGAGTTCATGCTGGAGATCATATTGGGAAGGTCGGCATACGGACAGCGACAATGTCATCGTCCGCTTCGCTTGGCTGCTAACGCAACAAGACAGAAGAGGTCAAGTTCAATATGATGGCTTGGGGTTCAAATATTGCTCAAGGTATGGCTGTGGGCACCCATCTGGTTCCGAAGAGGTGTACACTGTATGAGCTGGCGATCTCTCGATGGTCAATTGTCGTCTAGAATCCTAGATGTGACGTTGGAAGTGGAAGTCTGGGCGGACGTCTGCATGGTCACTCTGGTTGGCGACGGGGTTCGTGCTGCTCACGTCTCCCCAATCGGGACTCATGTCAGGCTCGTTATGACAGTACCGGCTGCGTGTGATGAACTGGAGGTGAGGCCAACGGCTTCGTGGCAGAGAAGCCGGCGCTGTACTGTACATACAGTATGCGAGACAGCTGGAGATATGCTCCACTTCATCATGCATCCCGAGCATGAGCGATGATGAACGTGTTCACGCAAGTTTGTGATAAAAGATGAGGTGGCTTTGGACTCTTCCCAGAGGAACTGGGCATTGATTCTAGCTTGTCTCCCGCTGCTATTTTGACAGCCTTGGCCGTGCTTCGTTGACGGCGTGCACTGCAGGCGCAAAAGCTACGTCGCTGCGGGTAGAGTGCCTATGAGTGCATTGCGGTAGCGGTATGGCGGAGCGGGAGACATGTTGCGCAAAATCGTGAGGACCAGCATAGTGGGTGGCGACTTGGCGGCAAGGCCATACAATGTGGTGCGCCAGTGTACCAGCGCGAAAGTAATCATGATGAGGTGGTTTTGGTTAGAATTATACAGTTGAAAATTCTCGGTAACCGTGGTTGCGGACAGGCGTGACAGTTCTCGCCGTTGCACGGCAGGGGATGATGGAGCCCTGAAAGTCTTGGCACGCCTTCCTCTGAATCTCTCTCTGGAGTGTTGAGGAAGGTGGAACATCTCCGAGAGCTTTGTGGTAGCAGGGTAGCAACAAGACCACCGCTCCACCCATTCGCTCGCTACCACCCCATACGCATTACCCTCCCACCGCCACCGCCAGCGCACACCACCACCACCCGCACCCGCACCCGCACCTTCGACGTCGCCAGTGTCGCGACGCGCGATTGGCAAGCTGTATCGCTTGCAGCCCATACGGCATATTCACCCACCGTGGATCCCCCTGCTGTTCGCCAGAGAAGCAGCAGCGTGCGTGGAGCACAGCCGCCGTCTGGCGTCGCTGGACGACTGCTGCCAAAGCCCAAAATGCTCCTCCCCAAGGGCAGCGGCATCACATGGAAGAGCGCTCGCGCTCGACTACCCCCCAGCCGCGCCATCTGGAATTTCCTGGTCCGCACGCGATTTCTCTTATTCGTTGCCATAGCCGGCATAATATTATTAATATGGAATGGCACAAGAGGGCTGAATAGCGAATGGCAAAGGTACGATGGATACTTCAAGCCACCTCGCTGGCCTTGACATGCTCTGGGCATGGCCATGGGCATGGGCAGTCACGGCTAACCGCCATACAGATTCTACTGCTTTGGGCCTGCGAAATCGCCTATGCACATGTCCGCGAATGAGCAGGCACAATGGGCAGCACATCTTCAGACACCTGTCATCTTCAACCACCACGAACCCATTGAGGTCAATAGCTCCTCCATAAAACACGTTGACCTCAACCCGATTCACTCGACTCCCAAGGCCGTCGCCAACGAAGAGAGGGTTCTCATTCTCACACCGCTTCGAAATGCCGCGCCATACATTGAGCAGCATTTTGACCTGCTCTCGCAACTCACCTATCCGCACCGACTGATCGATCTCGCCTTCTTGGTCGGAGATAGCGATGATGACACCCTGGCGGTACTCTCAATGGAGCTGGACAGGATACAGTCGCGGACCGACAACATCCCCTTCAACAGCGCCCTGATTGTGGAGAAAGATTTTGGAGTGACGGTTGGTCAGAATGTGGAGGACAGACATGGCTTCGCTGCTCAGGGACCACGAAGAAAAGCCATGGGCAAGGCAAGAAATTACCTGCTATATTCTGCGCTCAAACCAGAGCATAGCTGGGTATACTGGCGAGATGTCGACATCAAGGACAGCCCCAGTAAGATTATTGAGGACTTTGTCGCACATGATCGCGATGTGCTCGTACCCAGTGAGTATAAGCTGGGAAGACTTGTTGCAGGACAGCACACTGACCGCCAGCAGACGTCTGGTTCCATCGATATGTTGACGGACACGACATAGAAGGTCGTTTCGACTACAATTCATGGCAAGAGTCGGAACAAGGGCTCAAGCTCGCAGCATCGCTGAGCAAGGATGTCGTCCTTGCTGAAGGTATGTGGTCAAAAAGTCTCTCCTTGTCACGTGATGTCTTACTGAGTCCCAATGCAGGCTACAAGGAGTACAACACAGGTCGCAAATACATGGCGCGCATGGGTGATTGGCGGGACAACAAGGACGTCGAGATCCCGCTTGATGGAATTGGTGGAGTCAACATCATTGTGAAAGCGGATGTCCACAGAGCAGGTGAGCAGGCTGATGGGAAGCAAGCAATGCGGAATCCACAGATACTAACTTTCTCAGGCATCAACTTCCCATGCTATGCCTTCGAGAACCAAGCCGAAACAGAAGGCTTCGCGAAGATGGCCAAGCGTGCAGGGTACGGAGTTTATGGTTTACCGAACTATGTCGTTTGGCATATCGATACAGAAGAGAAGCCCGGTAATGGTTAAAAATTCAGATGAGAAGTCTCAAGACTTGAAGAAGAGAATGAAAGCAGACCTTGTACATGGATATACCACGTCATTGTGTCAGTTATTTAGCGGAACCCAATTCATTGTCAGCCGGAATAGTCGCTTGGCTGGCTATGGCTGTTATGGTTGTGACCTCTCTGCCATGGATGCGTCAGAGGCACTACTAGGTACAGCGTCTTCTATTACTGTCACGTTGTCGGAGCGACTGTGGCAGTGACCTGTGCGAGTTTACACGCCAGTACGAACTTCTATTTCCTTCTACGTTGCCTTCTGCTTTGGCTGTACGATCTGCCATGGCGTGGCTTGGATGGTCCTTCAAGTTTGAAGAAAACAGTCCCTGCAATCGTAGAAGACACTGATCATGACTTGTATCGCATTACTGTACCAACGTCAGACCAAGATTTCAGCATTGACAATGAATGATGCGGAGAGGGAGAAACAGCAGCCAGAACACCCAACACAGTCATACAATATGATCATTCCCTCTGTCAGGAAAACACAAAGCCATGCTTTGACGGTGGCCCGGGTCGGCCACGATGTCTCTGGTCCGGTGTTCTTGTTCCAGCCAGCAACTGGGGTCGTGAATAGATCTCCAAGGAAGCAGGATGCCGAATGGACGTGGAAACTTGGTACAGTACGCCATACTTGGCCGAGCCTTGAAAGTTGCGACCATCATGCCGTTGATGATACCGCCAGACAATTGATGTACCACTTTTAACGTCAAACAGGCTGGGCCATTCTGCAAGCGCGCCCAAGATCTGGAAAGGTGGTGTCGATGTGCTGACCGCCCAATGGTATGCCTACAATTTATATCGCGCAGCGCCTTGACCTCCAGAACTACTTCTGGCCTCTCTACCTTCAACATCAGTGACCTTGCCCTTCTTGCCAATGACCTTGACATTGCCACGCTTGAGATCTCCAACAATGTTCTCCTTGTCCTTCTTGGCCTTCGCAGCCCTGCTCTCATTTGCAGGCTTGGCTTCAGCATTACCATTACTCTTCCTGATCCTCTCCTTCTCACGTCTGCGTCTTCGCTTGCGTTCTTCACGGGACATCTCTTCACGCGCGGAGGGAAGGCCACTCTTGCCAGCAACTTCCTCCTTTCCGCTTGCCGCTTCACCGGCTTTGTAGATTTCTTGAGGTGCGAGCTGAGAAGCACCGGCGACCTCACCACCAGCGCTGGGCCGAGCGTCTTCCATGGTGATAGCAGGAGCATCAACTCTGATGTCCATTTGCGGAGCTGCTTGCTTCGGCCTAAAATTCCAAGATGATAAGCTGTCGAGCTGAGCAGAGACTTCTTTCCAAAGGCGTTCGATTTCTTTCTGCTCTTTTTCGAGCTTCTCATCCTGAACGTCGACGTAATTTGGATCTGTGCGCTTTGAATATTCTTCCTCATACTCTTCCGCAAGACCCTTCTTGCTCTTGGTATCGTCGAGCTCAAAGTCAAGCTTGCCACGCCTGGTGCCGCTTCCTGTCGCGAGGTCATCAGGTCGCCGCCTGACAAGGTCTTGAAAGTCGAATGCAAGGATGCGTCGCTTGATTAGTTCCTCGATGCTCTCGCTGACCTCTGCTGTAATGACTGGCACTGGCTTTCCTGCTCGTTCGAAGTCGAGATCCTCTTCCAGCAAGGCATTGGTAGGTCGATCTGCTGCGCGAGCCTCGCCAGATAGTTGCCAGTCTCGTTTCGCTACGTTCGCAGCTTCAAGCTTGCGAATCTCTTCTGCAATTTGTGCTTTTCGACGCTCGTGCGCTGATCTCCTCGATCGAGGATCTGCAGGGTCGAGCTGCTCCTGATCATCCTCCTCTTCTGCTTCAGACTCATCCTCGAAAAGATCGAATTTGACTTTGTCCATGGCTCGCTCAATGTCATCATCGTCTTCTTCTGGCTCTTTCTTGCTCGAGGCAGCGTCTGGGAAATTGTGAGGGTTGGGTCGGCCTTTTCTGTTCTTCCTCTTCTTCTGTGCAGGCGGAGCAAAGAAATCCTTGTACATGATGTCGTTGGCATTGCCCATGTCGCCCAAGCCATCCATAGCGCCACCTTCGAACTCTTCGTGCTCATCTTCGCTCTCAGCATCTGGATCACCAAAGGTCGGTCCGTCCTCTCCGTCGACCTCAGACTCAGCGCCATCTGCTTGATCGGCTGCCCCTGCCGCTGCTTGGACACCTGGATCGGCATCCCAATCGATTTCTTCTTCGTCACTTGCAGCCCCATCGTCCTCGCCCCGCGTGTCTTGCTGTTCCAGAAACTCAGACTGTCGATTAAAGTCGTCTATGGAGAAGAAGCCGTCGTTCAGTCCAAATCTGTCCTGCACCAGTTCAGCGGGCTCATCGTCAGCGCTTGCCCCGTCGTCCTCATCATCTTGCATGTCGTCAAAGTCGTCGTGCATGTCTTCTATATTGTCGAGGTCGAGCGCGCCTTCCTCCTCATCCTCATCTTCCGACGTGTGATACTCCTCCTCGCCATCGTCTACGCCTTCTATCTCGTAATCGACGCCCTCTTCTCCGAGATCCTCCTCATCGTCATCGCTGTCCTCAAATCCCACAGCTTTACCATTCTTTCTTGGCTGTGCAAAGTCTTTCTGCACTTTCAACTGCTCATACTGCTGCTCAGCCTCATGTCTGGCAGCCTCAATTACTCTCCGCGCCTGCTCCCAGACTTGATCGACTCCGAAGCCATCTGTGTGAATTTGCTTGAGGCGCAAGATTTCCTCGTCACCGCCTTCGCCGCGCTTTCGCTTCTTTCGACTCGCCTTGAGTCTCTGCTGCTGCTCTTCGCTGACATCCTGGGCAAGCGGGTCGAGGATGTGCTTGAGGTATGCGACAGCATCTGTATAGAGTGGCAGGCTCGGCTGGAGGAAATCGTGTGGCGCCTTCTCCAGGGTTGGCAGGAAGGTCGTCGAGATCGGCGCCATACTGTTGACTCTCTGACTATTCTACAGTTCTCGCGAGCAAGTCCTTCACCCCACTGTCGCTGCCAAAAGATCGACTTGGAGAAATTCTATGCATATCAGGAATTAGGGTTGACGCTAGTCTCGATATAGGGTAGCCACGGCTTTGGTTCCGCCGTCCATCTGCTCGCTGAGCCTCGCTCCTTCCTCCCTCTCCCCTCCCTCTTTCACGCGCAGCACACAGCACAAGCAGTATTCCGCGTGGTAGAGGCTTCCAGCTTCCCCTATCGCGGAATGACTTGGAGCTACTTCCTGGTAATGCCTTCCTTCTGACTGGAATCACAGTGCAGTGTCATCATCACCATACACAATGACACAATGATAAAAGCCCACACCAGAGTCTCAGGTCTGATGGCATCACATGTGTCCATATCAGCAGCAAGAAATCTGCCTGTGAGATGCAAATGAATGGCGGAGCTCGCCGGCCTGGTCGGCCTCTTGCCCGTATCAAACTCTAAAGAGACGCGAGATAGCATGTCCGGCACGTAAGTACAATTCGCACGCTCCTCACGGACATTGAACCTGTATGCTATCGGAATGCAGAAACCACGATGCTGTATACTCAGGCCACAATCATCACCCTCGATCCAACAAGGACGATTATCACCGATGGGGCCATCCTGATCCAAGACACCACGATAGCTGCCATTGGCAAGACATCAGACCTGGCCTCATCTCATCCCAATGAAGAGATTGTGCCTCTCCCTGGGCGCATCATAATTCCTGGCCTAATCAATTCACACATGCATACTGCGCAGACAATGCTACGCGGATGTGCTGATGACCTGGAGCTTGTCTCCTGGTTGTGTGAACGCATTTGGCCACTCCAAGGAAACTTCACAGCAGAAGATGGGCATGCAGCGGCGAGACTTAGTATCGCGGAAATGCTGAAATCTGGCACAACGTGCTTCCTCGAAAGCATGTTCGCGGATCGCTACGGTTTTGATGGGCTCGCCAAAGCTGTAGAGCAGAGCGGCATCAGAGGATGCTTAGGCAGAATCGTAATGGATCAAGGTCGTTACGCGGGTGACGATGACCGCTGGGCCATGCATCCAGGTCTTGTGGAGGACAGAGAAATGAGTCTTCTTGGCGCCGTGGCCATGCACGAGAAATGGAACGGAAAAGCAGATGGCAGGATCAAAGTCTGGTTTGGAGCACGCACGCCGGGAGGGTAAGTACAGGATTGTAGTCCCATCATCTTGTTGTCGACTGATCACACACACTCCACAGGGTTTCCGAGGCACTTTACAAGGAGATGACTACCATCTCAAAAGCGAAGAGTATACCAATCACGATGCATTGTGCTGAAGCGCCTGCCGACAAGATATTCTTCGAAGGCCAAGGTCACACTGCGATGTCCTATTGCGACTCTGTCAACCTTCTCGGTCCGCAGACTGTCCTCGTTCACATGGTTCATCTGGAAGACAGCGATATCGCCAAACTCGCGGAGACCGGAACGCACATCGTGCATTGTCCTAGCAGCAACAGCAAGCTCGCTTCAGGATTTTGCCGCGTCCCGGAACTATTGTCCGCAGGCGTCAACGTGACATTAGGCACAGATGGTGCACCTTGCAACAATACCTGCGATATGCTGCAAGAAATGCGACTTGCTGGCATACTGCACAAAGTCACACACATGGACCCAACCCTAGTCTCCGCTGAGACTGTGCTTGAGGCCGCGACCATCAACGGCGCACAGGCCTTGGGGCTTGCGAACGAGATTGGAAGTCTCGAGGTCGGCAAGAAAGCAGATTTTGTCGTTCTCGACATGAGAGCCGTCCATCTGCAGCCATGGTTCAACCCGGTAAGTGCTGTAGTGTACTCAGCGACTGGCAGAGATGTGGAAAGAGTCGTGGTGAATGGGAAGGAAGTTGTCAACAATAGGCAACTTTTGACCATGAACGAAGTCGAAGTCTGGAAAGAGGCAGAGTGGAGGTCGAAAGAGATTGTTAGAAGAGCAGGCTTACAATCAGCAATTGGAGCTAGGTGGCCAGTGCTGTAGTGTTGTCTACGTCCACGGACTTGGCGAAATGCAGATGTTTCAGCTCCAGACTTGGAAGACAAGCTTCAAGATTGTGTGAAGGGGCATGGACGCGCAGTATCCAAAGTGATCCGGACACTGGCGAGGACGTGTCTGCTTGGAGGACAGCTGCTCTGCGATATCAAACCCCCTTCGGCCACTTCCAATTTATTACCCTTGCTCTGCTGATGGAATGGTTTAGCTACATTGACGTTTGTCTTGGCGATCGGATTGATGCATGAAATTAAGCTTGCAGCGATTCCAATGTAAGCACCTTGTTATGGGCAAATGCTTCACACCCTGCCCTCAAGTACTGCTGTAGATCATTGCAGCTTCCTGACCATCCGCATAAATCTCAAGCACAGGTTGAAGCTGCACCATTCCGCGGTTCTCAGAAATGCCAAGGCGCTCGGTTTGACAGCTCTGCACAGCCTCCATTCCGTGGCCCTGGGCATCCGTCATGATCAACACCATCACGGCCGAAAGCAGCAACAAGTGTGCCTCAGATTATGGGACGTCGTAGCAACGCCACTTTGTTAAGGCTCGAGATCCTTCAGCTGCGCCTGTGTCTGGCGTGATTCCTCCGCTTTACCTGAGAAAATGTAGCAGTCACCGCACAACAATTTCCCTTCTTCCAATCTCGACTTTCTGACCTGGTAGTCATTAGCACTCCTTGAATCACGACGCACCGGGCGAAGCGAGGGGCCTCGTATTCTTACATCATGGCTCTCGGTTCCTGGCAATCCAAGCAGACAACCGCCAGCTGGCAAGACACTGCGAGGCCAATTACATTCCTCCTAGTCATCCTTTGCGCGACTATCATCGCTTTGATTGTAACAATCGCCGTAAATGTTACAGTTGCGAATGCGCCAGACAATGACCTCGGATACGGGTGAGCAGGACGATTCTCAAGGTGTGTCCCATTGACGTGGTTAGCTGACACATCCACGCAGATTCGGCTGGGTGCTCATGATGCCAGTTCCTGCTATCGCTTTCGTCTGGACTATCATCGACATCCTCGTCTGCCGCTTTTGGAATTTGCATTCGATCTACTCTCTCGTCTCGGCAATTCTCCTCGCAATCGGATATGTCATTGTAGGAGTCTTTACTGCGCTGTTCTACAAGTATGTGTCTCAAAAGGTGCATCTTGAAAAAAAAAAACTAACATGTATACTCAGCTGGAATGATGAGGGTGCATGGGTGCCGAGCATTTTCTTCTTCATCAATGCCATTATGTGAGTGAGCTACTTGAGGTATCTTAAAGAAGGTCAGAGCTGACATTCTGGATCTAGTCACACAATATTCATGGGCTTTGCGGCGCGTGCAATCCATATTAATGACAAGAACGAGAAGGCCAAAAAGCTCGATGTTCGCATGTCAGACCTGCAGAAGGCATGAAGTCTGACTATTTGCGAAAGACACTTGAACAGGATCAGCCACGCCCGAGAAATGACCATATTCGGAAACAGACACAGGGCTGGATGGTACTAATGAGGCAGGTAATGTATAATGATTCAATTGAGATGTCTCATGAAAACCCACATCCTACTGACTCGTCGTTTTGAGCGAACGTGTACGATTTGCGGATTCGCTTTGCCACTTTGATAGTCTGCTTTGTGTGCATCGAGGAGACATCCTGTGACCCGGCTTGGAGCATTCTAATGTCCCCAAAACGCCTATTTCTGTTATTACTGACGCCGACCATGAAGAGTTCTGGGAAGATGGCTGCAGAGAATCAGCCTCGCAATGCTCAAGCACTTTGGCGAATCCTCAATCACGAGCTATGCGCCTTTGCTTCACTTTTCTACTCTGCAAGCTACTAACTATACCAACCATGATCGACCTACCATTCATTCTGCCAAGACGCCTTTGAATGGCTGAGAGGTTGGTGGAGGTCTGAGTAAGGATGATTTCAAGGCATTCTCCATCGCCCGACCTTTCAATATCTGTGTGCCGCGTTCTATCCCAGCCTCTTCGTACGGAAAGGGAATCGGAATCGACTGCTAAAGGTCTTGACACTTGTGCTATGCTCATTTCGTAACAACTTTCCACCATCCCCGCCGACCGAACATTTCTGCAATGGCCGTGTTGCTTGCCAGTGCACAATGTTGAAAGCGTTTATCTTGCCGTCATCCCTCCAACAAGATCAATGGCCGAGGCACTGTAATGTCATCAGACGTCGCCTTCACAAAGTATTGTGAAGTTCAGGTCTCGGAGATTTCAATAACAGTGACGAAATCTAAGCGTCGTAATAAGGTCAAATACGCACAATTTTGGCGACGATGTCATCCAATCACCTTCCTCATTGGTCTAGGTTGGTAGCCCAACAATCGCATGCCATGCACCATCGCTAACAACATGCAGTGGCTATGATTTCCGTGCGTTTAAGCTTGAAGTGGTTTGAACTGGCCTATTACTGACATTCATCCAGGCTTGTCATACTCCAGTGTTACGAGCGCGGGGTGAGTACCTGTCAGCTCTATACGCATTGCGCATAGGTCTTTGCAGCTTCTAACAGCCGTTTCAGAGACCAGGGTTGTACGTATTAAGCCACGCACAAATATCTGCACAATCATTCTGATGAGTAACAGCGATTCCCTGATGGGGAGATACCTTTACACTTTTTGCTCGTCGTTGTCGACTTTGAACATTTTTAAAGAAGGGCAGCTCTTGTAACATGGTCCAGGAATTAGGACCTGCGCCCCTAATCCGTGTCTACCGGATCCCAGTCTGAAAAGTGGTCAGTCGAGAAACTTAATGGTTCGTTTAGGGCGGGCGGGAAGCTGTACCGGTTACAAGATACTCGTCCAAGTCGTCCATCTTCTTCATGTCGGCCTCTTCGATCTTGAAGTGGCCGATACTGGCGTTCTCCACGATACGCTCCTTGCGAACACTCTTAGGCAGCGGCACGAAGCCATGTTGCAGTGACCACCGAACAAGAAGCTGACCCGAAGTACAGCTGTATTTCTTGGCAAGCTCAACAATGGTCGGATGCTTCATGCGGAGTGCCCTGGCCAGCGGCGCATACGCCTCTACCACAATGTCATTCTTGAGGCAATGCTCGGTGAGTGCCATTCGTGTATTGAAGGGGTGGACTTCGATTTGGTTTACAGCGGGCTTGATTTTTGGCTTGCTCGCAAGCAACTCGTCGATGTGTTTGTTTCCAAAGTTCGACACGCCACCAATCCTCACCTCTCCCGCCTCAATGGCATCTTCAACGGCTCTCCAGCTGGCGAGCCGAGCCTGCTTACCACCGTAGGGCGAATGCAGCAGAAACAGATCGATATACCCCAATCCGCATTCTGTCACGCTTTTTGTGATGCTCTTCCTTGCTCTTTCGTAATCGGAATTGCTAGCAAGCTTGCTTGTATAGTGGATGTCCTCGCGCTTGACTTCTGGGTGTGTCTTGAGATACTCTGATATGCTGTTGCCGACATCGCGCTCGTTTCGGTACATTTGAGCACTATCAAATGCTCTATATCCGGCATCGAGAGCACTCGTGACAGCCTTCGAAGCTTCCGATCCAGACATCAGGTAGACACCTAGTTGGATGCGTGGCATAGACGCGCCATTATTGAGTTTGACACGCGAGGCGAGTGAGAACGATTCGTCTGCCATCTTCCTCATTGCTGCAGACATATGCAGACATACGAGAGTTGCGGAGAAAGCTGCAAGGCAGAACAGGAACAAGTAGTACCTCTGAGAACCTGTAACGAAGAGATGGGTCGTCTTCTCCTTGCCATGACGTTGTGCCTAGCCCTTCGGCGTAATGATGCCGATGGTTCTCGGGCCATGCATCTGAAGAAGGATGATATGAATGGCCTGGTGAGGTGAGATATCGTATCTTCGCGATCCTCATTGTTACTCCCATCGAACCCGCGTGTTCACTGCTGCAACGCCCGAAAGACCTCGGGATCAGTGAGACGTGATGCGATAATAATAATAATGAGGCGAGGCGTATACGTAGGAGCCTCGGCCACTCACTACCCGACCATTGGCACGCCTCGCGACGCAGGGTGCGAGCTTTCTGCAGGCAAAATGCTGGCTGGGCGTGGCGATTTGAGAGCCTCACGCGGTCGAGGTCCATTTAGCTCTCCTTCCTCCCATATCATCCCTACTGCTTCGCAAAGACGAGGCGGTGGTGCTCACGTTGTCGAGGGTACCGCCGTCATGATCTCATATTCAAGTCGCAGGGGATAAGGCGCCGACGGGGTAGCGTTTCTGATATATCTTTTTCTGACCGCGGCGATGGCTGACCGTTCTTCTCCACCCAATAATGACCTACACGACTCTGCCGCTGTGTACTAGTCAACGCCTCGAACGCCTTCCCGCTGCCTAGATTCAGTAAGGCGGTGTAGTTCAATGGACAGAATGGATCCTTCAGTCCCTCATCAGCAATACTTCGACTTCAAGCCTAGCGCGTACTCAGATGCTTCGGGCGGGAGATCTAGCAGGTCGAACGCAGGCTCTAGCAGAGGAGCATTTGCAGGTGTAGAAAGGTTTGACAGTGGTATGGAGGATCAGCCTATGTCTGGACTTGGTGACCCCGGCTTCGACATCTTGGAGTGGCACCCAGCCTTCCAGTCGTGTCAGCGATACTTTCTCGATCATGCGCAGTACGAAGCGGGCACATTAGCTGTTTGTGCACTGGTCAACATTCGACTCCCTCACCAATGGCTAACAACACCTATCACTGCATCACAGCCGCCAGGCTCATCACATTCGCAGAGTGGAGTTGGCGGCAGCACAGCTTTCAACTTTACTGCCTACTCACGCGGCAGTGGCATGAACTCGCCCAGATCGAATCGAAACTCACAAGCACCGACCTTCGTATCGCCCGTGCCATATATTCGACGACTAGTGGTGACCGGCTTCGACAAGCCTCCCATCCTACACGGTTTCTTCGGCGATGACTACGAGCGAGGTATCATGCCTCACGTCGAATGCGAGCGGCGTAACTACCTCTTCGCAGCGAAGCATGGCGGTTGGCGCAGCTGCAAGAAACAGTACGACGTCGGAAGTGGCCACGGCGGCGACGAAAGCGTGCCCTTCATGAAGCCATTGGGTGAGGCAAAGCAGCAAGAACTCACAGGGGCAGAGAAGGCATGGAGTGACTGGCTGGCTATGGAAGATTGGATGGTCGGGTAAGTAATGTTCGAGGGAGACATACAACGCAGATGTGCCATACTTTGCCTCGCTTTATTGCACCAGACCAGAGCACGAATGTAAGCTAACATTCGGGCAGGCCTCGTGCGCCTGAGGACGAAGGTGGTGTCGGCACAAGACAAGGACATCGCAGGTCTGCATCGCGTAGAGGCATGTCAGATGGCCTGCCAGATGGGTACGATGGGTACGATCGCATCCACGCTATGGTTTGACAGCCTCACTGATCCTGCATAGTGTTCCGGATGGGCACAACTCGCGATAGGAACGCGAGCGTCTCCCACTGAACGTGGCCCAAAGACGTTCTCGCTCGCCTCAACGGGAGTCTTTACAACACGCACGGAGTGGGAAGGCGCGCTTTGCGAGAGATGATTGAACAGCCGCAATTGGCTGCGGAATACCAAGAACCATCCATACCTATGGATACACAAGAGAGATTTTGCTGAGTATGCACCACCAAAGCAGAGCAGTAGCACGACATCGGTGAGCTACGATGTTGCAGGAGCAGGGGCAAATCTGTTTGCTTGCTGGATCTATTGTCTCTTGACAGCCAACACGAAATGGTCGTTGTCACTTTGACGTCTCCACAGATTTATGAGCACACCTCTGCCGCTGCTAAGAGCTCTTGCATAGAGATGAATCTTTGCTGGAGTTCCGCATATCAAGACGCATTTCTCACCCGGACAGACAGACCATCGTCGTTCTCACTGCGGATCGCATAGACGTCGGCAGGACCTGCAAGCAGTGTAGGCTCTCGAAATTGACTCTGCTTCGTAATCGATCGCGCCGTCGAACTCGAGATCCACGAAGTTATCCGCGAGGCGAGGATGTCGAGCTTGAATTTGGATGTTTTGACGCTGCAAAGAGCTGCTTATCTTATTGCTGTTAAGAAACGCGATTCTGAACCAGCTGCAAAATTGCATTGTGCCGTGCCGATAAGAATCTGCAATCTATTTTGGATGTGAAGATCGAGTTGTCAATCGGAGTGGACGCACTTGCTCATATCCAGCCATCGGCTATCTCGGCAAGCCGAACGTCTGCCGTCCGAGTCCTGTCCGGCAAGAATCATCCATTCTGGAAGTGACCCAGTCCACACAACATCGAGACACACCAAACTCGCCAATATGGCAACCTCGGCGAAAGATCGAGTCTTCCGGACTCCTGAACTCCTCGAAGCCATCCTGCTGCAGGATGTGCCCATGCTGCAGCTCTTCGTCATTCAGCGCACCTGCCGCGCCTTCCTGGAAACCATCAACGCCTCCATTCTGCTTAAACGCGCCATGTGCCTCGAGCCGCTTCTAGGCTACGCAGAGAACGTTTGCAACTATCGGCAGAACATCAACCCTCTATTGCCGACAGTGCTCTTCGTGCCAAACGACAGCACGGACGGCGACGGCGTGCTCTTCTCGGCTGCGTGGCAGCGCAACAGCATCGATATAAGATCACACCTCGACTTCCACATTGTTTCAGAGGGAACCCTTCCACAGCCATATGAAATGCAGCGCCAGCGTTTGGACGATGTATCACAGTCTTGGCATCGAATGCTGGTATTTCGCCAACCCGATACTCAAACAGACTTGTTTCGGACCCTTCGCACAAAGCCCCGGCCTGTGAAGAGTAGATCTCAACGCGAACTTCACTGGGACGCCTTTTTCAAGCCCGACATCACCATGGGTGACCTGTACACTGGAATGATGTTGGCATACAGAAGATTCCTGAAGGCCAGAGCTAAGGGCAAGAAGAGGGCGAGCGACTACATTCTGGAACATGGCGGAAAGATGGACAACATCATGGAATTGGCTTCCGATGCTGAGGATGATTGAGAAAATGGATGTCCGAGGTAGAGGTTTGCGGCACACTGTGGGCTTTGCCAAAGACACCATAGCTGGTGTAGAGGTTGTCGAGAGCGTGCTGTCGAGAGCGTGTCGTCGAGAGCGTGTAAGACAGCAGTAGATACGTTGACAGCGCAACACAAACAATTTGCAAGACGCGGTCTTGCTCGCACTTACTGGGTTCGAAGCACTGACCGGCATGTTCGAGCTCCCTCAACAGTACTTTGGGAAACCATTTCAAGTCAACGACCTTGCACCTCACGCCCGCATCATTGAAACAAAGCTCGACTTCCGGCACCTCATCGAACTTAAACTTGAGCGAGCATCAAATGTATGCAGTATGGCCGCTACTCAGTCAACAACTGCAAGCTTAACGTAAGCAGCTCTACACAATAAATAGCTTTCAGCGCTGACAAGATCTATCACAGGCCCGTCGCGCCACCCAGCCCTGCGGGAGGCCAGGTGTTCAACACCACCGAACTGCTCGAGGGGATCATGCTCAATCTCTCCTTTCTTGACCTCTTCGTAATCCAGCGCACAAATAATAACATCCGCGACACAAGCCATGGATCGACCAAACTGAAGCAGCGCATGTTCCTCGAGTCGCCACCGGCCGAGAAGCTGAACGGCAAAGTTCTGGTCAACCCGCTGGTGGAACGTCACAGCTTCACCCTGTCTCGAATTGTCGCGAAGTACAAGCAATCGGACTTGCAACACCGCTCATGGCACGTCGAGCCGTACAGCCTTCGCGAACCGCAGCGAGAAGTCCAGAAAAACAACATGTACTTCACATCCCCAGGAGCGCTCCAGACTGGGAACAACAACATCAGAGTAGTAGTGAAGCGTAGCGGATCAGAGAAGTTAGATGAGAGGAAAGATTTACAGCTACCGCTACCAGTCGTCAAGCATGATAACTACAGCTCGTGGCGTCGCATGCACATAACACTGCCACCGAACGTCATGTTCTCGACCGACCTTCTTTGGGAGCGAAAGCGGTTCGTCAGTTGCAGAGCGCGGCCCTATCGGCCAACGGTTTATCACCGAGTGCATCTTAACACTCCAAGACTGGGAGACGTGATCGATGTTCTTGATGGGGACTACAAGCGGTCACCACCAGAGACATGATGGACGAGCCAGATTTGCTATGCATGCAACATGAGCATCAATGGCGTTCGGCATATGAACTGGCTTTCATGCATGACGTGCTGTATCAAGTCGAAGGGCACTTGAAAATGCTGGCCTCTCTCGAATGGCAAGCAGACAAAGCTCACATGCAAACCCTACAGTGAATCAAGCCCATTTCAAGGTCACATCAACTATTCTTTCTTCTCTTTGCTCGTCCTTACTCACGCACTTTTCTTTCCTCACTAGCACAACACGGCAGACTCTTCGAAGAAGGCCGAACTCGTGGAATATGCCACACTCTATCGCCAGCCGAAGGATGTCGAAGAACTTACATCGCGCAAGCGCCAAAGTGTTCGCTTCACCGAAACTTTTAGAGCAGATTCTCCTCGAAGTGCCCATGTTCCAACTTTGCCTATTGCAAAGGACATGCATTCAATTTTACCATGTCATCAAGGATTCTTCAAGTCTGCAACAGGCCATGTTCCTTCTGGTGAAGCCAGATGCATCAAGCAGCCCCTTCGAGTCGAGAGCAATCATCAACCCTCTGCTGTCCCAGATTATCATCGCACCAAGCGAGGTCTTCGACCAGGCCGATGGCCTCTACTTCAGTCAAGCCTCTCTAACCCACGGCGATGTTCAAAACAAGACCCTCGACCTCTTCATTTGCTCAGAAACCAAGGCATGGAAACCGTGGTTGCGCCGACTCAGTAGCGCATCACTGGACGTCTCTTGGAAACGAATGCTGATCTCGCAACCACCGCCATCAAACTTCTCCACCAAGCTCCATGCTCAGCCGCGCTTTTCCAAAGAAAAGAAGAAGAAAGTCGAGGTGAGCTTCACAACAACTCATGGCAGGTATCTTGGCAACGGCTGCACTCTAGGCGAGGTGTTCAATAAGCTGGATCAAAGCTATGGGAAGTTTTTGGATAAGTGTAAGAGAAACAAACAGGTCAATCGAAGGGATCTGAGGATGGGAAGAAAGGGAGCGGGCAAGAATTGGAATTGGACTGCGGATCATGTGGATGTCTTTCCGGGGACTGGGAGGGTGAGAGGGAGTGCGGTTATCGATCGAAGTGAGTTTGCGCCGCTCGCGAAGGAGATGTTGAGAATGGATTGATTCGAGGGTGATGAGTCCGAGCTGCTGAAGCGGCGAGTGTGAGTAGTGAGCGATGAGTATGGATCTCCCACTTTTTCCAAGCTCACATGAAAGGAACGCACGGACACTCGGAAGTTCTTGCCGTGTCACGCAGCTTGCGTGTAATTGCAACGTCTCTGCATGTCAACTCCGCTTCCATCTATCTGCAACAAATTTCCAGCGACACAAACGTGCGCAGCATCCGAATCACCCACAGTCACGATTTCTATCATGGCGCCTTTGACAGCGGCATGTGGCGTAGAGAGCGAAGAGTATGAATATGGGCCACGTATCGCCTCTCTGCCGAACCATGCACTGACTGAGACAGAAATGAGACATCCTCCAAGGCATACCACAAAGTCGTCCACACCACCGAGGTGCTCGAGCAGATCCTGCTGAACCTGGACTGCATCACTCTGTACGGAATTCAGCGTGTCTGCAGAGCATTCCGAAGCACGAGCCAAGGATCGAAGAAACTCAGGCAAGAAATGTTCTTGGAAGCAGAAACGGAGCAGAAAGCAGGAGACAGCGGCAAAGCCATCAATATCAATCCGCTCATCGTGCGAGGCGTCCTTACTCCAACGAGAGCTCTTCACGTCGGAGGCCAGGTCGATGGAATTCAATTCGGCTACTGGGATCGACATGAGGAGGCATATCCTATCCTCATGATGTATCTGGTTTCGGAGGAGTCAAACTGGGATATGCGTATGGACCATGTCTCCAATTCCCCAGAAGCATCATGGCGGCGCATGTTCATCTCACAGCCGCCGCGCTCCAACTTCCGTACAGATTTGACGGCGAATGCGACATATTGGGCATCTCGCGAGTTGGGACTTCAATTGTGGGAGAGGACTTCTCAGCTGCATCCTGGACGGAGTCTGGGAGCAGTCTTCGCCGTTGTGGATAGGGAGTACGAAGAATTTCTGCCTGTCTTGGAAGACATCAGGGACGCGCAGAAGAAGGCCGGAAGTTCTTGAGGTCGAAATCGCTCTTGTGAGCATCGATCGAGATGTGCGCGTCGAGAATTCAGGATATCATGCGGTCTCTGGTCACGCCTTTGCTAAGTAGAGAACAAAAGGGTGAAGTCGAAATGATCCGGAGGCGGTATTGGATGAGCTGCACAGGCAAGATGCGTACATGAGGGCGGCTTGAGAGGGAGGAATGACCTTTACCAATGCTGCAAAACAATTCTCTCCGTCGAAGACCAGCTTCACAAGTAGTTATTGGTCCGGGTGGTATGAATTAGGAGCCCTGGGAATGAACAATTGCAATCGCTGAGGCAATGGAACCTGATGGAGCGCGTGGCAGCAAGGTCCTCGTTTTGAAAATCTTCGTCGACTGACGAGTCTATGAAGGTGCATAAGGAACAGGAGGTGAAGTACATGTACGTTGTAGTAGTTGTAGTAGGGCGCGACTATTCGAGAATCCAGTCCGGCCACATGGGAATCCATGTGTCCGATCGCGGAGGAGGCCTAAGGCAAATTTGTTAGTTATCGTCGCTCTATAATAGCTATATTATTAAGCCCTTCTACGTATTTATAAGCTAAGTATAATGCCGCTATTACCGCCGCTACGCCTATTTAATTAGAGAGTAATATATATAAATTTTAGTATAGTCTATAATTAATCTAGGATTGCAATCTAGATTAGCTTAGCAATTCAATTTAATCTAATCTGGCTTATTCCTGCTGACTAAGCAATCTAATTCAATTCAAGCTAGCCCCTTTCTAAAGTAATCTAACTTAATCTAGCCCTTTTTAAAGCAATCTAATTTAATCTAGGGGCTAAAGGGCTAAATTAGGTAGGCTTAGCAATTCAATCTAATCTAATCTCGCCTAATCCTACTAATTTAGCAATTTAATCTAATTTAATCTAGCCCCTATTAAAGCAATCTAATTTAATCTAATCTAGGGGTCCTAGCAATCTAATTCAATTTAGGGGGGTCTAGATTAATTGGATTAATTATAGACTATACTATATATAATCCGAAGCGCTTCTAGTTATAAAGAATACGTAGTAAGAGGCTACGGCAAGAGCGAGAGCCGTAGCTAGGCAACCTCGGAGGCCTTAAATTATAGGTTAAGTAGATATATAGACCGAAGGACTAGCTAGCGTACTAATACTAGGACTCGGAGGGTATCGACCGTTACTAGTAGTATTTAAAGCAATTCCTCTTAAACTTCTAGGAAGATATAGTAGAAAGCGAGCGGACGTACGAGTAGCGCTATACTAGTAAGTTATTAGTATAAGGCTAGATACGATAGTCTTAATCCCTCTACCTAGTTAGCTAGTAAGCTAGATAGCACCTTTAGCTGGCAGGAGATCTGTGATCTCTCTAGAACGCATCCCTTGATTGACAGCTCGCGTGAAGGATTTAGTACATGAAGCAGAAAGACCTATGGCTCAGTGGTTAGCGCCTACCATGCACACTCGAAGCAGGCGATGGCAACTGGGCTGTGAGCCATTGCTCTGAGTGGACGAGTGGTTTCTGAGATGCCGGGGGCGATTGTCAATTTTTGCTTTTTTGGCTTCTGGAGCAACTTCGATAACGTATCTATGTATGGCTCGGTGATATAGAATGATACCGCTGCGATCGTGGTGATGGGCATAGGAGTCTAGTTCTAGCTTTCGCTTCATTCCGATCAAAGTGTCTCAGACGGACAACAGGACGGAGCGAGTGCGCTGGAAGGTGGTGACTCAGGAAATCCTGCTCCGCTGTGCCAGCTGCGTCGTTCATCGACTGTGTCCGGGATGGTCAGCAAGTAGAGCGTGTCTACGGTCCGCAAAGTCACAACCTCAGCCATATCCAAGTTCCCTCAAAAGCTGCCCTTAAAGCGCCTCGCCAACGGGACAAAGACACTTCTGCTCAGTCCTGGCAGCCTTCTCATCCGTATCCTCTCCCGCGATCTCTATCTCCTCGCTCCCCAACACTCGACATTCCGGGCAAAGCCACAGATTGCCAACATCATCCAGCATCTCCACCAGACCATCCTTCTCGGTCTGCAAGCCTACGCACCAGCGATGCCAAGTCCCAACCCTACACCTCTCGTTATCGCAGGTGATAGCGCCTCCCATGATCAGCTTCTTGCAGCGACAGTAGAGGCCACCTTTCTGCCAAGGCTCGTACTCCGCGGCTTTGTACACCAGGTGATCGGGAGGAGTCACTTGTAGACCGATTGCGCGCAGCTCGGAGATTGTGCGGAATTTGAGGATGAATGTCTTGGACGCAGCTTGCTCGGAGTCTTTGTTATCGATGAGTGCAAGGAAGGGTGGTTTGATTCCGTCCTCTGATGGTTCGTACCAGAGGCTCCACTCTTCAGTCCTCCGCAGTTGGCTGATACAAACTGTAACATCTCTCGGCAAGACGAACTTGTGATCGCCCTCATCTTTGAAACTTGATGGTGTCTCCAGTCCTGCCGGGACTGTATGACTTCCCAGGGTGATGTCAAGCGGCTGAAGAGTGTCGATGCTGGCAGGGCGCTCTGCTGTGATCTGCTCGTCTCTTGAGACTTGGATGAGGAGGGCATCGCATCCGATATCAGCAGGACGCGTGCAGAGCACTCGGATCGCGAACGGTGCTTTCGAGTCGAGCGGCATCTGGATGTATTCTGAACGCGCAGTGGCTGATGTATGTTTTGGGTCTGGAAAGCCGGTGTGTGCATGGTTGTCGCAGAGGACTTCGACGGACAACGTATCCATGGTATCTATTCTATAGCGTGCGCGACACTGGAGATCTTCATAACGAAGAATTGGAGTGTAGGTGCGAGAGCTTGGCTTTTTTTGTATTTGCCCGCGGTCCACAAAATAGTCTAGAGAGGACGAGCGGCTTCCGCACGGATCGCGGAGTGGACTTTGAAGGGCTGCACATGCTTATGACGGCGAATGTTTGCTATACGCCGAATGGCCTGTGCGTGCGCTGATCAAACAAAGTCGAACGTGTCTCCAGCCCCAGCTAGCATGCTCTTCACCCTCTCGCTGCCCACAACTCGTTCGAGGCGCAGGCCATCCCATTTGCTGAAAATCGCTCGGACGTTCGCTTCGGCAGCCTCGATTTTCCCTTCGCTGATGCTTGTGCCTAGGTAACCCTCGACCAGCTCCTGGTAAAATATGGGGTTGTCCGGCATGCCATACATGATCACCCGCTTCACGTCTCTGATCTTAAGCCGGAAGAAATGATGTGCTCGCTGCGTGTATAGCAGTATGCTGTGCTTTCCATTTGAGAAGCGAGATCTTGCTCGTCGCTGGTCTGAAACCTCGCTGTAATCGTGTATGGTGCCGAAGGATGTTTCTTCCGTAAGCGTAGAGCCGGCGAAGAAATTGCGTATGCGCAAGAAGTCGAAGTAGGAAGGAATGAATATTAGTGTCCCTTGCGCACCGGTGCGAAGAAGCCTGGGCAGAATGGCAGTGGTAAAGTATTTGAATCTCGCTTCAGGATCATCTCCTGGAGATGAGGAGTCGAAGCGAGAGAAGGTCTGCTTAATACCCAGGCCGGAGGCTTCCGTGATTGCACCTGCGTACATAGGTGTAAGCTTGACCTTGCCTGCGACATTCAGCATGTGCGCGCTCCACAATCTATTCATCTCTGGAGTAATATAGGCCGAAAATAGAATGGTTTGCCGCAGGTGCTTGGCATGCCCATCGAGATACCAAGGGCGGACACGAGAAAAGTCGCAGTCATGAGCTTGCCTCAGCTCTAGGTTGAGGTGGTTGAACACCACTTGCAAGTTATCCCAGTTCTGCATATACATCCCATCTGCTTGATCTGCTATCAAGATTTCGATCGATGATAGAAAATCATGATCTTGCTTCTTTTTGTCTTCATTTTCGATGATCCTTCGCAGTCCCAGTGGTGAAGCGAGAATGATGTCGCTGTTATAGAAGCCCGAGTAGAATTTAAGAGTCTTTCTTGTGAATTTGAGCGCCGTGAGGAAGCTGTTGTCGTTGTTGCCACCAAATAGCTCGCGATAGTCTTCAGGCATCGTCTGACGGTCATCCAAAGGATCTCTGAACGCATCATCAAACCGCTTTCTATGCTCTTGTTGTTCTGGCTTGAAGACTTCGACAATAGCATCTGCGTAGTTTGCAGCCATTTGGCGCGTTTCGGTGAGGATGAGGATTTTCGGTCGCACGAATCCCTGGTCCTGGGCATTGACTTCAGCGGAGTCGGCATGACTGAGTCGCTCATTGTTCTTGAGCACTCTATCGCGTCCCTTGAGGACATGATTTACAGCATGGAGGGCCGAAAGATTCCGGAGCGATGGTGCATTCTGTGGCGTGCGACCACTCGCGAGGACATCCTGATACGCAAAGACATACGGAGCCAAGGTTTGCGCCGCCTCGCTCTCGAAGTCGGAATGGGATATGTTCTTGGCAAGGCGCTCTTTCAGATGAAGTTTCTTGGGTCCAGACAGTTTGGGTCTGAGAAGGGATCGCTCTTTCGCGGCTTCCGGGACAGAGATGACTAGATTCGTCTGCCTACCCACTGCCTGCTTCTCATTGCTCCACTTGCCCCCTTGTATGGATGCGAGACGTCGCGATAGTTCACCGTCGTCTGGATTCGCAAAATGCAGTTCGTATGGATCGTCCTGGCCGTCGTCATCGTTGGAGTCAGGAGCGGCTTCCTCATCATCGCTCTCGTCGTCTCCTAAGCTGTCCTGCTCAGATTGTTCGTTCTCGACTATCTCTTCATCCGATTGAAGTTCATCGACGTTCTGTACCTCATTCCGATCTTCCTGGACATGCTCAATCTTTCGCCGCTTCGCCTTCCGCTCACCAGTCTCTTCCGGTTTGTGGAAGGACTGCAGAAGAGCATTGTACGCCTTCACAGTCGGCTTGACCACTTCCACTTGTTCATCTTCATCATCGAGTTCCTCTTGCTCAGACTCCGACTCGTCTTGGGCAACTTGCGGCTGTTCATCATCTGATTCCACTTCTCTCACGCGCTGACTATCAAACTTGCGATACCCATTCTTCGTCTTGATACCGCTTCTGGCGAGCTTGCCACTGTTCTGCGCACCGCCCCTGCTTCCACCTCTTGCGCCGCGACCTCCTCTGCTTCCGCCCCTGCCTCGTCCTCCGCGACCGCGAAACGGAGCCATTATAGCGTTATAGCATGTCGAAACTTTTTCTTGAACCCTTGACTTTCACAAGCCAAAAAGCTATCGATTAGAGTTGGCAGGGATCAGTCCCCACCTGCCCAAATTTCGCGCCAAGACTTATATCGCATCGCGAGTCTTTCGATCCCGCGCCAGGAACAAGTCCAAGTCGACGACCGCGAATCTGAGCCCGGCGCCCGCCCTCCCTTTTTTCTCACCACCGACAACCGCGAACATGGGCGACAACTTCCTCCACCTCGCGCGTCCGCTGGCCCCAGCCGCAGTGAGCAACGCTCCACCGTCCACAGCGCCAGTGACTGTGACCGTGCAGCCACAAGCCATTTTCAGCATTCTCGACCACGCATCGCGGAGACCCGCAGACCAAGAGCGCGTAATTGGAACATTGCTGGGAGTGCGCAGCGAAGATGGCACCGAAGTCGAGATTCGAAACTGCTATGCAGTCCCACACACAGAAACCGATGAGCAAGTGGAAGTAGACATGGACTACCAGAAGCAAATGCTCGCGCTGCACCTGAAGGCCAACCCGAAGGAAGTACTCATAGGATGGTACGCAACCAGCAGCGAGCTCAACACCTTCTCCGCTCTCATTCAGAATTTCTACGGCCAACAAGGAGATGGCACGTTCCCACACCCAGCAGTCCACTTGACTGTGAGCACAGTTGCTGGCCAAGATATCAAGGCAGACACATACATCAGTGCACCAATCGGTGTTACCGCAGAGAGAGCGGCAGACTCATGTCTCTTCATCCCAGTTCCACATGACATCAAATACGGCGAAGCAGAAAAGTCAGGATTGGAATTGATTGCAGGCGCACAGGATCATGAGGACAGGTCGCAGTTGCTGCAAACCGACATTGAGACCTTGGAGCGCGCGATCGAGCAGGTGCTGGAGATGCTGAACCGGGTATCAAATTACGTTAACAACGTGCTGGATGAGGAGGCAGAACCTTCTTCAGCGCTGGGTCAGTTCCTGATGAACACACTTTCCCTCGCGCCCAAGGTCGAGGCGGAGGACATTGAGAAGGACTTGTACGTGACTATTCCCATGAACCGAATGAGCTTGAGACTGACTTCATTCCAGCAACAATCACATCCAAGACGTGCTCCTCGTTTCGTACCTCGCCAACACTATCCGCACCCAAATCGACCTTTCAAACCGCCTCGCAACAGCCACACTCAACCTCGGAGACCCATCAGGAGAAAAGAAGCAAGATCGAAAAGCTGGCCAGAGAGGCCAGCGCGAGCAACAGTAGGACGTTGCCCATCAGCCCTCTGGCAGCTGCTTGCCGAGTGGGCTGTGACTTGAAGTTCGAAAAAGTGTGTTTGATAGATTCCACAGCGTAGTGGCACTTGCATGAAATGGCTCCTAGTCGGGGACGCCTTGATCCGATGACCAAACATATGCACTCTTCTCAAGAATGTCCTGGCCCTTTAGATTCCACGATGGACTGAGTAAGAAAGCAGCCGGATGAATGAATTCGCCGAAAGCAAGGCTCCCGGGAGATCTTCGCCAACCTCTCTGCAGTTCCCTGAGTTTGAAAGTGTGCACCACCGAACCGGGTCTTTTGTTTCCTGACAAGGCTTTGAGCTGCCCCCAGTGCCTCTTTGCTCATAGTATATGCCTTTTCCATCCAAGATACGGCGGCAAGACAATCGAAAAGGCGTCTTGGCATTCTCAGCCTTGCGGCAAAGCATAGTAAGACGCCTGCTTCGAGTTGGGCTTCGTCCGAGTGACTCGAGACTGTGAGCATAGTGCCAGCACGCCTGCATGAGCCATTAAATTTGTATACAAAAATCAAGACGTCAACATCGATAATGAGTTCCATAAAGACAGTGAGAATAAACCCAAAACGCCTCACAGACCCATCCGCATTCCAATCACGTCCGAGGACATGGAAACCAGCATTCAATCTCCTGCCGAGGACCACTCTCTCCATCCTCAATTTCCGGCACAGTACAATAAGCCCCTTCCGCAGGAACATCATCAGGATACGCCTTGCTAACCGCATCATCACTACCAGTACTAAAAGTAGTAAAAGGGAAAGACACAGCATAATTCTCACCAACACCATAATAAACAAGATTAGCGCTGCCGCGTCCAGTTCCCATTTCACCCAACCGGACGATTGAGGTATCTTTCACGTATCCGCTTCCAGGGATCTGCAGAGCCTGTTGATCTTCCGTCAGTTGTGCAGAAGCATGGCCTCTCTGCTCGCCTGCGTTGTCGTATGTCCAGGCTTCGTAACTGTCGCCTGCGGTTCGGAGGATTTTGAGACGGCATTGGAGGATGTCTTCGAAGTCGTTGTCGTCGTCGATGTTTGCGAAAGAGGCGTAGCGGTTGTCGGTTTCTGGTTGGTAGGGGAAGTGGATTGGGCCCCCTGTTGTTTGGCCTCCGTAGGAAGATAGGAAGAATTGGTTCCCTGTTGGATTGATTAGTTTTGGAATGCTGCTAGACAGCTCGAAATGGTCGGCTTACAGATATCTGCGGTGCCTGGGTTTGGGGCGTCGAGGCAGAAGCCTAGTTTGCTGAGATGCATATGAGCTTACGATGAAGGTTGCAAAGGTTTCCATGATACGGCGTACCTTGTATCTGCTCCGTCATAGTTAAAAGCGATCTGATATGTGTCTCCATCATTCAGTGGTCCATCACCGACTCTGCCTGCCAGTCCGGTGCCAACACCACGTTCAAAATTTGAAAGCTGACTGCCAGCAGCTGCATGGAAAAAGTGAGCATAACGTTGATTCACTTCACTTTGAGACGACATACCTGAGTTTTGATTAGCGTCGATACATCGAAGACTATTGCGAACGGTTCCAGCCTTCCAGTCGTCTTGTTTCATCGATGCCATAGGGAATTCGTCGCAGTTGTAGTTATCTCCAAGGAAATCGTGCCATCTCTGGCTGAACGGCATTTTGTTGCAGACGCTACCATCTCTTGACCGGCAGCCAGAGTGAATGCGATTCTTGTTGTTGTCTGTGTTGGAATCGTAGGTTGCTACAAAGTCTGGCTTGACGAAGTTCATGTAGTAGCAAGCATTGTTACAGGCTTCCTCAATGGACCTTCCACGAGTTTGGGAGCCTTGTGTGGGAGGCGTACCACCGCAGAACATTGTCCATCTGCCTCGGTCACTACGCTTGATGATTCGGTCATGCTGGATATCGTGAGATCCCAAATTTGTGGTGTCTCGGGGCACGACTGTAGCGCCAGTTGTGCAAGCGTAGGCTAGGCCAAGGGCGAGTAGAGGAGTGAGAGTAATCATATCGCCAGGGAACGAGCTGCGCTGATGAGTTTGTGAATGAGAACCATTGAACGGTCAATCAAGATCGTCTTTATACAGCTACACCTGTGCCTACAACCAAGATGCTCAGCTCGAGGCCGCTCATACTTGAGACACCTCTTGCCATTCCCATCGAAGAACAGCTGAACACAGCCATGTGTCGCCATCGCACCGCATGTGGGAGCCAGAAGCCAGAAGCCAAGAAGCAGGCCGTTGATGTTTTCAGTCAATTGGTCAAGCAATCGTGCTTTTGCTGCGCTCGCCAAAACTCTCTGGAAACGGAATGATATTCTCGTTCGTACTCGCGTTCGGCATGCGATGGAACAGGATCGCCCAGCGTTCGATATTGCTTTCGTGTTTGTTGAGATTCAAAGACGAGCAGCTCCGGCCGTGAAACGAATGCAAACTTCCTGAGGCAAGAATTTCTGCCCCAGCTTTGCTTCCACTTTCCATCAGCCATTTCGTCACAGAGCGACTTGAAGTTGCACAAGGAGCTCAGCTGAAGATAAATAGCCCCAGATCCTACCTCTGCACTGCCCATTAACCTTGCGATATCTCTGAAATAGCTGAGACATCCTCCCGTCAGCGTGAGCATAGCCCATCGATTCTTCAACTAGACACCAAACCGACAAATTCATCACTTCAACAATCTCAGAAATGGCCCCCAAAGGAGTTTCGCCGCCCTTTGCACTCTTCGCTGTTGTCAACCTGGAAAAACAGGTAATCAACAAAATCCTCCAAAAAGCCAAGTCAGCTACGAGTGTCAATGATCTCTGGCTCGTATCAAGCTCTGATTACTCCGACACACCACAAAAAGTCCCCAAAAAAGTCAACACCGGAACAGACCCTCCCATCCCCTCAACCTTCCAATCCCCCTTCATAAACCACAAACTCTCGGATTTGGTCCAATGGCTTCGCTCCAAACCAAAAAATGTCGACTTAGACGAGCACTATTTCGTGATCCTGGACGCAAAAGCTGAAGGGCCGGGGGAGGAGAGTGTGGTGGTTTGTAAGATTGGGGATATTGAGTTAAAGGGGGATGGGGTGAGTTGTTTTCGGATGGAGGCTGGGTTGGCTAGTGCTTTTTTGTCGGGGATGGAGTATGGGGAGTGGGAGGAGATGAGGGAGGGGACGCGTAAGAGGGAGTTTGCGGAGATTGAGTATGGGGATTGTGGGGAGTTGTGAAGTTGAGCTGTTTTGAGTGTATATATCATGCAGAAGCCTGGATGCAATGTCGATATCAAGCTACCGTAAAGCCAGTATGGGATTTCGATTCGCGGGTTGTGGCATGTGGTGCTTCATGGCGGAGTGTGAGGTGACCGAATACTCATGATTGGGATAGGTATGAGTACTACTTCTCCACTCATCGGAGCCATTCTCAAAGCTTGATGCCCAACGACTTCCTCCCTAGCTCTACCCCCACTCAGCCGCTCGATGGCTCCCTCAGCCTGATCCTTCCACGTCCTCACCACTCAGACGAGCGGCCCGAGGTAGCGACTGTAGTGGATGACATCCTAGTTATGATGCACTATGGAGACGAAGGCTTGTGTTTCATCTGGATTCCCAAGGGAAGAGAACACTTTCTCTTCCTCGGATAATGCATACCTGTTCAAACAATAGGCAGCGTGGAGAGGCCTCACGAGCGTCCAGTTGAAAGAATCTTTGAATTCCTGGATGGAGGCTGCAGGTTTGTATAAAGTCTTTGCTTGTCTGGCAGAAACAGCATGAAGGTCGGGTGTTTTTATTTTCAAAGTTCTCTTCGTGTGATACTTATTGATATTCAGCAGCCAAGTCAGAGGCAAGGCGATGCCACACGGAACCCGTTAGACTATTTTAGCTCTCTTCATCGTACGCTCACTGTGCTCCATACGTATGCGCTAGAAAAGTTTCGAATCTTTCCATGTTGCGATGCATCTCAGGTGACTGCGATTGCTGCATTAGCGAAGGCGGAATTCAGGATTCGCAGAACTTTGCCGCTTTCTGCTTCTCCTCTGCATTCAAGTGGCTGAGTAGTTTAGCACTGGTGGAAATGTCATCGTCGAGCTTTTGAATGCGTTTCCAGCATTTCCCAAGCCGAGATGGGCCCGAGTTGACTATGTCCTTGACCTTCGTCAATACGAGTGCAGCACCTTCTACGTCGCACAGGCACAGCTTCACTTGCACATCAGTCATGCAAGCTATGGCCCGCGTCTCGGCTCGCAACAATAAAGGTATCGGAATATTCGCATCTCCGGGGTCAAGTCTTGTCAATTCTTCTTGAGACAGCGAGGGCTTCTCCACTCTGGCTCCCACTGCTGGACTGATCTCGGCCATTGCGCGCCTGGCCACAAAGCTGGCTTCTGAGTTGGGCCCATACATCACATCATAGGTTTCGACGACATCTGTGATGAGTTCGAGCGCCTCCCGACCGCGTCGTGTCAGTGCATAGATGTTGGCGAACCTTTGTTTCCTCAGAAGCGTGTCCGGATGGTAGGAGCCAAGGACTTCTTTGCTAAAGTGAAGCGCACGCTCGAGCCATCGTACGGCGGGTTTCCAGTCGCCTTCACCTCGTTCTTGCAACGCGACGCTGTCTAAAACGCGCGACTGTGCGTGCAAAATGTCAAGTTGTAGGTTTGAATTGCTCTCATACCTCGCAGCCTGGCAAGTTCGATACAAAGAAGAGTAAATGCATTCAGAGTGCCCAGAGCTGCTGCGATGCTCATGGAAGGCAAGTGTCATCCCGAGCTCTTTCGCGATTCTGCTTGTGTGCCCTCTAGACACAAGTCCATCTCCAGCGGCCGACGGAAGGTCAAGTTAATGTGCGTGCGATGCTTGGGTTGCTCGAGATGGCTTTGTCGACAGAATTGGCGGGCTTCGCTGTTATTGTATCATCAATATCGGTATCACCAATGTCAACTGCTCGGTGTACGTAGGCTGTGATGCCGCCTGATAGTCTCCCCCTCCCCCTGCTCCCACCCTCTCCCCTCCCCTCCCCCCCGTGCCTCCGATGCCTCGCGCAGTGCCAGTTCTGGTGAGAGCGCATGGAGGTGTTGTTGATGTTTGAGTGAGGTTGGAGCGCCAAGCAATGCGGGACCGACATCGGCGTATAGAAATATTGTAGCAGCTGAAAATGTATACCGCAGTCTTCTGTGTGTGCCGATGGCTCGTCTTGTTAAGCCGATGCGCCGGCGAATGAACGGAAGGGTAGGAGACAAGCGAAGTACACTAATCAATCGTCAATCGTCTCCTCACCGGCTGACCAGCAGCCATTTTCTTCCATCTCCTCCATCTCCTCCATCTCCTCCATCTCCTCCATCTCCTCCATCTCCTCCATCTCCTCCATCTCCTCTGCTCGGTAATGACTCCCGCCTAACAGACTCACCGACCACTTCCCGCGCGCCGCACAATGCAGCTGCCATGGGCGAACAACGAGAAGACATGGCCAGCACAACGGCATGCAGGATGCCCTCAACACGACGACGACGACGACGACCTGGAAGTGCCATGTCCGCCGCATACGACGGAGCGCAAACTGGTGACGCGCATCGACTTCCACGTCGTCCCGTTTCTGTGCATCCTGTACTTGCTCGCCTTCCTGGACCGAGTCAACATCGCCAACGCCAACGTCTTCGGCCTGAGCAAGGAGCTTGGCCTGCAGGGCGATGAGTACAACACCGCGCTCGTCATCTTCTTCGTGCCCTACGTGCTGTTCGAAATCCCATCCAATATCCTGCTCAAGAAGTTCAAGCCGCATGTGTGGTTGAGTCTGAACATGTTCTTGTTCGGCTTCGTGACAATCATGCAGGGCATTGTCACCAGCTACTCCGCCCTGCTCACCACCAGATTCTTTCTCGGTGTCTTCGAGACTGGCATGTTCCCGGGATGCTTCTACCTCATCGGAATGTGGTATCGGCGGTCTGAGGCCCAGAAACGATACAGCTTCTTCTTTTCCAGCACCACGCTAGCAGGCGCCTTTGGTGGTTTGCTCGCTGCTGCAATCGGCAAGATGGACGGCGTTTCAGGTAGCTCACCCTAGCTCCAACGATGCGCCCGCGCTGACTCTTCTCAGGCTACGCAGGATGGAGATGGATCTTCATCCTCGAAGGAGCACTCACCGTCGCCGTGTCCTTCATTTTCTTCTTCCTTCTCCCAAGCTTTCCAGAGCAGGCCAAGTGGCTGGGCGACGACGAGAAGGCTTATGTTGCAGCCAGGCTGCGCAAGGATCAAGGCCAATCTGCCCTCGAGCGATCCATCACCGCCAAAGATGTCGCGAACGTCTTCAAAGATTACAAAGTCATCGTTGCTGGCTTCATGTACTTCGGCTTGATCGTTCCGGCCTATGGCTATGCCTACTTCGCACCCGGCATCATCCAAAGCTACGGATACACTCCCATTCAGACACAGCTGCACTCCGTGCCTCCTTGGGCAGCAGCCTTTGGCTTCGCAATGCTCATGGCCACTATCTCCGATGCAGCCAAACATCGCTTCGGCTTCGCTGTCTTCAGCATATGTATTTCCATCGCTGGTTTCGCGACTCTCATCACAGTACATGACAACCGCCATGTGCAATACGGAGCACTATTCCTGGTGACCATGGGTACATATACCGCCATGCCTATCATTGTATGTTGGTTCAACATGAACCTCGGAGGCCACCATCGTCGTTCTGTGGGCTCTGCATGGCAAGTCGGATTCGGAAACATCGGAGGTATCATTGCAGTGTTCGCATTTTTGAAGAAGGACGCACCCAAGTACACCCCGGGATACTCGATCTGCATTGCATTCACCATCTTGAGCATTTTAGCGTGCATTATTTACGGAGCAGGATGCTACCTGGCCAACAAGAAGCGAGACAAACAAGCGATCGATCTCAGCCTGACGGAGCACGAGAAGACGGAGCTTGGCGACATGAATCCCACGTATAGGTATCTGCTGTAGATGGGAAACGAATGCAAGGTTTATGCGAGTGGACTTACTCAATCCAAGGACTCAAGTCTTGTTTCCAAGTCCCTCAAGCAATTATACTAATCGTCAGAAGAAGAACACTTTCTACATTGCGGTGCTGACTGTCTAGATTTTTTCTGAACGATCGTCCACGGCAGCTCACATCGGCGCCCGGTGACACAACTTGAGACATTGATTCTCCTTCAGCCCAGGAGAAGCTGACAACGAAGCACTCATAGAGAACTTCGAACTCCAACCTTCCCAGCTCATGCTACAAACAGCCATGCCTCGAGTTCTAGACACACCCATCACCCTCCCCCAACTCTTCTCCTACGTAGCCTCTTCGCCACCCTACCACGACATCAACCACACCACATCTCCATTCCCCGACCTCGCCGACTTCCTCCAACACGAGCTAAAATCCGCCCTCTACTACGGAACCTCCACCTTCCGCGCCCTGAAAACAGAGCTCGAGGAAACCCTCATCTCAGCCCTCCAAGAACCTAATCACCACGACCACGTAAGCCAAACCATCCCTCACGAAAATCAAAAAAAAAAAATCTCCTCTCGCTAACTCCTTTAGGCCGAAACCGTCACCCTCCTGAAGCAAATCGAAATGGGTCCGATCGCGGAAGTCGATCCGAGATATTATGGATATGTTGTTACGAAGAGCAAGTATGCTGGGGATTTGTGGTATGAGAATTGTATTTTGGGGTTGGCGAGGGGGATTAAGAGGTTGAAGGGGGAGTTGAAGAGGTTTGAGCGAGAGAGCAAGGGGAGTAGGGGTGGGGAGAATGATGATTGGTTTGTGGTTGAGAAGGAGCGGGATGGGGAGGGGAGGGAGGAGGGAGGAGGAGGAGGGGGTGAGCAGGATTCGCGACTATCATGGCTGGCCTCGTACACATCAAATTTGCAGTAGAGCCGGTCGATGCGTGAGATCAAGCCTGCTGGGAGATCTGATCTAGCATAGCTTCTTCTTAACCCATTCAATAGCACCAGGAGTCTCTTCCCACGCCTCATACAGGTACTGCAGCTTCAGCTGCATTTCCTCCTTGGAACCCATCGAGTAGGATGCGGGTCTTGCTGTCAAAGCAGACCCAGGATTTACAATAGCCGGCCAGAAATGCTTGTTGTTCTCCTTAGCCGCCTGGAACAACACATCGAGCTGACCTTCGAGCTTGTGGATGTATGGCTTCAAGCTGACTCCATTGCGAATGTCGGACATCAAAGCTTCATTCTTCGAAATGATATTGGAAGCCATCTGCTCGCGGACCAGGTCAAGAATCTCCTGGGGCAGTTTCTCCCCAACCGGACTGCGGCGCTCCAGCTCCTGGATATCGAAGAGGAGGCGTAGTTTAATAAGTGTCATGGAAGCGATGACTTCAATGCCAGCGTACGTGTGATGCATGTTCTCATGGAGTTCCTCCAGCACGTTCTCGTCCTTTAAGTCAAGGTACGGTAGGCTCATGTCACCCCAATCATAGTCAGGCTCCTCGCCAGTGGTGCAGTACCACTTGAGGAAGTCGTAGGCCTGCTGGTCTTTGCCGAGCCGGATCATGAGGGCTGGAACCATATCACGCACACCCATGTTGTCGCCGCGACAAAGGCGCAAGCAATCGTTGGCCTGTCACAAATGTCAGTTTCTTGGCTGTGCATCAATGTCGCTTCCAAGTCAAGTCGCCCACCTGATCAAGTGCCGCTTGGACTGCCTCTTTGGTCTTGACTTTCCTAAGCCCATCCAGGTACCCGTACTTCGCTCGCATGTAGCTTCGGGTCTCAATGATGCCCCAGAAATGGCCAACGTCGGTTTCGAATGGATCGCCATTTCGGAATGGATCTGGCTGGTCCGGTTCCTGGCGCAATTTGCGTTCTTCTCGGTCCATAGCCGACCGAGCTTTCTTGACCGTTACACATTGCACCTTGTGTCTAGGCCAGTCTTCGGTCTGATGTTCTTTTGAGCAGTATCTCACGACCTTGCAGCCAGCACAGGAGTTGCCTGTGCACATGGCTTCACAATACGAACATTGTGAATCGAGCAGCTTTGGAGTTGCCATTGCCATCGCGGAAAATGTTGGATGCGTGATTGTAGGATGCGAAGAGAGAGAGAGAGAGAGCTTGGAAGGTTAGAATAAAGTTTGGACTGTGAGAGCAGACGAACGCGTTCCAGGCAGTCGCGACGCGTTTTTACGTATATATCACGCGCCACCCTGCAAAAGTCGAAGAATGCGACAGATCACAGTGCTATTTTTGATTATCGAAGTGGAGAACGCTTGCGGACGCCGGACACTGCGGCTGTTCAAGTCTGCATTTAAAAAAACATTGGTTTGAGCGACACGAATTCCCAATAAGTCATGGCATTAAGATACTATTTTGGGACCGAAATTGAGACTTTCAATCGTTCAATGCCATCGCTGCTTGTCAGATCGACTATGCTGCGATGAATGATGAAAGGCTTCTTGTATACATGTATGAAGGTTGGTGTTTTGAAAGAATAGAAAGGGATGTTGTAAACAGGGAAGGAAGGAACGTAGGCGAAAGAGTGGTCATTTGGTTTGAGAGACAGCTTCGAATACTTACTGTTCAGCGAATGGTATCAACAAGATTCTTCGACGAGAGAAGTCAGCGTAGACACGTCGACAGTCTTACCAAAGGAAGACTTCCTGTCTGACTGCGGCAAGTTCGATGGCGTTTATCTCTCGATCGACTCCCGCTGCAAGGTCGCCGAGAAGTTTCTTGACCCAGCATAGATGTTGAATACTGAATAGTCAGTATTCAGAGGCTATATTCAGTGAATATGAATATGGCTTTTGGTGTATTCAGGTGAATAGTCGATATTCAGAGTGTGTTTACTTTGGCGTCGGTGGATCGGTGGATTGTAGATACCGTAGATTAATCTACCGGTACGTTATTTTCCAATCCACCTCTTTTTAAGGTAAATAATCCGGTGGATTAGAAAGACCGTGTATCGGAAGTGGCCGCCTTAGTAATGCGTATCTATCTCGTGTTCGACGTGCCGTAATTAGGCGCTAAATGAAGGTCGTTATTATATAGCAATTGCTCGAGAATAATAGCGCCGAAGAAGGCTATAACAACCGCTTCGAAGAAGACAATAACAACGCCTTCTAAGCGGAAGGCGGCGGTTACTAAGACGCCTGCAAAGAAGAGAAAGTTAGTACTAAAGGACTCGAATAAGGACAAGGATATAGGCAGCGAATTTCTAGAGGTTATACGCTAGCAACCGGAGTATAAGGTATATTTCTTAAAGGAGGTAAAGAAGCTAAAGGATAAGCAACTATTAAACTATAGCAATAGCTTCTATCTTAAATACTACCGTAGAATTGCGGCGTAAATAAGTATAAACTTTAAGCTCTATTTTAAGTAGGAAGGCTCGAAGGCTCGGTAGCGGACGTTTAAAGAGAAGTATTATCCGTATACTACTTATTTGAAGTATATAAGCGGCTAGAATAGACATCTACCGAAGCCTAGTAATAAAGAGGTTATAAATAAGCACTTCTAGAAGCATCTAGAGTATAAGCAATAGCGCGACGAGGTACCGGAGTATGCGGAAGAGCTCTTTAAGATTATTAAGCTTAATATTGCGAGCGGCTACGAGGCAGGTGTCGGCGCTAACCTAGCGTTAGACAGTAATAAGGATATAGCGGCAGACGACGATAGCGAAGGTAAGGAAATAGAGGCGGCGGAAGAGGGTAAAGGTAACGAAGTGCCGCTACTAGAAGGTATAATAGAGGCCGATCGAGCAGCGCTCCTTAAAGCCGATATTAACGGTGAATTAGACCTATCTATAATATTAGAAATAGAAGTCTAGGTGCTTGTTGCTACGCGCTATACGAAGGCTAATATTGCGAAGAAGGCAGCGGCGAAGAAATAGGCGGAGTTAGATATAGCTAGAAAGGGTAAGAAGGATAAAGACGCCCTACTTACTATTATTAAGAAGAGCCAGATTCTACTGCAATAGACCTTCTCTGCCTTCCTAAAGGCTTCTCGTAACGACGCTAAAGCAGCTCGAGAAGACGCTATTACTAAGCGAGAGCGAGAGCGCGAAGAGCGTACTACCGAGAAGGTAGAGGCTAAGAAGAAGCGTATCGAATACAGGTACGATATTAATGCTAGAGACGTTACTAATCGCCTTATAGATAAGGATATTCTATAGGGCGTTAGTAAGGCAGACCGCGCTCTTCTTGCAATAGAAGTAGGCAAGCCTAATATAGGGCATATCGCTATTATAAGGAAGTAGGTGCGTAATAAGAAGAAAAGGGAGCATTTAGATTAGTATTTCCGCTAGGTGCTATAGGATATTAAACCTAGACCGCAGCTAATTCCTAGTATAAATAACTACTATTATACTAAGTATCCGTCGCCGTCGAGCTTTTATATTCCGTATAGATACGGTCGGCAGTAGCTAGTAGTATTATTATAGAAGGGATAGATTATAATCGCGGAAGAAACATGTTTTAAGCCTATCGAGGCCCGGTTTTCGGTAGAGAGTTCTATAGGTTAGGATGCTTTTTCGTCGGAAATGTAGCTTAGGGTCTATACTATTAATTTATATAAAGGTGTTGTTACTTTTTGCTAGCAAAATCGTCGTTACGTGCGGGGTCTACATTTGTAGCGAAAGGATATCCTAACGACTCGAACTTCAATTCCAGCCTTATAATGCTAAGAATCTAGATAGCTAGACGCACTCGAATATCGAAGGAGAATAAGTAAAGCGCTAGCAATAGTTAAATATGTCGGTTTAAACCGAAAAGCAACGAATACGAACAAATCTTACTAAGTTCCTTATACAATTCGATTCCTGCCTATTCGCTACTATATTAGTAAACTATTCTACGACTTCTGCGATTCTCTATAATTAAAACTCGGCCTCCTAAACCTCCCTCTCGTCCAAACTATAGTCTTCTAGGTATTGCCCGTAATCGTCCTATATATTCTGCGCAAAGGCTTTACGATAGCGCTAATGTAGATCCTTATTGTCGGCGGTAACGCCTGCCAATTCGTCGTCCTTATTAACCTCCGAAGGGTAGACTATAGTAACTTTAGGCTTACTAGATAAAGGCTGTTATCTATAGCGAAGGATGAAGTTATAGAGTACGAAGCAGGATATAATAAACCTAGACTGCGAGCGCATCGAATACCGCTCGTAAGGGCCTTATTTAATAATATAGAAGCGCTTCTATATTATACTAAACAATCGCTTAACTACATTGCGAAGCTAAGCGTAACGGAGGTTATATAGCTCTTCCTTATTAACTAGACGCCTACTAGCAGCGGCCTGTTCTCGAAGGTAGTATCTAGTCCTTTTATATAGTACGAGAAGCCTCTTATCCTTGAAGGAATAGCCGCTATCTGCTAAGTACTTCTTGCTAGCAGGAACGATAAAGTCCTTCGAATACGCCTTCTTTAATACCTAACTATTATTTCTAGCGCCCTCGTAACCGACAAGAGTATAATAGACTACTATATCTAAGCTATAAGCCGCTATTATATTCTATGCGATATAGTTCTTCCTATAGCGATAAGGGCCTTGCTAAGACTATAGTACACTTACCGGAATAAGGGTGCTATCTATCGCTCCTACAACGTCCGCGAAGTACTTAAATTTGCTAGCATCGCGGCTACTAATTAGCTTCTTATAAGGCGACAGGTCGTCCGGCAGTCGTACGTATTCGTCGGTAAGGTAACAGAGCGCAATACTAACTTCTTTTAACACCCGATTGAACGTCCGTATCGAGTGCTAATAGAGCCTTCTTAGGTCCAATATCGAGCGGTTATAGTATACGAAGTCTATATAAATTATTACCTTCTTAGCGACCGTTATATCGTTCTTCCTTCTACGACATCGAACAAGCGCCTTCTCGTCTAATTCTTTAATCAAACTCTTTAGCACCGGCTGCCTTAAACCTGTTATATCATAACTCTCCTTCGGCGGACTATATAGCACTCGAAACACCTTATATCGACCCTTCTTCGCCTACGTAAGCGTCTATACTACGCCCGCTAGTTTATACCATTTCCTACGCTATTTCCGCCGCAGAAGGGCAACGAGTGTCGAATTCTAGTAGCTAGCTATTATACAAAGCAACATACCGATCCGTTAATTACGCGCCCTCGAAGAATCTATAGCAATAGTAAGAGATAGTAATAATAATAAGAATATAGGCAAAGAGATAGTATTTCTAGGCAAGGAACGCGTATAGCGCGAATCTACCGAAAACGCGGTTTGAAAGTGCGTTTTCGGTAGACGTATACACCTACTGAATATAGCATACCGCGCTCGGACGGCGCTATAGTAATTAATTACAATCTACCGACAGTATCCACCGGAAAACAAGGTAAACAAAGAGGTGGAATAGGTAGTAGATTGTAACCGGTAGAAAATCCGGTGGATTGCGCTATATAACTAAATCTACCGGCACTAAGGTAAACACACTCTCAGTCTTCCGCGGAGGTAGATAGATAGATTAATAGCTACTTCTACGTCGTTGTCGCTATCTATTGAGACTAATTAATACTATTATTATAGATACTATTATTGTAGATACTATTGTTGTAGATACTGTAATAATAATACTATCGATATATTACTACAAGGCGCCTACTATATAGTACTACGTATCTAATAAGTCTTCCGCCTTATCTTCTTTAATAGCACTATTATCTATTACTAGTAATATAATACTAGCCTTCTACTATTGTTTAGAAGGCTCTATTATACGCACTGTCTTACTATCTAGTTAGCTTCGGTCCTATAGAATAGTACGCCTTACTATACTAAAGGTACGCTCGCTCTCGGCGGATATAGCGAAGGCGGATAAGACGTCGATAGCAAGCCGCGATAATAAAGGCTACGCCTGTCGCTAAGCTAGTTATAGCTACTATTGTAATAGACCTATTCGGACGTCGTTGCTACTGCTATTTTAGATAATAGGCAATAGATACGGAGCGGTATAGACGAAGCTATTAAACTCGTTCTTAACCGTATCGATAACCTCCGCGGCTAATTGCTACGACTCGAAGCTAGTAAGGTCTATAACCGCTATAGTAGTAGTTAGTTTTGCTAAGGGCTCGTACCTGTCCTTATATTCTTACTATAATACCCTCGCTCTTGCTATTACTAGCTCTAACTAGTTAGTATTCTTTACTCTAGTCTAGCGCTTCTAAAGCTAGGCAAGTCGCTTTAAAGGGTATAGCAATAGGGCCGCTACGTACGTACCGGATTTATCGATAAGTTAGTAGTACTTATTAAATAGGTGCTAAGAGACAATAATAGACTTCGTAATAGCAGGTCTATACTTATATAGCTCGAGAGACTTCTCGTAATAGTTAACGAGGTATTCTATAGCTTCTTAGAAGCTATCTAGTATATAGTTATAGCTCTATAGGCGTATTGTAACCTCCTTAAATAGATATAGGAAGTTGCGAGCGTACTTAATTACTATCTAGTCGGTTGTAGTTAGTTCTACGTCTTATAGTAAAGGCTCTCGTACGAATAGAAGGTCTAGTATTGGCTTAGCTTTAATAGCCTCTTCTATAAGCAAGAGCTAGCTATTCTACTAAGTCTTACTAGGTATCTTTAGCACCGCTGCTATAGTAGCGGCTCTAGCTAAGAACTTGAATATAGCCTATATAATATCGTCTTAGAGGCGGAGTAATAGGTTGTATAGCTTCTATATAGTCTCTTGCTTAGTAAACGAGGCTATATTAATATTAAGCTATATAGAGACGGAGATATTGTCGTTACTAGCAGTAGCGGCATTGTAAGCAGCTGTCTATTGCTTAATAAAGGTACGCTCGTTGTTCTTTGCCTTCTCGAAGGCTATCTCCGCCGACTCTTAAGACTCCGAGAATATAAAGGCTTATATAGCGAGGTTAATAATATATCTAATATAGCGAAGCCGGCGTATCTTCTCGTACTACTAAGTAATACCTTCGGAGCGTAGAAAGCGCTCAATCTTACGCATTAACGTATTATTAGACGTAACGTTGTCGCTTATAATCTAGCTAATATTGTTAACAATATTAAACTGCTTAAAGGCTTTAATAAGAAGCTATATAAGCTCGGCTCTAGTATAGCATATAATAACGATAGGAAGGTCGAGAAGTACTTATTATAGCTTGCTATCCTTATCGACGAATTGGCAGTTAATAGCTTAATAGTACTTATAGCTATATTGCGACTTCTAGGTGTCTATATAAAGGTAAATATAGCTAATAGCTATAGAGAGGTATTTTACTACTTAATAGCGCATATAATAGAAGAGGCGGAAGACTCGTAAGCGGAGCGAAGTATACGACTATAGGAAGACTCGTAAAGCCTATAGATTAACGGCTAATATAATATTATAGAAACTAGCGGAAACTAGCTTATTAAAGGCTATACTCTGCTCGGAGGCGAAGGCAGCGAGAGCGTTACGATATTACTGTGTTTTAGCTACGTTACGTAGGATTGAGAGTGCGTATTCCTCTTAAGAAGATGCCTTAGTAAGTACTTAAATTGCTATACTATCGCGAATATCGGCTTACTTCTGTCTCGGCGGCTCCTTGCCTTTGTATTTGTTAGTATATAAGCTATACCTTCTTATTAAATAATAGTCCGCATTGCTTATCGTACTATACTATAGACCTAAGTCTAGCTCGAAGGCTGTTTTGTAGCAATCCTCGAATATATAGTACTATACCTTGTATCTATAGTTATCTATATACTCTACCTCCTACGGATAAGGTTCTCTTATATATACTAGTATTTTAGGATCCGCCGCTTTCTGTCTTGTCTTCTTGCTTCTAGGTGCCGATAATAGCTTTAGTACTCGTAGTAAAGAAGGTGTCGAATGTTGTATAGACTCAGTCGACTGCGTATTAGTAGAGGGTATTTCGACTAGTGTCGGATTTAGGACCGCTTCGAGGTCGCTATCGCTTTTATAGCTAGCGCTATCGCTACGCTTACGTTTTTGAGGTAGGTCGTTTTCCCGTTACGAAGCCTAGCTATTTAGCAAATTTTCTTATGCTTTATATATTAATTTATAAATAGTACGGAGGTTAACTATAGCGGTGTTTATCGTCGAGGTATAGTTGTTAGTATAGATTTAAGAATTTTGAGTTTACTAAAGCTATGCGGCCGGAAAGGCCCGCTAGCGGACCGCTCTCGGTTATACTCTCCGGATACGATTATTAGGCTACGTTAAGCCTTATATAACGCTATAGGACCCTAGATAAGCAGCAATAGCATATACGGAAGCTACTAATACCTTCTATATTCTATCTTCTTTATTTATAACACTACTACTACTACTAATATACTCCTTTGCTATCGCTATTGCCGCTAAAGCGTTACGAGCGCGCTACGTAGCGAGCTCTTTCTTTAGCTTATATTCCTTACCGCTATATAGTATATATAGGTTACAACTATACGGATCCGCGAATCTGAAGTGCCTCGCCTTCTCTTCTACCCTACGAATACGGTCGAGACATACCTCGCAACGACAGTCCCTCGGATATACTAGTATATAGTTGCCCTTCTTCCGAATATACTCGTCGAAAGCCTCTACCTTCTTTAGATAAATATCGAGCTTAGTATTCTTCGCAATTATCCTATATTCTACGGCCTTATATCCCTTCCTAATCTCCTAGCGTTGTTCTAGCAACCGCTCTATTACCTTATACTAAGTGTTTATCTCGGCTCGCTATTTCTCGAGCTACTCTATCGCCTTCGACGTCTTCCTCGGATTCTTACGAAGCCTCTTCGTAATAGGCTCTTTATCTTCTTTAACTAGTAACGGTTTACGCTTAATAGTAGGCTCGGTCTTAATAATAGGCTCTTAAGTTGTTAGTAGCGGCAGTATTAGTAGCGGCAATATTAGCGACGATATTAGCTTAGGTTTAGACTCCGAGTCTAATAGCTAATTACGAGTTAGCACTACTACTACTAGAATAACTAGTATTATTACTTATCTACCTCGATTACTTCTACGCGCTTCGTACCTATTATTGTCTAAAGAAAGAGCTTAAAATACTACAAAATTGAAAATCTATATAGGATCTATATACGCCGACGTATAGCCTGCCTAAATATAAATATACCTACTATTCAGTCCACCTATATTCAAGATCATATTCAATTGAATATAAATATATATTCAAACTGAATATTCACAATTCAACATCTATGTAACCTAGCCGTAGGCCCATAGGCTTTTGACGCCATAAAAGAGAGTATCAGTCTTAGGATGCCAAACAATAGGATCGACTGGTATAGCAGGAATCTCCGGCACACCGAGGACCTCGTAGAGTCGCTGGTCGTGGAACTTGCAGCCTTGGAACAAGTACGAGGGCTTCTCGGGACCTTTGAAAGCACGGGGGTCGAATGCTTGTCCATCTTCAGCGATTTGCCGGTGGAAGTCCGTCGACAATGCGATCGTAGTACTCGGCCATGGTTTCCTGAGTGATGCCGTACTTGTCGATGCCGCCGTTGGGCCAATCTATGAACGACTTCTTGGTCCACGGAAGCCATCGTATCTTGTTATCGTACTTGGCGCGCCAGATTTTAGCCCAAAACGGAGTATTCTCTATCAAATCATGTTTATGAGCGTGCAAGTTGCCAAGGCAAAGAGTGAAGTGGAACAGGTTTTCGTAATCGAATTCGTCCCACTCGCGAGCATACAGGAAAAGCTGAACGACTACCTCTGGGTCGGATAAATCTTCTATCACGTTGGCGCTGCCGCGAACCCGATAGAGTTGTGCGAACAGAGAGAGAAGATCTGCCTTGTCAGGATCGAAAGTGAACATCGCCGCATGGTGTGCGTGGACAGCCATTAAGGCTTCCGAGGTTGGATGACAAGTGAGTCATATATTGAACCTGATTTCCAGCGCAGCATCTAATAGCGCGTTGCCTAGATTCAAGCGTTTGCTGCTTTGGTCTAGAGGTATGATTCTTGCTTAGGGCTACAGTTCACTATATGTACATACTCAGTCACGCTCCAAAATTCGAAAAATCTTTCTAACAAGCAATCAATAGGCAAGAGGTCCCAGGTTCGAACCCTGGAAGCAGCCTGTCTTTTGCTCATCGCATTTTGATGTTGGTGGATTTTTTTTGGCCAGTTTGACTTGATGCTAGACTGCACGATCCAACCCAACGTACTCTGCAGTGCCGAGGACAGTATATGCTAGTTGCTCCCAAAGTTGAAGATGTTTGACGATGGACTCTAATGTAGGAAGTGTATTATTTCGCGTGTACCCACTTTCAAGATCATGTATGAACACATCATGTGTCAGTGGGCAACTTCAGTAGTGTCATGGGCGGAGCTACCTCGTTTTACATGAATCTCATCTCCAGCAGGTGAAGAACGGGCGGAGTTGGATGTGTGCTTTGGAAGACGCGAGGTGGATGTGGTTGACGGTTGAAAGCGTTCGTAATTTCCGATAGGACCGGGATGGCAGGCCGTTTGCAGCGTGCATCTCCGCCGGTCGCTTTATTAAGGCAAATTCAAAAGTGGAGCGTGCCAGACGCGTAGCACGGCGGCAGAAGAAAGAGGAATTGCATATTGATGTCCACGGCGAGGATTGTCCAAGTTTCGAAGTGGTACACTTGCGCAAGATGAGCAAAAGGTCATCAAAGCGAGCGACGAATGGTTTCGTGTTTCGTGCAGGCGGGAAGAGTGCATGTCTTGCATGTGCCGTGAGTGACAGTGATTGGCCAGCGAAGGATGCATCAAGCGGGCAACGGGTTCCTGCAGCACGGCCAACATCACGTATCCGCAGCTGAATTGGAGGCAAACGCCGCTCACTCCGTGAGCAGTCTACACCTATCTACAAAACTAGCCCTAGAACCAATACCTATCTGCAAAATGCCTACAGATCGTGCAGGCAGTTATTTTATATAGTTATCTTAGTATCTGCCCGATTCTAGGTCATTCTAACGGTGCTAGAGCGTTCTATAATTGTATATAGTAAGGGTGTTGTTATATAGTAGTATAAAGTCGCTTTTAGGTCGGCTTTATAGCCTACCGAGTCGACCCTTTACCCTATATTTATAAGACAACCACATATCGTATGCATATAATTTTTATATTATATAAAAGCCCGGAGTAAGTAGATTGAGACTATATATCGTATATATCTATATAGTGTTAATATAGCTAGTGTTTAGTAGATGCGTAGAAAGTCGGTATATACGGCTTTAGCGGGCGTAGCAGGCATAAATCTACTACTTTCTACTTCCTATACTAATACGAGAGATTAGCTCGTTCTAGTAGTATATCTATATATTAAGAAGCATTAAATAACGTAGTTATAAGGCCTATTAATCATTATCTAATACTTCCGGTAGCTCCGTATCCTCCTCGAGTAATAGATCTAGTACCTAACCTAACCCTATCTCCCCTTCTATCTCGTATAGCTGCGACTAAGAGCTAAGACCTATAGACTGTATATACAACACCTTATTGTCGCTGTTAGACTCTTCTTTAACAAGGTCTTCGGCCGTGCGTTGCCTCTGTATCTCCTTAGCAAGCAAGGTAAGGTCCTTTAGCCTTATTCTTAATAGAAATAAGGACCTATAGTGCTACGAGTCTAATAAGTCTTCCTTATTAGACAGCGCTCGGTCGTCTACTTCTATACTAATTAGCGAGTTGTTATTCTCGAAGAAGGACAACTACTAGCTATAGCGACAACTTCTATTAAAAGTGGCTTCTTCTATACCCTTATCCTTTGCAGATAACTAAGCCTAATTGCTATCTTCTAGTAATACTCGTTAGTCTAATAGCAACGTATCTACTAGTCTAAACCGAGCGGCCTTCTTCCGGCGTAGTAGCTTCGAAGGTATAGCAGTAGCGAAGTAAGGATATAGATTACTAATAGACTCGTTGCTACCTATTAAATTAGCTAATTTAAATACTTTCAATAGAGCCTTGTCTTCTAAGTTGTTAGGTAAATAGCGGCTAGCACTAGCGCTATATTTGACTAGCCTTAACTCGCGCCTCTTAGGTTAGAAGACCTTCTTAATCGGACCTTGTTTACAATAACTAGTAAGCGGTCCGGTCTTATAGATACTACCTAGAAGCAACGGTAGAAATGGCTTAAGTAGTAACTATAAGGTACGCCTAAGAAGGGGCTTCTTCTTATCCTTATTGCGGCCTCTTCTAGTTACTATAGTGCCGATTGTCTTCCGCTAGCGCTTATAATAGACCTTCTACTGCTTCCTTGTCTTCGCCGCCTTGCTATTAACTAACTTCTAAGCCTTCTTAATAGCTGATAACTCGCGGTAAGCTATCCGCGACTAGACCTTATAAGTATAGGCTATTCTAATCTTCTACTGTTTGCCGGTATTAGCTTTCCGTACCTTGCGTACCTTAGCAGCTATCTCTATCTCTAAGAGGTCGTAAAGGGCTTATACTCTAGTATTAGCATAGAATAGCACCGAAGACGTTACGCCTTCGAGAAGACCTTGTATTAGTAACGATAGCGGTCTATGCCTGTTTAATTGCTCGTTAAGTACGTTAACCTGTCGCTTTATAGTACGGATAGTTAAGGCTAGATTAAATAGGCTTATATCTACTAGAGGCGGCAAATCTAGTAGGTGTAAGACCTCGAACAGCTTACCTGTTTCGTAGGCCTCGCAGAGCCTATCTAGGTCCTGCACTAAGAGGTCCGCCTTCTCGTTAATTTTACGCTTTATATAGGCGACTATATACGTGCCGTACTCGTCTCGGAGGAAGTCGAGCGCTCGTTAAGCGCTTATAGGGGCAATTCTAGTCTTCCGGAAGGCCGAGCGAATGTTGTCGCTTTTAAAGGTCTTCCGCCGGATAGTATTAATAGCGTCTATAAACTAAGTTACCCTAAATTCGCCTATACCGAGCCTAGTATATTGTATTACTGCCTAGCGGTAGTAGTGCTTATAGACCTAGAATAAGACTATATCTAGTAGCTATAGGAAGTGTAAGGTATATAGTAGAAGGGTAAAGATTAGAATGCGGTGTTTCCGAGCGAAGTTAATAAACTTAAAGAACTCGTAGCTTCTAAAGTTGTCTATTATTAGAAGCCGATATTAGCCTTTATTAGTAGGCCTTATTAACCTCTCGAAGTGCTTAATCTAGTAGAAGGCAAACTCGTCGTTTAAATAGCTACTATCTGTTATACTAACAAGATAGTATACTAGCAACTTATTAAACTAGTGTTTAAGAAGGACCTTGCCTTGTACTAGCAGCATTGGCTTAATAAAGGCTCCGTAGGCATTTACTGCTTCTACCGAGGTTATATGCTTCCTATTAGTATTAGTTGCCGCCTATAACCGCCTCTTTAGATTTATTGTAACTACCTATTCGGCGCCTCTAATGCTAATCCGGAAACCTGTCTTATCTATATTCTAGTAGTTCTTAAGGCTAATCTTATAGACCTATATTAACTCGTATAGCTTATTAAACTACGAGCCGATAAACTAAGGGTCGTATACTTCCTTCCTTACTAACTCGATAGGCTTCCTTTTAATCTCTTTAATATTATACTTCTTTATCTACCTTTTATACTACTTACTACTTAATAGTACTAGTATTTTACCTTCCGGAAGTAACCGCTTTAATATTAACTTAGCCGTAGCGCGAATAAGTAACGTTAGTAGCGACAGGTCTATTAATTCTCGAGATCTATAGTACTCGATAAAGGCGATAGATTAGGCTTCGGAGAGGCGAGAATGCGACGATTTACGGTCGGTACGGCTCGTATTGCTATTATATCGTCGATATAATCGATAATAGATATCGTTATAGTAGTGTTCGTTATACTATCGTCGTAGGTTAACTAGGCGGTAGTATGTGTATTCAAACTCGCGAATTGCCGCTATCTAAGTAGCTACTCGAGTATCTTTAGTAAGGTTTATAGCTATAGATTTATAGACGGCCTTCCGTACGTATTTCTTCGACTTCCGCTTTCCTAATAGTATTGTAATAGTATTAAATAATTAAATAAAATGGTCTATATATGCTATTGCAGATAGGTGTTGGTTGCCAAGGCTATTTTGCAGATAGGTGTGGACCGCTTACGAAGTAAGCGGCGTATGACTCCACCAAGCCGCGGATAGATGGCGCATCGCCTCGCACAGAACAGCGGTGCGGTGCGGTGCGGTACAGCCACGGCCGCTGCCAGATGCCGAGCAGGCCAGCGACAGCGACAAGTCAAGTCGTGCACTGCTGGCATGAGGCATGGCGGTCGACAGCGGGCGGGCGGGCGGTGGCGGTGAGGCGTGCTGGGTGAGGCAGAGGCACATGGTAGGTGTAGTAGATTGGATGAATGAGTGTGAGATGAAGAGACCAGGATTGCTCATGACATGCATGCATCATGCATGCAAGGCCCACAAACCCTGATTCAGAATCGCAGTCTGTAAGTTGCGCGGCGAGGCGAGGCGCCGCTAGCGAGCCACGGGAGCCGCCATTCCCCTTTCCTCTGTCGTGCCTTTCACGTCGCATGCTGGCCGCTGCGGAGTCTCGAGTCTCGACGTCCCCTTCTGCATTCCTTTGCACGCATGGCCCTCACCACCACGACACTCGTTCAATAGCACCGCCAACACACCACACCCCTCACCGCAGTCATTCATTCACGACACTGTACATATCGACGACGCTCACTCAACCACGCCCACGCCCACGCCCGCGCCCACGCCTACGCCTACGCCTACGCCCTCCTGAAACGAAAACACTAATTATCGCCCATCGCAAACCTGAAGCACGCCGGAAACAACATCTCCTACGCGATCGACGTCACTATTAGCCCTCCAAAACATACTCCTTCACCACCGACACCTCGCATATACCGCCCGACACATTGTCAACACACCAGCTGCATCCACCGCGCGGCTTCGCTGCCGAGGGGGTGGTGAGGGAACATGTTACTACCATTTGCGCAAGCCGACCACATGGGCGAGCAGAGCGACAGTCTGAAGCGCGCACTTGACAATGGCGCCTACGGACTGTGGGAAGTCACGAGAACTTTGGTGCAGCGCGACTCTTCGTCATCCGACAGCTCAAGTAGCACGTGCAAGCCCGGCAATGACAGCAACAAGTGCGTGACTCCTGCATCGGTGCAGAACACGCAAAACATAGCCATTATCCTTGGTGTCGTGTGAGTATACGCCACGAGGGAATCCCGCTCAATATCTGCTAATCACACCCTTTCAGCATCCCATTATCATGTGCCATCGCAGTCTTGATCTTCTTGCACCGCAGGCTGCGGAGAAAGCAAAAGCATGAAGACATTCACGACCCGCACAAGTCTCTCGACTTCGGCATGGAAGGCATCGAACCCACCATCTCGAAAAACTCAAAGAAGTCCAGAAAGGGCCCAGAGATGAGTGCCGTCAACCTCAACGGACGACCTTCGCGGCGCGGACAGGGTCTGTCCATGGACATGGGCATGAGCATCGGCAGTCCCTATATGCTTCCACCAGCTCTCCAAGGCTCTCACGAATCCATACACAGCATGTCGAGGATGCGTGACGAACATGACCCTTATCGTCCTGTGACACTCATGCGCCCATCGACAGACGACGGTAGCATTCACAGATTTGGCCGCTTGAATGACGACAAAGGCTCGATATACTCTGCTACAACCAGTCATTATTCAGCAATGCCTGATCGCGACCGTGCCGGTCTGCTGGCGAATGCTCGACCGATGTCCCAATCCTTTGGCAAGCGCACCGACTCCTTCCGCACCGACGCAACCTCTCCTTCAGATACCGCATCGCCATCCGAGTTTCCTCTCCGACAACTGCACAGCGCCCGGCAACCCAGTCTACCGCCCGCTCGCAAGTCCAGCCTGGACAAGCCCTTACCAGAAATCAACGAGAAGGACACTTCGCCTTCGGCCCCGCTAGCGATGCCTGCCATGCTCGAGCCAGCGGCTAAGGAGCTGCCTTCTCCTCCACCGAGAACTACCTCCTCGACCACGAACTCATCATTACTGCCACCTCGAGGCGACTCTATGCTGACCACCTCCGCAACTTCTTCTATGCCTAGCCGACCCGAATCAAGCAACTACGGCGACGACGAACCTGGCATGCCATCTCACCTTACTGTCACCATCCACGAGCCCATCGACTCACACTACGACATTGATCCCGCCATGATCTACACGCGCTATTCTGACGAGGTCGTCGCTCCTTCCCCAGAACCTGACCACGTCTTGGCACCGAAGCCAATGCCAGCTCAGAGGCTTTCCGTTATGGGCCTGCGACCCCTGCCGAAAGAATTGCCAGACGACACTCCTGAGGTCCGAGCGAACAGAATTCGTTCATTCTACAAGGAGTACTTCGATGACAGCAAGCAAAACCCGACTTCAATGATCGCACCACAAGGCGCCTACTACGAAGACGACGACTACGGCGGCGTCCTCGACGGCGTCATCTACGATCCTGATCAAGGCGGTTTCTTTGTACCAGGTGCTAAGCCTTGGGCACAAGGACCTGCTCGGCGAGCGATGACTCCACCGCCTCGCTCCAGACCGAGAGTCAGCGGCAATTCCACGCTCAACTTCCACGACAGACACGCATCTACCCTGTCTGGTGGTCGACCACGAGGCCGCTCTGTGCCAAAGAAGAAGTTGCCGCCGCCAGCAGCGCTCCACAGCTTGCCAACACCTCACAAGCTCAGAGAAGAAGATGTGGTATACAGCCCCATCGACTTTGCTCCTCCCAGCTCATTCCGTGAGTTTCAGAACGGCAGACGACCAGATTCGCCTCTCGGGGTAGCAAGACCTTACAGCCCCAGTGTGCGAGCTTTCACACCACTGGCATCATCTTTCGAGAACTTGGCGGTGCTTCCATCGCCACACGATCTTAGGAAGTCGGGTACATTCACAGCTTTGGACTTTGCACCACCATCTAAGCTCCGGGACCCAATGTTGTCACCAAACGACGCGGGCAGCATTCGCAGCGGTCGCAGTGCAAGATCTGGCATTTCGGCGATGCAGTCACATGCTGTGCGAGAAGGTGCCTACCGCGTGTCTCGCATTCCCAAGGAGATGGTCACTACCAAGGAAGATTTGGCTGCACAGCTCAGGCCGAAGATGAGTATGACAACACCGGCATAGACGGTCTCATTTACGACAACTAACGACCTCAATTTTCATCGGACTCGGGCGCATCGTGACGACCACCAGCCCCGCGTAGTGCACGCGGAAATGGCTGCCTATTTTGATTCTGACACTGTTCCAATACTAGATATTCCTCACCGGCCGGCAGAACTGCACATACACTCGGCTACCAGTATCTGGAAATACATCTAACATTCATTGCGTTCTCGTCCCTCCTTCAACAACAGATTTGATCACAGCACAATTGGCATTTTGAAACGGCAGTGAGGGTGTGAAGGGTAGCATGGTCATTTGATCATCTTTAGGAGATGGATCTTGGCATGCATGTGGAAATGGGCGGCGTCGAACTATAGAAAGGGATCTGTAATGTTTGAGGAAAATCTCTGTAAACATAGACTTGAGAGCGTGGCGATGGCTCAAGTCTTGGTGAAGCACAAGCAGCTGGTGTGAGCGCCGCTGAAAAGTGTATATATTGCCACTACCAGGCACAAAAGCCATCGTCGAAATGAAAGAGTGGAAAACTTGACCATGTTGTGTCTTTGATGCAACGTGCACCTTCCACAGTCCAGATCAGGGACGATTATTTCGGAGAAAAGCGAATTACTACGTGAGGGACCATTGAGAACGACACGGCCGAACAGGAGCTGCTACTGCTACGAAGCATGTGAAGAGTGTTCGTCATCAAGACATTCACTTGCTGCATGTGAAGACTGACTATGACGTGTTCTCATATGCAAACGGAGCTCGTGTCACCTAGCAACGCAGGCAACTCCATCTCTTCTTCGCCACCCTTGGCCTTCTTTCGCCACCACAGACAGCATCACCACCACGGCGACAACCAAATAGGAACTGGACTGGGGCGCGCCGCGCGCTGGCTACGGATTAGATTACCAGAGTGTTGAGTCTGCGGCCGTTGGGTCACTATACGAACCAGAGCGCAAATCCACTATCTAGGCAGGTGCGACGTCGAGTCCACGGCTCCCGGTCTCGAAGTAATAAACAGCCTCTGCAATCCATTACGCTTTGCCTGGACCACCACGATGAACTCCCAAAGCGGATCCAGGGGAGCGCAGAGTGCAGGCCCAAATTTCTACGAATGGACACCGGTGAGCCAATACCATTCCATCGCGAACTGCAAAAAGATCCTCAGATCTCGGGGTATTCGAATACCAGGCATATCTCGTTTGAAGGATCGGAAGGAACTTAATGAGATGGTAAGACCTGAGGCAGCGGTGCCGCGTACTTGAATACTGTCTCAGCATTGCTGCGTGGAGTGAGTTCTGCTAACCCATTGCTTTTAGGTAGAACGCGCGAAACAAGGTGTGCTCTACGAATACTGCGGACACGCTGAGCTACTGAGATTCTGCAATCAACGAGGACTCTCGGTCAATTCCGCGTCTGCCAGCAAGCCCGAGCTGATTTCGACTCTGGAACACGCTGACGCGACGCCGACTTTTGAGAGGATGGCCGACTTGCCTCCTGAGATCAGGCTGATGATCTTCGACTTCCACTACGCACCTCTCGGAGATGATCCACGCAATCATAGAGACCTCAGGTGGAACTCGACTTCTCCCCCCATTCCACCTCCACTGCAACAAGCCTGCGTTCGACTGTGGCCCGCATGCGCAGAGCCATATTATCAAGAATGCGACCTCGTCGTTGAGGTGAATTGCATCTGGGACTCGGAGCCGATTCGCTTTTCTCTGTCCACGCAAGCTTTTCTGTCAGCGACAGTAGCGGGAGTTTTCAAATACATTCGTAGAGTCTTTATCGTCGCGCCGGCTTTAGCTGAGGAAGGGACAAGACTCAAGACGGCTTGGAGAATCGACCTCGATGAGACGGACCCGGATCAGAGGCTGGTTCAAGTCGGTTTGCCGTGGCACTACATGTATCAGAGTAGGATGCTCCAGGCCACATCAGAGGCTGTTTACAAAGCGCTTCAGGAGAAGGTATGTAAGGCAAGATCGTGTGGTAGAAGCATAAGCTAACGCGCGAGGATGAAAGGTTCTGGGTATTCAGAAGCGCGCTGGAAATAAGACGTTGTTGAAGACGGATGTGTTGGAGCTGAAAGAGGTCTTCGTTAAGCTTCTGGCCGATCACGGATCCCACGGAGTTGGACGATACTGGTGAAGCTTGGAAAGTTGCACACAACCGGCCATCTGTGCCATTACCACGAGCTGTCACATGAAGCGCACGGATTCGCACACGCATAACTGGACCTTGTAACAACTCTCAAACGGCACAACGGGATCGAAGTCTCACACGCCCTTTTGTGTCACTTGGAGACACTGCCTTTGATTCTCCTTCCTTCACAGCTTCCTTTGTCTTCTGGACCTAAAACATACCATACCATAAGAAACTCCATGCTGGACCGTCATGGTTCCAAGACCATATCAGATCTACCAATCACAAGAAGACCGCTACAGCTCTGGCAGCTATAGTGATTCCAGTGATTGATCTAATAACTACAACGGGTCCTACACTATCCAACATCTCTCCTTCACCACCAGCCGCTACTATGAACTCAACAAAAGTCCCACTTCCGATCCCCTCTCTACCTTCAAATCCAATCCGCCAAATCACCCTGCCAAGTCTATCAGCAGTCAGCGCGCGCCCTACGAGACGTCTATCATGCTCTGTCTGGCACTCAGAGTCCACCCAGATAGAGCTCCCGCTGCGCATCTCCGTGAGCTCCACACCTCACTCTTTCAGAAACTCTTCAATGCCTACGAAACCTTATCCAAGCACTTTGATAACGGTCAAGATCACATGAAGATGCTCCCCTCGCTCAGCCGAAATAGCTCGCAGTGCAATCGGAGCAAAACAACGCGGAAGATCAGCGCCAAGAACGAGAACCTCGCTACTAAGCGTATGGAGAAAGTTGCGGAATCGTTCAGAAAAGGCAAAGGCAAAGGAAATTGAAAGAGGTCGTCAATCAAACAAGATCAGGTGCTCTGGAAATATCGCGCTCAATGAGCCTTCTCGCAACACGGTTTTGGATTGCTCGATTCCCAGGCCGGGGGGGGGGGGGGGGGTGCGTTCCACCACAGATCTTCGCGGGATATGAAGTTGACCAAGCCGACGTCGATGTATATCAGACCACGCGTGTTGAGACTCAACATCACTGGCTGAGCTAGAGAAAAGTCAGGCTGTCGCGGAAGGCTCCTGAGGTACCGTATGAACTTTGGTAGATGCTGAGATAGTGGGGGAAGTGATTCAGGCAAATTTCTAGCCACCCACAGAAGTGATGGCAATGAGCCTGAGGTGTGAGCGCGGTGTTGCATCTGTAAGGATACGCAGCACTGCCGCCAGTAAATAAAGCGATAAAAAGCAACGTTTGAATTGGCGCTATCCGACGATCTAATTCTTTCTGTAGGTCTCTCGAGGGGGTATACGATATAGGTCGTCATCGTTGCCCGATTTTGACGTTCCCAGTTCAGGTATACATACATTCTACTCCGATAGAGTGCTACGGCGTACCTAGTATCCCGATGGGCCTACCACATAGCTCACAGACTTTTGAATACCGCAATACTACCTCTTTTTGGAGGGGCAATCCTTTGGCCCTATCTACCGTGTACATATTTACTAGGCTTTCCCTCCCTGCCCCCATGCACTGCTTTAAAGTGCCTATTGTAGCCGTATCCGAAAGTATCGCGTCGAAAGTCTCTAGGGTCGCTTGACGTCTCTAACTCTATCTCTAACTCCAACACTAACAACTTCCTCGAGCCTACTATGCGCCCTAGTAGGGGTGTCGTTAGCAACGTTGCTTACCCTTACGCCAACGTTTGCCAACGTTCGTAACAAAATAGCATAGATCCCTACTAGGTTAGAAGCAGAGATCCCGCCCGTTACTATGCAAAGCTCTCCTCTAGGCCTGTTGAAGCCTTGCGAACTCTGCGAAGGACGTATCGAGTATCCAAGGTGGCTTGTTAATAAGCAGAGAACTGAGAGGTCGGCACAGCCTTCAGTTGTTATCGAAATTGGCTATACCCTGTATACAAGGTTGTGCACTACGCATGAGATATTGGAATTGGCATCCAACATCTGACACCTGTCCTCCAAGGCTACTGTTGTACCGCAGGGGTTGGAGTACTATTTAATGGACTGTGAACCTCCTCTCGCTGCGTAGGTCATAGATCGAGTTGCTACCCAATATCACACCCAACATCACACTCAATATCACACCAAACATGAAGTCCTACTCCTTGTTGATGGTACTGATGTCTCCATACGTTCTCGGATGGGTACGTCCAAGCAAATCTAGAGAGTCCGACACAGGCCTGGATATTGACAGAATTCTAGTTCTGCCTTACGAGCGAAAGCGGACCTGGAGTATGTCATCCAGATAGAAGAGATGGCCGGGTCAAACCCAATTCAAACTCGTGTTCTGACGTATGAATCCCGGTCCCATTGACTTCAGTAACATAGCTGATAATGATAGCTCTTTCCGTGCACGCGCGACGGGAATGACTGCACTCCCAACATCAAGGAAAGTGGAACCAGAGCCGCGTGCGAATAGAGCTATGAATTTATGGCAATCCGCATTGTACGACATACTTCGAGGCCCTGGTAATTGCTGGATGGGCGTTGAAATGGGGCATCGAGCGGAGCGGCGCGGCGGCTAGAGGCCGGCTGGGAGAGAAGATGCTGCCATCAATGTGTATGCCTAGGATAGCTGATTTAACACTCATACTTGCTGTGCTTGCGAAACCGTTCACATGCCCATCCTTCCATGTCCTTCCCATTATCTTGTGCCACTTTGATCTCACAACCTTTTCAAGCACCCTTCGCACCTCAAAGATGTCCTTCGTCTTCAACTTCCACTTTTCTTCCCGTTGCGCGACTCGCTGGAAAATCTTGAATAATGCCACTTCTGCAGATCGCGGAACATAATCGGTGGGAGGTCGATTATAACCAGGCGAATTGCAAGTCACCTTCACCTGGGCATCTGATGCTTTGCCAGTGAAGACGATGCGAGCCTCGTAGTGTCCTCGTCTTTGACGCGGGAATTTGAAGATCCAGCTGCGAATATCGGCCAGGTTCTCAGGGGACAAAGTCTCGAGGAATAGCTGATTTGCGAATTTGTATCTATACACGAATCGACTACCACGTCCTCGACGAACTTCAAACTTCAGATCAATCATGAATGTGCATTTCTGATAGAAAATGGGAAGTAGCGCTGAGTTGCACGAAAGGTTACAAGGTAGAAGCCATAGAGTTCGCGCTAGCGGCCCGTTACAGGAACATGCCGCGGCCGAGGATCTTCCAGCTGCTTGAATCGCGACCGCGACCTCGAGAGCAGAGTAAATGACCAATTCTTGTCCCTCTCTACATCACTTTTCCGCGAAGCAACGCGCGGCTGGTCGGCATACCCTATTCTGGACCAGCGCGCATAATCAAAAACATCTTTCAGAATGGCGGAAGCCCCGAAAAAGGGTCGGCTGACCCTATACGAGGATCTGCTCAGCAAGGAGACCATCGCCGAGATGCAGGCCAAAGACGCGGCCAAACAAGCAGAAGCGGCGAAAAAGAAGAAAGACGGTAGAGTGTCATGGGATTGAGATTGTAGCGAATGCCGGATTGCTCACTTGAGATGTAAAAGCAACCAAGCCCATTTTCGTGCCAACGAGCTTGGGCAAGAAACCGAATCAGCCGAAGGCCAAAGCAAAGCCCAACTTCTCGTCTATGCATAAGCTGTCCTCCAGCACTTCTACTGTATCCGCGCCTGCGCCTGCGCCAGTAGAGAGTTCTCCGGATAAGGAAGCATCGTCCAGCACCGCGCAGCCAAAGCTGACACAGAAACGCGGCTTCAACGACTGGCTGGCGAATGACGACGAAGAGGACTTCTACCATGGCCGGTCAAGAGAGCGCGGAGGACGGAAGAAGAAAAAGAAGAAGCAGCAAGAGCAGAGACAGCAGACCTGGACATGGGACGATATCTACGATCCGACACTGCCTGTGCCTTTTCTGGACTACAAGCGGTCGGATGTCGAGTACGACATCAACGACGAGTGGAAGCGGAGACTTTACGACGCGAACAAGAGGGAGCTGCGCCGTCAAGGCAAAGATGTGAGACGCGCATCGAGTGAGGAGGATGCGTATCGTAAGTCTGGCATATCTCGAATAAGAGTGCGGCTGACAGAATTAGGACCTTCGATGAGCATGAATAGACAATTTGCTCCTCCTGGTGCTATGAGTTTCGCGCCACCTTCTGACCTCGACGACTCCCGCCCAGGCTCTTCAGATCCATACTCCGGGCCGTCATCTCCCGGTCGACGAAACGGCCGTGACTATGATGATCAGCCACGCGCATCATTCGCACCACCGCCGCCTCCTGCTGTGGATCTCAACCTGGACGAGTCTGCAGACGATGTGTATGCTCGGCGGATGGCGATGAGCGGAACAGGATCAAGTCAAGCTCAGCCGACTCCTACACCAGTTCGCGCTCCTCCACCTACCTTTGCGCCAACGAATGCATCACCGTCGATTCCGCCTTCGGTACCAAAGCAAGCTTCCTCGGTAGACGAGGAGAAGAAAGCCAAGATCGCTGCACAGATAGCAGCAATGAAGGCAAAGCTTGGCAAGCCTGCTACTCCGCTTACGGTACCACCTGCACAAGTTCCTGCAATGCTACCAGGGTTATCCGCGCCACAACAACTGGTACAAGAAGCGATCCAAAATCCTGCGCCATCTGTGGAGGATGCTGCAAGACTGCAAACCGGCCTACAGCAAGCTCAAGACACCACCCCTACTCCACCGCCTCCCTCAGATTCGGCCGCACCACCTGGCATTATTTCTGCCGCCCCAACGTTCAATCCTGAATACCTTGCCCGGAAAGCGGCTGGCGAAAGCATGACAACGGAAACTGTCGTAGAATCAGAACCCGAAGAACGATCTAGCAGACCAGGCCAATCCGGCTTCGCGGAGCGTCTCATGAAGAAGCTCGGGTGGGAGAAGGGCCAAGGACTTGGTGCAAGTGGTGACGGAATCACGACAGCCATCATTGCCAAAGCCGAAAAGCGCAAGAAGAAGTCAGATGCGGAAGGAGGTGGGTACGTTGTCCCCGCCAACATGGGCAAGATTGTCGGCGGCAAGAAGGCAAAGCCGAAGCCTGGCGCAGAGGACAGCACGCCTCAGCCTGATAGCTTACCCGACAAGATGACTGAGGTCATCAAGCTGGAAGGTATGCTCGAGAACATGGATGTCGATCACGAAATCGCCGAGAACAACCTAATGCAGGAGATCGGCGACGAAATGGGCGACCAGTACGGCAAAGTCGAACGACTTTTCATCTGGAGGAAACACGCCGGAGGTAATGATGACGTGTTTGTCAAATTCACGAGCCCTTTGAGCGCGGTAAGGTGCATGAAGGGTATGGACGGCACTGAATTTGCAGATAACCAGGTGGTCGCCAAGTTTTGGGACACTGAGAAGTTCGAGAACGGCGAGTATGACTAGGGCGTTGAGGAAAGCTGTACTGCCTCAACAAGTCTTTGGAACCCTCCCTCTGGCCATCATTGACAATGATCCAAGTTCTATGTTACCCAACCGATTGATTTCGCTCATGCTGTCATGCCCCTAACACCGCATCCCCAGGCCTCTCTCCTCAGTCCTGACACTCCTATTCCCATTCCATTCACTCCCCCCTCTCCTCGAGTATCTTCGCAAACCTCTCACAAACCCTCTTCACCGCCAAATTTCCATCCGCCCAAAACCTCACTCTTACAAATTTTCCACATCTGAATCCCTTGCCCTTCCCCTCTAAGAGTCTTTTGCTCCGTTCTAATCTCTTCTAACCACTGCAACCGAGGCTATCCACCCCCAACTTTCAAATTCTCAACAACCTCCAGCGAAGCCAAGAACTGAAAAAAGTTCCTTGGTGAAGCATGCCGGCCTGATGATTCTGGAGTTGTCGGCCATGCTTTTTGAGCTCAAAATTGTGCATGTTGAGAAAAGGTACTTGAGCCCTTTGGACTTTTCTGCTATTCGGAGGCGCTTCAGAGCGGCTTTCCTACACAGGAGGCAAATTTCAGGGTCTTGTTCTCAGAGACGACCCTGTGCGTAAAAGACGGTCGAGAATGGTTTGATGAAAATTTGAAAAAAAAATTTTATGAGAAAGATTCTGGCATGAACATTCTACCCTAGAGCTCCTGAGAATGTGGTAGCGAGCGCAGAAAATCAGGCTTAGTTGCAGCCTGAGTGCGCCAAGACTTTGACGACAAATCCACCACAAGCACAGCCTTAGATCTAGACATCGTCTCATTGTTTGTTGGTCATCTGACCAGCGCCTTCGACCTCTGAGAGCCGTTGGCCATCAACGCTTTGACCTGTAGTTCTAGTCAATGTGTGTCGATAAGCAAAGCGAATTCCAAAAGTAGACCCAGCAAAGACTTACCTCCATATCGTGCAACATATGTATTGGACCGCTGTCAAGAGCCGCATCCAGTTCTCCCTGCTGTATTTCGTATCTCGCTCTCACGAGATCGGACCCGTCGCGTTTTATCTTGTCACATCCAACCCTTGCTCCTCTCAGCCAAAATTTCTTGGCAAGTATCGGATGTTCTGTATCCAATCCCGCTTACCTATCAACCTTGCCAGGCTGTGACTTATCCCTGTTTCGGGTAAGACAGGCGAGATATCACACCTCAGCAATCCTTATGATATCATTAGTAGAAAGACCACAACCCTTCTCGTCTACCCAAATGTTTCTCCTGCAATCATGCTGCTACTCCTAGTATTGATCATCGACGCCTTCTTCTTATCCCTTTTCGGCTCCTCAACATTCACAGCAGCAATAATATTCATTTCCTTGCAGATTGGTGAAAGGATGTATTGGTGTAGGGAGTTCGAGAAGCTGAAAAAGGAGGAATATGAGGAGATCTTGAAAGGCAGCAGTCGTGAGAGGAAAGACAGTGGTTTCGCACATGAGAGGAAAGACTCATCTTCATCATGGTATGCAGATGGACAATGACGAAGGCAGGTAGTTGGTGAGCTTCGCTTCTCAGGATCATACACCGCAAGTAGAAGTGCTGATATCTTCTCAAGTACAACTGATGGCTTTCACCGATTGAGACTCAGCAACCCTTCAACATATTTCCTGGCATCGAACCCGATTCCGCCAGCAAGTGCAGCAGGACTCCATGCAGCACCGGTACCACCGGTACCGCCGGTATTCTCGTCACTAGTCGAAGTCGGACGCAGGGTCAGAGCATTCCACATGCTGCTTGCAGCTCTACTGCCGCTGCTGCTGCTTGCGACAGTCTTACTCTCTTTCGTGTCCGAAGCCTTGCGAACTAGGAAAGCAATGCGATTTGCAGGTTGAGGTTTTGCTGTGGCGGCGGTCGAAGGATGTTTAGTTGAAGGGGTTACTGTGTCATCTGAGTCGACGGGTTTGAGAGGGACTGGCGCAGGCTCGAAGTCGGCGGCAATGGGCTCGGAAGAATTATTGGGCTCATTCTGGGTCTCAGGTCTTGGGTCGGCTTCGGTCTCTTCGTGTACTGATGGAGCAAGCTTCATCCAGACTACCCACCAACCGCGACTCGTCTTGCTAGTACGCTCGTACTCGTGGGGATTGCGTCGAGTGCTTGACAGGGTGTTGAGGATTTGGCTGTGAACGTTGAGAGCTTCAATTCTGGTCCATGCGGACCAGCCTGGCAGACCAGTATCTTTCCGACCAGAGATGATCCCTTCCGCGGCTGGTGTTCCAGGATCAGGTATGTTGGGTATGCTTGTATGTACTGTCAGGAGTGCTGGGTCGTATATAAGGTCATATATCCGCGATGGCTCCTGGTCTTTCATGGCTTTGCCGCCACTTGTGATGCTTGCACTATCCGAGGAGGAAGCTTGGGCATCTTCAATCCGCTGCGCAACCCTGGCAACATTTGTAGACGTCAGAAGTGGCTTGTGTATAGGCATCAGGGTCTGGTGCAGGTCCTTGTAGAATCGTGCAATAGTCAATGATGGAGTCCGCTGCTCGAAAAGGAAGCAGTACATGAAAGGCCGGTGCACATAAACCAGAACTCGAAGTCGTCTCAAGTCCTCAGGATCGTCGCGGCCGGCGGAAAGCCCAGCTTCGCTCAATTTGTGCTGTAGAGGCGTGGGCTCATCGCCTGCGACAGGATTTAGCTCAACCTGCAATGTTCTTAGCACGTTCCGTGGACCTTCTGCGTCATCCTCAAGATCGTCAATATCTGTCTCATCATTCTTGGGTGCATGATCAAGATTGCCCTTGAGTCCGATGAGAAAATGTCCCTTTTCCTCCAGTCGCTTCTGGGTGGCAATCTTAGTCTGCAGCGCTTCGCCATCTGGGATAGGGTCCAAAGAGGCAGGCTTCGGTGGATCCGCATCGGCTCCATCTTGTTGAGCCATCGACTTTGGCTTAGCATTCCGACTCGCCTTGATCGTTTTCGAGCTGGAAGTTGAAGTTCTTCTTGGCCCTTCTGGTCGCCTTGGCACATTTGACTTAGCAAGCGTGCTGAGTCCAAAGGTCAAGTATTTCATGTACTGATCCGGAATGCCAAGAGTTGTGCTCGAGTCATCTGCATCAGTCTGGCTAGTGTATTCCGATTCTGTCTGAGCCTTCTTAGTGGCTTTATTTGTAGACTTCTCTGCTGCAGAGACTATCGGCGGAGGTATTCCAGGCGTGTCAGACGGCGGTGGACTCTCATCGACAGGGTATTGGTCTTTTGTAGCTTTCCCCCGCACCTCTGGTTCAGAAGTCTTGGGCACGAAATCTCTACTCTCGACGTTCTTTGGCAGTTTCGGCACACCATTCTTTGGCTCCTCTGGCTCTGCTTCTGATTCGAATACGGGCGGGGGATTTCGTTTCCTGCGTTTCCTTCGCTCTCGAAGCGGATTGTCGCGGACGCCGTAGGCGTACTCGCCATATGAGTATATTTGACGCATCCAGATTGACAAATTCCTGAGCGAGGGCTTGGTGATTGCACTGATACCCCCAAAGATGACTCCATCACTAGCAAGTGGAAGGTTCCCGCTGCCCATCCATGGTAACGCTTCGGCATCGGAGATATTGACGTTTTCTTTGGAAGGCGCAGTGTCTCCGAAACGTGACACGACGAGATCAACAAGCCCTTCTGTTCTGCGGGTCAAGTCTTCCAGGACATCGCGCTCGCCACTGCCCCATTCTTCCTCGCCAACGCCCATTCCAAGCTCGCCTCCGCTTGACAGCTTCAAGCCGCCAAATATGTCAGTCGCGGGATTGCCGTGTAGCAATACGTCCCATGTTCGCGAGAATCGAGACCAGAATCTGTCTAGGACCATGCAGAACTTGTCACGACGAAGGCGCATAAAGAGCTCAGTCATAGGCCCATGATGCAGGGTGAAGACGTAGTGCGCTTGCATCAGCTGCTGTATCAGGAGTGCAGGCGGACTCACTTCTCTCGAGGAGTATTCTATGGCAGGTTTGGAGCTGGATTTTCCTGCGCCTTTCTTAGAAGACTCAACGGGCGGCGACTGTGGAATGCCGGGTAGTTGGGTCAGATCAATAGACTAGACGCACATCAGTTTACCAGCGCAAATTGTCATTATTGGCCGCTACTATGCAGACCTACCGCCAGTATCCACCATCCCAGCTCCAGCTCGTGCAGGACTGTGCGCGTCTTTTCTGTATCAATGTGGTCGACAGGCTGGCCGTCAGAGAAGCTCCTGTCTGAGCTCTCAGCCACTGCTGTGTATCTTCTCTTGCTGAATTCCACCTACCGCGCGAAATTTACCATGCCCTGGGCAAGTCCTATACGCCGCAACTTCTGATTGTCCTCATCTCGGATGGCATCGCCGCCAGCTTTGTCATTGCGCGCATTCTTTCGTGCGGCCGCTCGGGCCTCGTGAGCAGCACGCGCATAGTAGAAAACGAGCTGCTCTTCAAAGGTATCATCGGTTGGGCCGAGCGATGGATTGTATATGGCCAAGTACGACAGTCGCGCCGGCACGACTTGACCTTGCCATTGCGGCGCGCTCATGTCATCGACATTCGGCGGCTACAGTGACAGTGCCAATGGACGGAATGGAAGTCTCCTAAAATCCCGTTAGTACTAAGGAGTAAAAAGGCCGGCTACGCTACCGGCTACGCTGCCGGCTACGCTGCTAGCTACGCTACTAGGTTTTTTAAAGAACTAAAAGAAGATAGATATTCCGGTTGATTTGTATTAGTTTAGATTTTTACAAAAAGAAAACAGGGAAAAATAAGGAAGGTTAAAGAGCCTAATAGTTATAGTTATAGGCACTATCCCTGTTTTCTAGAGCATATTATATACCTGCCTTCGTAACTCTACCTAATACTCCCTCTAAATATCCTTATACTCTACCTACTAGAAATTTAATAAGGTACCTAGACCTATAGCTACCTCTATATCTTTTACTATCTTCTATAGGTTAAAGGCCTCTTCTATAGTAGCCTCTACCTCCTTATATAATACGAAGTTACTACCTGCCCTACCCTTTATATCTCCTAAATAACTAAGAGTTCTAAGGAACGAACTAGTATTCGGCCTTAGTATAGCGAGTAACTAGTAGAACGTTCTATAGAGCTACCTTATAGCTCTTTTATATACTATACCGATACCGAGGGAGGAGCTATCCTAGTACTTAATATTATCGAATAGTTCGGTAGGAAAGTATATAAACTTCTTAAGGAGGAGGACTTCTAAGGAAATCGATAAGTTCTACCTAGATCTAGATAAAGACATTCTACTAAGTAGTTAGGGAATTGAACCGTAAACGAAAGGATGAAATTTATACCTAAGGAGTGCAGTTTCCGAACTAAACTATAATGCCTTATATATATGTATATGTGCTTTTAATTAGTTAGTGCCCTTAGCTAATTGTCTATAGATTTAAGGTTATATAAGTACCTTTATACAACTACGTAGCCTAAGTAGGATTCGAAAATTCTATAAGTACTAAGAACTAAAAATGCCGGCTACGCTGCCGGCTATACTGCTAAGTCTTATAAAGGGCTTGCTTGAAGCTACGTATACATTCGTATACTTCTTAAAAACCGATAAATTATATAGTTCGAACTAGCTACTTATATAGTTGCTTAGCAAACCAACCTAAACTAAACTAGAGTTTCGGCTTAGCAAACCAAACCAAACTAACCCGAACTACTATAGGGTCTACGTAAGACTATCGACATTGTGCTAGCTATAACACGCTCCTACCTTATATAGGACACGAAGGGCACTAACTATTAAACCAAGGTTATACTAGATCTAGGAAATTCAGTTAGTGCCCTTATTAGCTATCGCCTAGCTAAGTAACTAGACCTTCGACAACTGCCGAGGACTAACCTGCTAACCCTTGCTTAGTTTAATAACGCTCGGCACTTAACCTATAGGGCCTACTATATTCCTATAGTTCTAAAGGACGACCTCGGAAATAAACGCCTACTAGACTTTACTACCTACGTAGTAGATATAGACAACCTATATAGGGGAGCTACTATTGTTATTAGCAACCCTATTCTTAAGTACTACGCTATAGCTATAGACCTAGGCCTCTAGAAGTAGCGATTTAGAATCGCTAAGAAAGAGGATATTAAACACATTAATATTAGCGAGTGCCCTAACGATATTAGGGTCCTATTTATTAGCAACCTAATACCTGCCTTAGCTAATCCGACTGCCGACCTACTCGGTAGTAATAACGATAAACCTATGCCCCCTAATAGCATAGACCCTAATTAGCTCGAACGTATACTAGTGCCTATTCGAGAGACCTATACTAATATATTCAAACATTACCTAGCATCGACATTGCCTATATTTAAGGAGACGGATTATAAGATTAATATTATAGAGGGCAAAGAGGTTCCTTTTAGACTACTCTACAACCTTAGTAAGCGCGAGCTTGCTATATTGCGTAAGTACCTAGAAGAAAACCTAGCTAATAGCCGGATACGGTATAGTAACAGCCCTGCTAGTGTACTAATCCTATTTGTTCTAAAGAAGGATAGTAGCCTACGGTTATACGTTAATTACCGTAGACTTAATACTATTACTATTAAGGACCGCTATCTACTTCTGCTTATTAATAAGACCCTCGATCGCCTTTCTAGTACCTACTACTATACTATATTAGACATTAAGGATGCGTACTATCGTATCCGTATTCGTAAGGGTAACGAATAGAAAACAGCCTTCCGTACTCGCTATAGCTATTTCGAGTACTTAGTTATGCTATTTAGGCTAGCTAATGCCCCTACTACGTTCTAGTCCTATATTAATCGGGCCCTTTCGGGCCTATTAGACCACCTTTGTATAGTTTACCTAGATAACATCCTAGTTTATATATACTTACCTAACATTGCGGAGCACTAGGCTATAGTACGTAAGGTCCTCGACCGCCTACGAGCCTATAGACTATATTACAAGCCTTCTAAATGTACCTTCGCTACTAAGGAGGTAGCCTTCCTTAGTTTCATCGTATTAACTAATAGTGTTAAGGCTAATCCTAATCGGATTAAAACAATTACTAAATAGCCTATTCCTACGTCTATTAAAGAGCTTCAATTATTCCTCGGTTTTACTAACTTCTACCGCCGGTTTATTAAGGGCTATTCGAGGCACGTAATGCTATTAACTAAGCTTACTAAAACTAAGGCTAACCCGTCTAGAGAATTCAAATAGACCGACAAGACATAAGCCGCTTTTAACGGTCTAAAGTAACGCTTTACTAAAGTCCCCTTATTATACTATTTTGTACTAAGCAAGCAGATCCGTATTAAGACTAACGCTTTATAGTTCGCTATATCGGCTATTATATTACAGCAATTAGATAAGGACAATTACTAGCACCTAATTGCCTTCTTTTTACAGAAGATAATCGATATAGAGCGTCGATACGAGACCTACGAGTAAGAGCTCTTAGCAATCGTAGAAGCCTTTAAGCATTAGCGCTACTATCTTAATAGTGCTTAGCATACAATTTAGGTCTATACGGACTATAACAACCTCCGTAGAATTACAAAGGTTACTAGGGTTATAGGTCGATAGGCTAGATAGGCCGTCTACCTCGCCGGGTTCGATTTTAATATATTATATCGGCTAGGCGTAAGCAACCCTACTAATAGCCTATCGAGGCGGCCTAATTACGATAGCGAGACTTAGCAATCTATTAATTTATTGTTTCTAACCCTATAGTATAAGATTGCTATAGCCCGTATTATTAATAAGCAAGCGTAGGATAAGCGGACTTCCGGACCCCGCGGCGGCAATAAATACTATAGCGGAGTTATCGTTCTTCTAGTATACGTTAAAAGAAAGGACGTAGATTACTCGAGCTATAATAACTCGATTAAGGACATTGCTATCTATAGTAATAGTCTATATAGCGATAGTACTATAGAAGAGGTTATAGTAGTTCCGGCTACTAGTGCTATTAGATATATATAATACGTACCTCGTTCGATAGCGAGGGTGCTATTAAATAACCTTGCAAATAGGGATAGTTAATCGTTTATAGATAAGCTGTTACGTACTTAGTAGAGGGACGCCTTTGCTATCGAGCGTATTAATAGGCTTATAAGTAGGCGGGCGACTCGATCTAGTAAGAGTAATAATAATTAGTCGATCGACGATAAGGGTTACTTAAAGTTTAAGGGTAGATACTATATCCCCGCTAAACAATCGATTAGACAAGAGCTTTTAAAGAGGCACTATAATAGTAAGCTCGCTAGTTACTATAGTATAGAGAGGTCGTACGAGCTACTATCGCGTATATACTACTAGCTAAATAGTAAGCGGTATATAAAGGAGTATATATAGACCTATATAGTATACTAGCGAGTTAAGGCACCGAAGCACTTACCGTTCGGCGAGTTGTCTTCGCTCCCTATTCTAAAGAAGCTATTTGCTAAGCTAATAATAGACTTTATTCTAGGCCTTCTATCTGCTAAGCGTAGGGGTAGCAAGGATGTATATAATGCTATCCTTGTTATAGTAGATCGATTTACTAAAGGCGCTCGATATATCCCGGCGCGCAAGGATTAGACTACTATTTATATAGTAGAGGCGCTATAGACTAATATCTTCTATACCTATTAGGGAACCCCTAAGGGGATCGTCTCCGATCGTAGATCGATACTAATATCTTACTATTAGAGCGAGATTTGCTTGCAGCTAAGACTAAAGCATCGGCTATTAACAGCCTTCTATCTATAGACTAACGGTTAAATAGAGAGGCAGAATACTACCCTATAGCAGTACCTACGTAGTTACATTAATAAGAACCCCGAGGACTAGGTCAACCTCCTATAACTAGCTGAATTTGTATACAATAACAGTATCTACTTATCTACTAAGGTCTCCCCTTATTTTGCTATAATAGGCTAGAACGCTGCCCTACTATAAGATCTATTTACCTCGCTCGAGGCCGAGCGTAAGGAAAGGGAAGCGCGTTAAGTACTAGAAACACTAGCGGCAATAGAACGTGTCTAAAAGATGCGAGAAATCTATACTAAGATAGCCGAGAAGTTAATAAAGGCTTAAGAGTACTAAAAGACCTACTACGACAAGCACTATACGCTAATAACCTTTAAACAAGGCGATATAGTTATACTAAGCACTAAGAACCTCTATATCCGCAAACACCTATTACCTAATAGTAAAACAAGACCTAAGCTTGCACCGAGATACATTAGGCTATTCCGTATTCGAGAAGTGAAGGGCTCTTCCGTATAGGCCTATTAGTTATAGCTTCTACCCTATTATACTATCTATAATACCTTCTATGTATCCCTCCTTAAACTATACTACTAGCGCGAAGGCGATAAAGCGCCTGCTAAGTTAGAAGAAGTCTTAGCTAATAGTAAAGAACTGTAGTCTATAGAACGTATCCTAAAGTATCGGACTAGGAAAGGCAAGAAGGAGTACCTATTAAGATAGTAAAGGACGGAAACCAATACTACTACTACTACTAGCAGTAATAGTATAGG